GGGGGGGGGGGGGGATTCGTGTAAGTGCAAGCTGGGTCAGAAATCTAATAAAGGCTGCTTGTTGCCTCCCCCCTAGCCGCATGCCACTGCCACGATCCTGGCCTCGGCCCCAGAGGGAAGACAATAAGAAAAAGACAGTTGGTTGCATCGTCGTCAGCGATACTACTGTACAGTAGGAGGTACAGTCTACTGTACAATACCCTCCTAGTGTGAAGAGATCAACACGAGCAGTCTTGGAGTGTCTTGTTGTTTTCCGGCGCTATCACATGTGCCGTCGCAAGTCGTGTTGACGAAACGGGGATCGTGTCCCCATTAGGGCAATGGGTTTCACTTTACTGCCAAACTAGCACAGAGCTACTCCAGTGGCCACGAGGCAGCCACCCACTTGCCACCACCACCATCACGAAAAGCCAAGCCCCAAAGCCCAAGGCCACACCCCACAGATCTTTCCGCATCGGCGCATCCAATCTCGATACGTCCGGATGTCAGATCCGCGATCCGCTGCAGCCGTTCACAAGTCATGCCACCCTTTCCCCCTTCATCACGCTTTCTGTTTATACAAGGGTTCCAGGCCGGCTCTTCTCCCTCCTCCTCCTGGGCTGCCTCTCTCCCTCCAGGCGATCAGAACCTCCTAACTCCTAACTCCTTTCGAGCGGATATTCACAGATTGTCACAATACAGGAGGTAGTATGCAGCCAATCACCTACCACCTACCATCGACGATCCTATGATTGCACACCACTAACAAAGAAAAAGAACGGCCCGTCGGATCAGGGATTCTTCCACTTCCGATGTGAAAAGGGAGCTGCACCCGATGTGTCGTTAGTCATCACCTTAAGTGTAACGCACTAGAGTCTAGAGGCAAGTCTAGCCATTCGAGGAAGTAAAAAAGTTGGCCGTGTCCCGGGGGGTTTCGTACCGTCGGCGCCCACCATGCCCCGACGATCCATCTTCCCACACATACCTTACTCTCCACTTTTTTTAATATCCTCGGGACGGGTCAAGGTGGGCGGCTGTGATCGTCGCAGAATGTGTAGCAGGTCATGTACGGGGGGTAAAACTAGTTGGTTTCTAGTATCTATGTACAGTCGTATCGGATCTCTCTCGTCTTCTTCACGAATCCCTCCGCGGGGAGTCGGGGACACGATAATGAACTACTGCACGCAAGAGTTTTGTTGGTGACATTCTGAAAGATGGGTATCCTAGCTAGCGATATATCGAATATCGGGTAGGATTGTAGGTAGGCTAGTCTTGAGATACGAGAGAGAGAGAGAGAGAGATTTGTTCGTTCGGTATAGGTAGTGGTTAGATGGTTGGATGGATGGATGGTTGGATTTTCGCTTGCTTGTTGGACTAAACTAAGCTGCTAAGGTAAGGTAGGTATGTATACTCGGATCCCAATCAATCAATCGACCTGTATAGGTAGGTACAGTATACCTAGTTTCCCTATATATTGCCAACCCGATAGAGTACTACAGAAATACCTCGTAAATGAAAAGAAAGAATATAAAAGGGGGTTGGTTGGTTGGTAAGTTCCTAAAATACCTACCTACCTACCTCTAGGAGGTAGTTCTCTCCCTTTTTTTTATAGGGATAAATATAATTACTAACAAACAATATAAACAATACTAACAATAGCAACATGATAAGAATAACAACATTGAAGAATTTAACAATATCGATTACTATCCTATCCTATCCTATCCTATCCTATCCTATCCTTCTTATCCTATCCTATCCTTCTTATCCTATCCTACTAACTCCCAATACCCAATTTATCCAACAAACAAACAAACAATAAACAACAAAAGAAATCCCCTCCACTCGGATCTCAACCCGCTTACTCCTCTTCTCTCCTCTCCTCTCTCCTCTGATCCCCTCCCCCTAATAACGACCCATCCAACCAAAAAACTCTTTTCTTACTTTCCTTCCCTCCCTCCCCGAAATATCGAAAGATCGAACGAACGAAAACAAAAAAGTCAAACTGTCGCTCTGTCTAGGTGCCTACCTACAAGTAGATTGGGCTGCTTATTAGCCTGCTCTGCCTGCTCTGCCTGCTCTCAATAGAGTAAGGAGAGGAGAGGAGAGAGTCTCGGGACCACTTCTTCTTTTTTACCAGCCCAAGCAGCCCAACCTCGATCGAGACTTTGTCTCTGTTTCTGAAGTTTTTTGTTTCCTTGCGCTTGCGTTAACTCTTTTGAGAAGTAGCCTAGCTGCCTGGCCTGGCCTGGCTGTTTTGTCAATTCACTTGGGAGGATGAAATGAGGGATTTTTTTTCCAACCAGGTGGGATATTGTAGGTATGCTATTGGGTTAGGGTAGGTTGGGTTGGGTTGGGTTGGGGTAGGTATGATGGTTGGATGTGTATAGCGGGAATAGTACGTAGATACCTACTGTACCTAGGTACTGTACCTAGGTAGGTAGTGGTAATTTCTCTATCTGTCTAATGAATAGTGTAGTGTAGGGAGTGCAGATTTCCCTATTTGCTTTCAGCAATCTCGACTGTATCTATACCTGGTAGTTTCTGTTCTTTTCTTTTTGTTTTTCAAAAGGAAAAGGAGAGAGAAAAAAAAGGAGATTTTACGACAGACAAGATATCAAGGAGCTGGATGACTGACTAGTCATGATGCAGTAGGAATAGAATTCGTCCTGCAAAAACATGAACTCGTCACATGAACATCCGCGCATTTGCTCAACTCGGCCAATTCTTGTTCAATCGCACGGGCTTCCTCGTCTTTACCCAGCCTTTGCAAGCACTCGTGATATCCATGCAACGCCCAAATATTATGCGGGTGCCGCAACGCTCGGGGTAATGTGTCGTCGATGCCCAAATCGGCTTGGTATTCTCGGGCAGCATCTTCGATCCATCCTTGCTCGAGTAACAGTGCCCCTAACGCATGCCGGGGAGGTTGCATCCAACCCCACGGTTCGTCGTAGGGAAGGTTGTCGGATAATTCGACGGCCACGCGGAGCTGTGCAAACGCGGCCGTGAATGCCCCTTTTCGGTATTCCAATTCTCCTCCCAGCATGGCGGCGCCTACAGCAAGGATGTCATTGGCTGTATTGTTGAACAATGTCCTGCTCGGAGGAACTCTCGCAGCTGCTTCCAGGAACTCTTCGCGCTCCAGAGCGCATTGTTCGACTTGGCCGGTGGCCGCGTAAGCTATGCCTCGACCGTACTTGATCATCGCCGTGGTGACCGCATACAGCTCTGGATCCACTGGTATAGGCATGGCGAGGAGATCATCCCTGGAAATATTGGGAGAATACACATGTCAGTATAAACCACGCGGAGCTAATGAATTTCGTTGCTTCATGCACGTGTAGGGACGCACCATTTGCCAAAACGGACGAGTACATGCACTCGCATACTCAAAAAGCTCTCGAGCCAATCTGCCATGGGAGGGCTTGGTGTCCGAAGCAGGTCTTCTGGCAAAGACTCCTCCAGCTGTGCTACCGTCTCAATCGCAGGCTCGTATTGACCCGCAAACATGGCAGCGTACACCTTGAAGTGGTAGTTGTGACTACGATAAAGGGAATAGAAGTTCAATGCACCGACCTTGGAAAGATAGCGTGCATCGGCTTCGATTGCTGCAGTGTTGGATGTGATGGCATCTTGCCATTGACCTGCAAGCACATCCAGATGGGTCGGCATGTGATGAAGATGGCCTGCATCTGGTACGAGTCCTCGCAGGTGGTTGGCTACATCCAAAGCATCTTCGGGATTCGCAGACATCTCCATCAGGTGGCACCAGAGGTGGAGAAGTCCTGGATGGTGCTTACCACCTGCGTCAAATGCGCGATCCAGAACGGCCTTTGCTTCCAGAGTCCGAGCAGCCTTTTCCGGCTCTCCAGTGCGAGTATCCCACAATGCCCAAGGCGTGATGTTCATCAGAGAGTCCACATAGAGAGCAGCAATGTCCAAATCATCCCCGAACTGGGCGTAGACGTCCTTCATGGCGTCTGCATAAGCCACATTCCATTTGCAGTAGTCGTCGCCACTCCTTTCTATAGGATAACGAGCCTGAGATGCTCGGATTAGTGCCAATTCTACAGGCGTCGCATTTGCCTCTTTCGCTTTTTGTTCTGCTGCAATCAAGGCATTTTGGGCCTGCCGGAGATTCGCCTCCTTCTCATCAGCATCAAAGGCTTCCCATGGCTTATTATAGTTGGGTCCGAGAGCATATGAGATTCCCCAAAGTGCCATCGCGCAGCTGGGATCCTCGCTGCTCGCCTTGAGAAAGCATTTTGCACTCTCTTCACTACACTTCAATCAGACGTGCGTGCCCTGGTGCTGAGCCGGTGTGAGTGCAGTGGCGTCATACTGGTTGAAGGCGTACGACCACTGCAAACCTCGATCGAACCAGATCTGCGCTGTAGGACTCTTGGTCGTTACGGGGCGAGTGGAGGAACCCAGATCGAACAAGTACGGTTCCTCGTCCACCGCCTCCTCGCTCCCGTGATGGTAGGTTGAGTCCATGAGAATGACTCGTCCAGTCTCGTCTCGGTGAGAAATGCGAGAGCGTCTTCGCAGGCGGGAAAGCAGGAGATGGAGAGAAGTGGATAGGGGATACGGGTTTTATATTAAGCCATCGTTCGCTGGCGATCTGGACCCGAAATGGTGAGGCTGACGAAGGCAGCAAGCGCGCAGGACCAATCAACCACTTGATTCCTCGAGGCTCGAATGGAGATCACGAAACATGGAAGCGGGGTCGAGCGCTCTGCTGATGATACTCATCGTAGAGTCGTAGACCAGCAATTCACCTCATCACGATGGAAGAGCTCACCGATCTCGCGGGATACCGAAAAGCATCCAACGCCGATGGCACTGCCATCTTTGAGGCCACGGCAGACTGGTGCCCCAACTGCAAGGCGATCGCGCCGTTCATTGAAAAACTGATAAAGAAGTACCCCGACGCAAGGTTCTATTCCTACAACACAGACAAGGCGCTCGACATCAGCCACGAACTCTCCGCACATCAGATGCCGACCTTTCATGTCTTCAAAGATGGCGACTTGCGAGACAGCATCACTGGTCCGAAAGCTAAAGAGATTGAGAAAGCCATTGTGGAGAATTACGATGGCAAGATGGTCGAGGAGTAAGAGATGTGGACAGCATGCGAGCGATAGCAGTGTATCGCAAAACCTGGAAGAACAAGAGGCTCTTCGCATGCTCAGAGCATGCGCGACAACATCGGTGGAGCGAAGGAGTGTGGAAGTCTTGCAATACGTTTGAACCTTGGGGACAATGGATGCGACAGATACCGTCAATCCTGAACTCGTTTAGGTGACCAGAGTGCTTGTCTTATTCTTCATTGTATATGCAATCCATTACTCGAGTTGACCGAGTCACAAAGACCTATACTGGACTCGACTGATTGCAGAGTGAAGTAGGCTCCCTCGCTATCTTACTAGGTATGCTAGAAGGCTGCCCTTACTCGAAGAAATATCTACACTAGCTTTACCTCCTGTAGGTATACGTACGTTGAGCATAGGATAATGATGCTCGGGTGAACTGGGTGGCATAAGGAAAGATGGTCGTCTGTCAGTATTGTCGGATACACTCCGGCCTGACGGATAGAGTATTATGGGCGCTGAGCCCGGTTCTACTGCGAGTAGTTCGGCCTATAGAGCCTCGTGCACTCGCGGTACCGGGCAACAGATGAAACATTGCAGAATGGTCCCACGTCTCTGGAGGTCCCGTATGGACAATGTACCCTCACGACGTTTGTAGTAGATGAGATAATTGGGAAGATACTCCACAGTCCTCCTGCACGCAGTGCGGGTTTAGCTGTCACGCATGAAGTCTCGCAATCGAGCATTCATATGGGGGATTGATGGCTCAACCGTGGCTACTTTGACCCTAGTCTGCTTGATCCATAGTGTGGGTGTAGTGGCCGCTCCGCCTGTTCCTGTGAATCACATCTCTGATCTTCCCGTGTCGACAGTATTATTCTCCGGGGGACCAGCAGTATAGTCGATCGATCGGCAGGATGCTTCGAGCAAGCGGTCAGTCGTACAGTCATGCGAGATCAAGATTGGCGTGCTGAGGTGACTCGAAATATCTGCGCGCACCGCGCGGAGTCTGCGCAAATATCAACGCTATCGACGCGGAGTTCTGTTGATACTTGATAGGACGGCAGCATGGTGTTCACGTCATAGTCGACGCGCAATCGGAGGCCCACGGCGAACAGATGTGTTGATTGATGATGGCATCTCGTCGGTGCAGGCGGGGCGAGGAGGGGAGCGAGTGCGCGACGATGCTTTCTACCTAGACTCTAAGGGGAGGGACACACCGTCTTTCACGTGCTAGTCTAGAATAGCTCGCTACCAGAACGGGCAAAACAGTCACTAGGAGAGGTAAGGTAATCAGTCATCAATCATGGACGCATTTACCTCCCTCCCCAGCGAGTGTTTCCCTCCGCTTCAGACTTCCACTTCCTCCTCCTCCTCCTCCTCCTCCTCCTCCTCATACTCATCATCCATCTCCTTGACACCGTTCGTCCGCGTGAGTCTCCTGTCACGAGCGACACGGTTGCAATTCTCGAATCCTCGTACGGACACCCGCGCAGCCTGCTGCCATAGGTCTTGGTCTTAGCTCCCGGGAGGTTATCAGCTATCGAGTCCCAGAGCTCGCTCGTGACTCCATCTGCTCGGCCTTCAACGGCCACGAGACTAGCCATCACCACGCTGCCGCGCCTCCTGCCTTCTCTTGGACCAGCTGCCTTACCTCCTAGTCTCAACACAACGAGTCTGCTGCTGCTGCTGCTCTTGAGCGTCTCGCTGCGTCTCGAGTGCACAGCGCGTGTTCTCTGCACTGAACTGCACTGCACTGCACTGCCCTGCCCTGCCCTGTCCTGCACTGCACCAGGCTGCTGGCCCGCTCGTGTGCTTCTGTGCTCATGCTCCAGTGGTGACCATGATGGCCTCCTCTCTGAACTAGACGCAGTCCAGCGCGCCACGCTCCCGGGCTCCTACCCACACCTCCAGGCAGCATCGGGCGACCCCCAACGGCCCTCAAGGCTGCCGTGAATATGGGGCGGTCTGCTAGCATCACTGCGACCACTGTACCATTGTAGCTGCCCACCTTCGAACTCTCCTACAACATACCAGCTATAGAACAAACCATACTACTAGACCAGTCGAGGACGGCGACGGCCCACCATGCACCAGTTTCCCCGACCCTCGCCCCGCAGCGCCTCTGCTGCGAGCAATCCCACAACGAATCCTGAGCGGACGAACAACTCAAGAGATCGACCGCCCCAACGAACACGGTCGAGTGTAGATCTGGCTTCGTACACCGAGAGGGCCTTGGCCGAGACAGGTCAAGAGTCGAGCCGTGACAGTGCGGCAGGGAGCCAGGACAGAGAGGCTACCAAGCTGAACCAGATTATACAGGTAGGAGATGAGGATAGCACACCCGGTATAGCTTGGAATATGCACTGACAGCCTGGTCCAGCATTTTCACTCCAAAGCGGCTCTGACGATATGCTCTGCGCGCGCAAACTTGCCAAGCATCACAAACCAAGCTGGTGACACCAAACAGAATCGATGGGTGAGTTTGCCAACTTGAAGCCACCCGTGGATGCAAACTGCCATGGGCAGCGTTCCGAAGCGCACGAGCGATTATTTCTGTTCTTGTGCTACCTTGCTTTTCAAAACCGAGAAACGGGCTCCTCTTGGTTGTCGGATCTCGCACTCCGCAATGAACACCTATGCCCATCTCAATATTACGACTGACTGACTTTCACCTAGTTCAATGTTATACTAGACGAGACAGATGTCCTGCTCGAGGATCTCTCGCCCTGGCGACGACCAGACCTCTCTGAAAAGCGGCCTGGGCCACTCGTGATAGAGGTATACGTCGATACGTCGCACCTATCGCACAGCCAAGCACTGGTTGTCATCGACGATGCGGGCAAGCGTTGGGACGTTGCAGATGCGTTAGGATCCTCCGCAGATTCCAGCCCCCGTCACAACCGTAATGGTGGACGCTTGTTCGAGGTCGTGCTCGAACGCTGGACTATCGATCTGGGAGATGCTGACGGCTATTCGGTCTCCGAGCTCAATGATGCATTGCCAAATGTGTATAAGAAAGGTGTCGTGGTCTTCAGATCTCTGTACAGCTACTCTCGTCTCTTGCCCGCATGGAAACTGCATCGGAAATTGACCAGACAGCCTGGTGCCCACCAGGCATTGAGGCTGAGATTCCGTATCAAAGAAGGATGTGCTCCTTCTCAGTTACGTTCAGACAGCCTATATACTCCGCTCTGTCCATCTGAGCAGGACGCGGACTCTCTGGTCGAGCGGTACACCATACCGCCACTCCTGTGCCGAAGTGGACCACTCTCAATCTGTGTAGAATATCGCACTAGCTGTGATTTCAATGTTGCAGACTCTGAGGCGCTACTGAGCTCGCGATTCCTTGGACTGGACGAAGGACTTCCAACGGCTGTAGGGCATGGAAGATCGCTCCCTGGTCGACGTAGTGAGCAGTCGCGCGTGCAGTATAGTAGTCTGGCAGGAGGTGCAAGCAGTCAAAGACCTCGCGTTGGCGCCTACGGCAGTCTTGGCACCTTCCACTCCACAGGTAAACGAGCTTCCCCCGTGACGGAGCTCAGACAACGTGCATTGGACGACGAGATGGAAGATCACATGAAGCGGCCCACAAGCAGCAGGGGAGGAGGAAGTGGTGTTGGTGGTGGTGTTGGTGGTGGAGGAGGTGGTGGTGGAGGAGGAGGAGGAGGAGGAGCTGGCAGTTATGGCAGAGGAACGCCGATCAACTTCGTCAGCAACCCGCCTTTCAAGTCTGGCTCACTCGCCTCTTCGCCAAAGGCCTCGCCCAGCAGCTCATTTGGCAGATCGGACGGCAACTCGCTCCCAAGAAGGCTGGGGACGTCCTCGTCTGATAGACGCGTATCATTGAACACGCTGCCTCAACAAGCACTTCGGGCACCACCGATTGCAAGCGAAACAGCAATCGCCTCCTCCGGCTCTTCCTCGCCGAAGCCAGCGGCACCAGTCCACAGATACAGTAGCAGTTTTGCGAATCGCAACAAGCGCTTCGTGCCGCAAAGCGGTAGTAACAAAACCGTGGAGAGCAACGCTAGCTCAGAACGGGGAAGCAGCTCTTCCAAGGACCGCTCCGGACAGCTTACGAAGGACTCTCCGGGCTCTTCTGGAAGCGGTCAGAAGCCTGAGCATGAGGAGATTGGTGACTTCCTCAATCAGCTACAAGCGGCGAGCATCAGGCCAGTCTCACGCGGCACCACAATCAACCTCTCCCAATACAGCGGAAAACAGGGTGGACAGGAAGAGCTGGACGAGAAAATGAGTGCAAGTTTCTTGGTCCAGCACGGCAGCACACCGCCTAGCCGGAGGTTGAGCAATGTGCCTGGTCTCTCGACGAGCTCCAGTCCTTCGCGTGCACTGGCTGGCGGTGCACACGCACCGTTTGTACGGTCGCGACTGAGCACGCACAGCATCGCGGAGGAAGTCACTGGCGCTGGATCTGGCGGCCTGTCTGGGTCCGACAGTCCGAAGATATACGAGGAGGACGAAGAAGACGAAGAGCCCTTCATCTTTCCGCAGGACAATCTCGATCACTGAACATGGGAGGCTCGGTCATCCATTCAGCAAGGTGTTTCCATGCATTGGTTCGGCGGGAATCGGCTAATTCTGGCGACGGCGGAGTATAACGCATTCAGACTTTAAGCAAAGGGTGCAAAGGGTATACAGGTGTATGTCGCATGGCGTGCCTATGAAATGCAAAGAGCATGTATTGAGTGCCTAATAATCATCGTGCGAAGCTGTTGCAAGTACATGTATGCCCGTCCCTGCACCACTCAAAACGGCCATTTTGAATCACGTTTCCCATTGATCCACATGTAAGGGCTACCTAGGTACCTGTAGTTGTGTGCTGCTCCGCTGGAATCAATCTCGCAAGCTGTCCTGAGGTCAGAATGGTAGCGACTACTCAGGTATATCAGCCAAAGCACATGTATGAATCCATTGGTCCGTGAGCATTGTCCTGCATGAGCAGGGATCGGTTGCATGACAATCGTAGGTAGCCTTTGAATGTGGGGTCGTATCGATGATGGATGACTGATGAAGATGGCCTCTACCTCCCACACACCACTATAACAGACTGGAAGCATCACCTCGACTCTGCCCTTGCCAGTCACTCCATACCACCACACGAACACACACCGTTGCCGCCGCCCGCTGACTTGGCATCACCACTGTCATCCCTCCGAACCGCCTCCCTCCCCCCACGTTATTGCCCCCATCTTCGCCACTGCGCCCACCAAGCGTCCCCCCAGCAGTGCGCACGAGCGAACACGTCGACCATTCGAGATCACACCACAACAGTCTCAGAACCGACGACCTTCTAGCAGAAAGAATCCTTGCACCTCTTTCCTCTTCTCTCGGGGTCCAGATCCGTACTTCCACCGCACCTTTAAACAGGCCGTATACGTTCGAGTATACAGCGAGGTGCCCACGAAGTCACCGGATCTCTCCCCACGGCTCCTCTTTTGTGGCCTATGAGCAGCTATCTGTGGCAAGCCTTCTATAATGACTCGATCGATGCCTTCGAAAGGCATCTCGAGGCCGCGGCGCACAACGTCCGCCATGCGAATGTGGGAAGAGGTGGCCTGTCGCAGGGAGTGGGAGCCTTGGTAGGCAGTCCGGAATACTCTTCTTCCCCCAGCGCCCCAGGCAAGAGTAGGAAATTCCATACCCCGAAGACGCCCAATGGTGGTCTATTTGTGCTCAGTAAAGCCGATATCAATGGACGAGACCCAGTTGGCATGACTCTGCTGCACCATGCTGCTTCTTCAATGTCTGACAATGCTGTCGCTTTTGCGACTGCTTTGGTGGAACACCCGTACATTGATCTCTACATTCAGGACCTCGAAAATGGCTGGACCGCACTGCATCGCGCATTCTACTTTGGCAATATTACGATAGCTCGGCTTATATTGGAGCGCGACAATGGCAGCATCTTTGGTTCGAAGCAAGTCAATCAGCTTCTCAAGATCAAGGATCGTGAAGGATTGGGGCCTCTTGATCTGTACGCGGCTACCATCAAGGATCGAACTCTCCGACCCGCGGAAGCCGGGCGTCGACGCTCGAATTCGAACGCAAGCGACGAGGATGCTGCTGGGAGCGATGGCGACGAGGCTCCGACAGCCCGCAAGATCCCCTTTACGGAGATCGGCGGCGATCAATTGTTTTCCTTCGGCTCAGGGAACAATAATAACCTTGGACTGGGCGATCAGGACGACCGAGCTTTTCCGGAGCGTGTCAACCTGAAGCGGCCTGAGCATCTATTGAAACGGTTCTACAAGGATTTTGTCGCACAGCGCGATGCCAAATGGTCTGTACATGACCCTACATATCATCGCGACGCGATTGACATTCGTGGAATGTGGGTCGAGGACATGCCATGGGTTGTGCGATCACGCCCACTCGTCATTCAAGATGTCTTCATGTCGAAGCTCCACAGCGCAGTATTGACCACTGATCCGGTATCAAATTTGTACATGTGCGGCCATGGTCAAGGTGGTCGCTTAGGTACAGGCGATGAGCGTACGCGCTTTCAATATGTGTGCATAGAAGCTGGCGGCTTATCTGGCAAGCGCATAGCAACTGTCGCTCTTGGACAGAACCATACCCTTGCGCTTGATGAAGCGGGAGAGATTTTCTCATGGGGCAACAATGGCTACGGGCAGCTTGGCTACAGTCTACCAAAGACTTCTGGGGACGAAGACCCTATCTCTACGGTGCCCCGCCAAATATTTGGGCCGTTAAAGCGAGAAGCAGTACAGGGTATCGCGGCCTCTCGTTTTCACTCTGTCACGCACACTTCCACATCACTATTCACATTTGGCAAGAATGAAGGGCAGCTAGGCATAGTCGATTCTGATGCGCGGTCGTTAGAATGTCAGGTAACGCCTCGGAAGGTCGCAGCATCACTGTTCTCATCGCCAATCTGCGAAGTCGCGGCGATAGACAGGGCAACGATATGCCTGCTTGAGAACCACGATGTATGGGTCTTCGCCAATTATGGATACGCGAAGATCCAATTTCCTCTAGACGGCTTTTCAAACTACTTTCTCAAGCAGAGTTTCTTGGTCACTACATACGATGCTGCCCCCAACAGGGTCGTCAAGATCACAGCCGAGGGAGACACGATTTGTGCCATGAGCAGTCGTGGCGAGATCTTCACAGTTTCCATTAGCCAGCGATCGGAGGACAAATCAAGCGTGTCCACCACGAACCCGGCCAAGATCCGCAGCGCTATAAGCCAGCCCCAGCGCATTTGGTCGCCCAAGAAGAGCAACATGGCTGCCCGGGATGTCGGTTTGGATGTAGATGGCTCCATCATCCTAAGCACACACGAAGGCAGCGTCTGGAAACGGACCAGGCGGGCTAAAATCAAAGACGCAACAGCTGTCGCTGCTACTGAATATCGGGCCAAGGACTATAAATTTTCGAGGATCCCGGGATTGACACGAGTACTAGCGGTGCGAGCTTCTGGCAGTGGCGCATATTCCGCCTTGAGATATGATTGCGATGTGCTCAGAAAGCAGATTGTCATTGAAGATCCGTCATTGTGGAAACATCTTTTTCAGCTCTTCTCACTCGCTGGTCTTGGCGATAACGAGCCCACCGATGACGAAGAGACTAGGCCTCGCTTTTGGCAGGGCAGCAAAAGGCACGATCAGCTTGCTGCGGTCAAGAAGGCTGTATTGAGAAGTGTCGACATTGACGCTGACCTTGCAAGCTATTTCGAGCACGCCATGGCAAGTTCTGACACCAAATATGATGCTTTTCTGGCAACCACAAGCTCTAAAGTCCAGATTCCGTTGCATCGGTTCATGCTCACAGCACGCAGTCGAATTCTCAGACGAGGCTTTCGTGACTTGTGCGAGGCCAGCACCTTCACCATTCCCGACCTGTGTCAATCTGAAATCGATGATAGCGGTCGACTTGTCATAACCTTCCATGGCATGGACTTACTGACTATGGTGGACTTGGCCATGTATTTGTACACCGATGATCTAGTGCCGTTCTGGAATTTCACACGAGCAGCACCCAAGATGGCCTACTCTTATCGTCAGGTGCGCGCTGAACTCATGAAAATCTCCAGCAAACTGGAGATGAGAGCGCTAGAGCCTGCGGTGCGCCAGATGGTCACCCCTCGAGCGTGCCTCAATATGGATCTGGAGGTAGCGTATGCGGACCCTGCCTTCTTTTATGACGCAGACATTGTAGTCGAGCTCGCAGAAGACGAGAATGTCAAAGTCCACAGTACACTCGTATGCGCGCGATGTCCTTTTTTCGAAGGATTGTTTATGGGCCGCTCTCGTGGAGCCTGGATTGCGGGACGGTCTGATGCGGAAATCATCAAGGTCGATCTCAAACATGTCAGCTTGAAGACATTTGAGATAGTATTGCGTCACATCTATTGTGACACCGGGAGTGAAATCTTCGACGACATCGTGAGCACTGATGTTGATGACTTTCTCGATACAGTGACCGACGTCCTCAGCTGCGCAAACGAGCTGATGCTGGACAGACTGAGTCAGATCGCACAGTCGGTTGCAGGACAGTATGTTAACGCGCGGAATGTGTGTGGTCTACTCAACGCAATTTCGCCCAGCTCTGTCCGTGAGTTCCTGGACACTGGCCTGGAGTACCTGTGCCTGAACCTCGAAGCCATGCTGCAGGGGCATCATCTCAACGAACTCGACCCCGACCTACTCGAAGAACTAGACGAGGTTGTACGCGCGAATCAATTGGCCTGTATGCCGTTTGCGAAGAGTGGTCGAGCTGAGATGTTACTTCATGAACGACATCCCGACCTAGCTGGTGCAATTGAACTCAACAGACGCAGACGAATAGATGCAATCGCACATCGGTCAAAATACCATGACATAGCCATTTTCAGTCCGGGATCTTTCGGAGAAGATCTCAGCACATCTCCCATGCAGCAGAAGACTAGAAGACGATCGTCGCAGATACCCAAGGTGGATGACGGTCGTGAACAGGTGCAGCCAGCACTTAGGGCCAAGGCATCCGTAAAGGATATGATGTTTGACATGGACGATGAGCATGATTCGCTCTCGCCGCGTCGGTCTCCAGCAATCCGACCCTTGACGAGTCCTCGTGTTGTTGGGACGCTATACCAGGACACGCCGCCCGAAGATACGTGGTTCGACTCTCGTGGCAAAGCATTGCTTTCACCGAAACTTGCCCCTCAATCTACGACACCAAGTGCTAACCCGCCGAGAACACCCAATTCACCACTACAGAGTGCGGTCTCTGGTAAGCCGTGGTCGCTCACGCCACTATCTGGCAAAGTCGACCTTAGAGATATCTTGGAGCAGACTGCCTTGAATCGTACCTCGACGCTTACCCAAGGTCTCGCGTCCACGGCGGGGCCTTCCCAGGACATACCAGCTCCATTCGCCCTGCCCGCGCCCCGGATGAGTCAGAAAGAGCGGAAGCGCATGCAACAAGCCCAGCAGCAGGGTGATGCCTCAATTGCTCCAGCCGCGCGTATAGATGCAGAGCCTACCAAGCCATTCTCATGGCAAGCTGTATCGGCACAGAAGCGACCTACAGTCAACAATTTGATGGGGAATGAGACATCCGCACCTAGTGGCTTCCCTAGCATGAGGTCCGCAAGCAGCACACCGCAGATGACCATGCGACAGACAGTCGCCAACCCGAAGGTCGTCAATCAAGCGATTGGTCACGTCGCAAACCAAGCGGGCGACACACCAGACAGTCATCAAGCATCGCCATCTCTTAGACCTCGGGCTGGCGATAGGGTCAAGGGCTCTGTTTCCTCAGCGCAATCGAGTCTGAATAGCAAGCCTATACCACAGTCCATCCGCCATCAGCAGACAGTGGAAGCGGACTGGGGCCTTAGCATGTCCGAGATCGTAGCTCAACAGCAGATCGAGAAGGACATCGTCAAGGAGGCTGTGGCAAAGAGAAATTTGCAGGAGATCCAGGCAGAACAGGAATTCCAGGAGTGGTGGAACAAAGAGAGCGCTCGGGTGCAGGCAGCTGCACAAGAAGCCACAGCACCGACGAAGGCACCTCGGAAGCACAGAGGACGAGGCGGCGCTCGGAGTAGAGGCGGCAAGGCGGCAGGCCAAGGGAACACCAAAAATGGTGGTGGAGCCAGTAGTACTGCACAGCTTGCAGAGAAGCGATAGAAGATGAATAGATGAATAGATGATACAAGTACCTATCCGAACAATACACGTGATGACGGAGTCGGGATATGCTGTGTTCTTGTACTGGTAGTTCGGGACCATTGTCGTGTGCAATTTGGGACAGTGCGTCTCTCTGTCTCTGTGCGCGGCGATGTACCTTACCAGGCTTACATACCTCTTGCGTCAGGTGTCTTGTAGCCGTGTTGGTTCTCAAAAGGGGCGGGGATCTTTTTCTCTCGGATCCTTCAAAGGTCGTCGGTCGGCATTCAGGTTGTGATGCCCCGCGGTAGGAGGTACCTTCGGCGCAATCGCGCATCACCCTCGCTCGACTCAACCTAAGCGGCCTCCACACTCTCGGTCGTCAACTCAACCTCTCACCTGCTGTACTATACTGTACTTCCGACACCTCCACGTGCCCATGTTTCTCCGCCATTGTGCGACGCCATTGTGCTACAGCTGCATGAATAGCGCGTGCACGAGCACACCCTTTCACTGCACCAGCATAGCATAAGGCGGGCGTCATGCCATCTCCATCTCCAGCCACAGCAGCAGCAGCAGCATCAGCAGCATCAGCAGCCGGTCCAGAAGCCACTCACACCCACTCGCACACCACGTCTCCGAAATATGCGCATGCACGATCGCAATCGCAACCGCAATCGAGGTCGACTCCCACATCCCCGCGCACGGCACCGAGCGGCGGCAATAATGGCCACGCGATTCGCCCGCCGCCGCCGATGAAGCGACAGAGCTCGCAAAGTTCGCATTCATCCAGTCGTCCTGGCCTCGCAAGTCCCGCTGCCAGCGAGCTGCAACTGCAACCCTACGCCGCTGCCCGCGTTAAACCCCGCCACCATGGCGCAAAGGTCGTTACCGCGCGCAACCACAACAGCGCTCGCAATCTGGCCAAAATGAACAAGCAGGCGCAAGGACATGTCGCTTTTGACGACGGACGACGACATGCGCGCCAGCGATCGCACGAGGCGGACACCGAGATCCGCTTGCCAGGTAGCCTGGATGAGAGTATCCAAAGTCGGCCTGCTATGAAACGGAATCTGACCGCATACCAATTGCCTCGGACGGGGAGTCAAAGTCAAGTGAAGTTGAAGAAGAATTCGAGCCATGGTCAACTCTCTAGGCTGGGAGTTGCGGGAAGCAGTCGGAATCTGGCAGGCATGGGAGCACGAGCACCGATGAGCCCTGGGTTGAGGGGCAAGAATAAGAGACCTAAGAGCGCTGAAATCACACCTGCCGAGTATCGGACGTTGCAGGAAAGGAAAGGTTCGGGCCAGAAGTTGACTGCAGCGTCGAAGAAGGTTGGATTTGCAGTTGGCAACTCGGACGAGAGTGATGGAGGATACGACGATGACGAGGAAGATGACACAGGCATCAAGCAGTTGGACATGGAGGGCAGTGGGCTGCAAGAAGATGAATGGACGGAGGAGTCAGCCAGCGCGAGTCCACACAGCACAAGACAGAATACGGCGAATAACTCGAGGAGGACGAGTATGAATATTGGTGCGAAAGAAAAGACCACCAATGCGTTGACGCCGAGTGACTTGTTGGTTGCAAAAGTAAGCGAGGGGATGCAGAAAGGGAGATCTGAGATCGGGATGGCGGAACAGAAGATAGACGACAATGACCGGCCTGGAGAAGTGGAGGCCGGAAGTCCGAAGACAATGACCAAGACGAGAGTGCAGCCAGCTCCATTGCCAGTCATGGACCCCGAGGCTTCTCAGCAGGCCCCACAGACTTTGCTCCAGGAGCCTGCCACAGAGCCCCCTCGACAGCAGGAGTCTGCCCGTCCTCCGAGGACGTCGGCTCACGATTATGCACTGCAGGAAGCGGCCGAACCAGCACCTACTGCAGTCATGCCGCAATCTTCGCAGCAGCAGCAGCAGCATCAGCCGCAGCAGCCAACACCTCCTGGACAGGCTCCTCCGCTCTCGTTTGCGCCACCCATTTATCAGCAAGAGACTGCTCGGGGCTATACGCAGCTGGAAACACACGCTACTGCGCCTCCACGAAGTCCACCACCCCCGGATGCTCAACAATCCAAGAAACATTATACCAACCCTGCAGCCAAACGTGTGACTAGCCAGATACATGTTCCCTCGCCCGCGGCCGTCTCCAGTGTTAGCACACTCGACAATGTTCGCACGAACAGTAGTTCACCGGCCCCATCCCTTCGCTCGTCAAGATCCAATCTTGGAGCGGGCGACAGCACAACTGATGCCGAGCGAGAGATGGATGAGCTTGTCTCGCGTTTCGTTGCTTCGACATCTCATCCCTCGATGGGCAGCGGTGCCAGCACTGCACTCAATACTCCTAAACAAGGTAGCGGTTTTCACACCCCCGAAGAACACCAACACGGCATGCCCCGGGAAAACAGAGCCGGGGCAAATTTCCAACTTGGCCCAACCAGCCCTGGGTCTACGATATCAAACTCTTCGGGAACAACCACTCCTGCGATGGGTCGTTCAAGGACGGAGCTGAGGTTGCTTCAAGAAAAAGCTCTGGCAGATCTAGAAACGAGAGCGGAGCATAAGTTGGGAGGGACCGTTGCCAAACCTGTCCTGCCCGGGCATGTCTATGATCGAAGGAATGAGAGTTTGAAGTCATTCATGAGTAATTCGGAGCAAGCTTCTGGACTCTCTATGGGGCCTCAGATTTTCCAAGGACGATTTCGGGCAGTCAATACCGAGTTGCGTGTGGTGCAGAAGTTTCGAGATCCTGTGGGAGAAGCGATTGCTCGGCTCAGGAGCTGCAAGGGAAGTAAGCTGCATCGACCATCTTCTTCTGCTTCCGGTACTGGCCCGGGACTGGCGAGGGCATCGACGGGATTGAACATGTCGAAAAGCGCGGTCCATCTCCCCAGCTCACAGAGAGCGACGGGTGCGCTCAGTAAGTCGGCCAGTCCGCCGAAGATGGGCAGCGAGCTCGCATTGAAGAGAGCAGGAGGACAACAGAATCAGATGGGCATCGGTGGTCCGACGGGCGGCGGCAGCGAGAGACAGCAATCCCGACGTGGTGTCAGTTTTGCGGGAGGGCCGCCTCGGTCATCGAGAGGAGAGATGATGGGAAGAGAGGTGAGTTTGCAGTCGACACCGACTTATAATGGCATGAGTGGAGCAGATGTTGCAAAGTTTGTGCGGGAGTTGTGGCATGATTTGTGAGGGACTGAGTGAGGAGGAGAAAGGGGGAAGGAGATGGAAACCCTACTTTCTTGATGACTTGATGAGGACACTGGCATTTGTTTTTCTTTCGCATTCGGTTCGGTATTTCATGGCCTGGGCGGTACTTTGTGCTTTTTGTACGATTGATTACTTATATTATATCCAACGTTTCAGCGTGTATTGGATTTGTTCTTTTTTTGGAAGTTTAGGTACAGGTAGGCTCGCATTTGAAGCGCATAGTTTAATAGAGAGATCAGAGATCAGAAATGTAATTCAAAAACCAGGACCTTCAGTGCGCCGTATCACCGTATCACCGGTGTCACGACTGTTTTTGTCAACTATATCGTGCTTATGAGTAATGATTACCTACCAGGTATTTATCGTAGACCGGACAGTTCGATGTAGTGTAGTGTAGTATAGACTGTAGATAGGATACTACCACCGATACGCCGAAGAAAAGAAGCAAAAGAAAAGAGAGACATTCTTCCGTAATGGCCGCCCGTGAGACTAATACGATACCAGCTAGGTACCTAGGTAAGGTACCTTAGGTAGACAAGTCTCAGAGGAGGACGAGAACGAGAAGCCAGCCCTGTTGTATAGTTCTACCGGGCTGCTTATCGATGGTTAGGTAGGTTGGTTGGTATTAAATGCGCTTGCGCCCCCTTGAGGGCAAGTGTTTCAGAAATGTAAAGGTTGTTGGGATGTTTGAAGGGAGGAGATGGAAAGTAAGGACTGAGGTAAGAGGTGATACTAACCGTAAAAATACATTAGGTAGGAGGTAAGGAGGTATACAGTTGGAAACTTGGGGGATTGACTCGGTTTCGAACAGGCGGGGTGCATTTGGCATCTCACGTGTTTTTTTCTTTTTTGTCCAATTTCACGTGGGCGCGTGAATCGTGGTGTGGACAGATTCAGCCGGCGCTAGTACCTGGTGTCATCACGTCCGGGTGTTCATCACCCACCAGTGACCACCCCCCGTTCACCCTTCACACACTCGCTTGAGCTTTTTGCCTCTTTTTCTTTTCTTTTTTTCTTTTCTTTTTTTCTTTTTTGCTTCTTTTTTGCCGCGTCGGATGCACAACGGCAATAGTTACATGTAGTTAGTGTGTTCTAGACTGGGAGTTGCTACAACAGTACTACCTTACCTCCTGGGTTACTAGCCCTGTCGGCAGAGATGCACGATACGATACGAATCCGATGATACCTTACCTTGCTGTAGCTTATGTGTTGTTAAGGTACTGTTGGACAACCATCCATCCGTACCTGTAGGCTGTAGGTATATTCCTAGTATATTCCTAGTGAAGAATTTCATGAGTAGAATCTACATCACCTCATCAATAATCAGGTAATAACACAACTTACAGTCTTACACAAGTGACAAGTGACAAGTCAGCGGAGTGGTGCGAAAGACTTGTTTGTGGGTAATTTGCGCATGGGCCACAGCCTCCGAGTCTAACCAGGAATGGCCGCTGTGGCCCCAGCCAGACTGAGCCAGTTAGCGTGGGAAACAAATTTGCGCACGGCCGCCATCCTGTGTTGCCGCTATAGAACCCGCTCGCTGTTCATCTCGCCCTCGCCCTCACCCTCGCGCCCGCTGCTTCTGCTCTCTCTTTGCCTTCACTCACCACCGACTGTCGTCAGACCACCACGCTCCCTACCGCAGCATCTCTGCATCTGCACACACTCACACTCCTTTGAAAAGACGTCTCGACGACGACGTGTTGGCTAGCCCGCGCCCTTTCTTGCAGCTTCCCTCTGCTATCGCTCCCAGCAACAGACCCGGCGTCGAAATCAGCACGAGAATAGTCTCAGTCAATCGTCTCGAAGACGACACCTCTCGCAGACCAGGGAATCCATCTGGACCATCTCGGCGCACTTGACCCAACCGATCGGCTCCATCATCATGCGCTTCTTCGATCTTTCAGCTGGTGCCATTGCTGCCGCTGCCCTCCTCCAAGGTGCCGTAGCATCGGCCGCCGAGCAGCCTCCCGGATATGGCCCTCCGCCACCATCAACTTCTTCAACTTCTTCACCACCGATCTCTGCGACCACGACTTACTACACGACCATGACCGTCTTCCGCGTCGCGACCACCGTCACCGCCACACGCTCCGGCTCCGTGACCTCCTACACCTCCACTGAGACCGAGACTTCCACTCTCACTGTGCCCACCACCATGGCTTCCGTAACGATACCGACGTATGGCAACCAGACGACCGTGCATCCCACTGGCGCCTACCCGAGCGCTACTGGTATTATTCCTTCGCCAGGCGCTGCGAGCGGACTCCAGGCCTGCTCTATGGCCGCCGCAGCTGTCGCTGGTGTGGTTGCTCTGCTTCTCATCTAAGTAGATGTGAACGGTCATCTCGATACCATTGAGGTACCAATCCTCGTGCATGAGCGCGCTTGCGCGCTTGTGGGGGTTTGATTGGGTGCAGGGCTGGGCTGTTGAGCTCGAGATGTTGGAGATGTTAGGAGAGGAGTGCTTGAATGTTTTATTTTTAACGACTGATGTATGACGGAAGCGCTTCCACTGTTGGGCTTGTTCAGCTGTGGAGTTCTTGCCGATGGGAGGAAAGCTTTGTCACCACGCCTTACTGACTGGTCCTTGTTTCGAGGGGCTGTTGGCTGAGACCGCGTGGTGAAAGCACATGGACTCACACGAGCTTGCCTATACCCCCTGGGAAGCGATCATGACTGACCAAGAGAAGATATACCCCCTTTTTGAACACTTCTTGTGCGTATTTTTTAGTTCGATTCTTGAGTAGATAGTTTATTTGAGGAGAAGAAGAAGAACAAGAAGAGAAAGAGTTACTTGCCCCAATCAAACCACTTCACTTGCTTATCCAGCCGCCGCTTTTCAGGCCCAAAGGTCAGGTTTTTCATTCTTGTTGCGTTGCTATGTCCATTGGCATCTGATGATGGTCGTTGCCCGAGCAGTGTTGAATTGCGTATGACCGTGGGGTTCCAACTGCCGCCAGCTGCGTATTTTGTGATGAATATCTTTCGTCTCGAGCCCATTTCCTGGTCATATGCGTCTGTCAGTGGAATTGTGTCTAGAAATATGTAGATGAGGTGAGGTGAGGTGCTGTTCCTGTCGATCAGTGCCGCGTGCGTATAGTTCTCAAACGTCCGTCAGACCCACATGGCGTATCGTGGAGTATCAAGCCCGCCCGTGCCCGCATTTGAGCTCAGACATCGAGGAGGAGGTAGCTCTACACCAGTACCACAGACAGGTACTGAACCCTTCAGGAAGACCCTCGTTGCACAAAGACCAAGTCTGACCTCGACAGCTCCACTTCTCCGGCACACATTCCCCGACACCGACCTCCGCTGTGAAGGGAAACTGCACAATGCAGCGGGTCAAAAACATCGACTATGACGACGATGATGTCTATTCGGACGAGGAGGAATACGCAGAAGAAGGGCCGGGCGAATATTCAGCGGAGGACAAGGAGAACTTTGCGGCCTTGACACCGGTTGTAAGAGCAGAGCTGGACGAGGCGGGTATACCAGCAACAACAAAGCAAATCGAGGATGCGCTATGGCACTACTACTGGGATGTTGGCAAAAGTGTGGCATATCTCAAGAACTCAAAGGCACCACAGCAACCCAAACAACAGGTAGCGAAGAAGGAGAAACCGAAAAGCAAGTTCGATGAGGCAGCCGAGCAGAGTGCCGTGATTGCAGGTGAGTGCTATTACCTGTTTTGTTCGTGCACGAGATCTGCCTGGAGGCACAGCTCGTGCAAAGGAAATTGTAAAGGTGGGCGCGCTCTCGAGTGCGACAGGTGGTCAGCCACTGATCAGGCTCGGGCAGACTCGAAGTCACCAATGCCACCACTGTCAGCTGCAGACTGGTTCAAAGGTACTCCATGGACACATGTGCCTGCGCAGGACGTTGGTCTGCTTGTCCCTTGCCGACCAGTCGGCCCAGAGCCTCGACTGCTGGGAGGATCCTCTAAGCTGGCGAAGCTAGCAGAAGAAAGGAGAAGGAAAGCAGCAGCTCCGCAGCAAGCATCACAGGCGGCAGCAATCGACTCTATTAGTGGACTTGATCGCTTGAGCAAGCCCAAGGACACGAAAGAGAACAATCTGCCGGTTGCTCGTGAACCGCCAAAGAAATATCCCATCCGACGAAGACGATCACCTACGCCGCCTCCACGAGAGCCAACTCCACCCCCTGAAAAAGCGGCAGAAGTTCTGCCAGATCTTCGCTGCCCACCTACTGCATTTGGTGTTACCCTCGCGTCCACGTCCTCGGGGCCTGAGGGTGGTAAAACGATGGGTCTTCAGGACCTCTTCGGCGAGAGATACAGCCTGGGCGCTTTTGCAGGGCCTTCACCCGACGATACCGTGATCAAGGCACAGCAAGGCAGCAGGGGACTGAACAAATAAATGCTTACGACAGAGACATAGCTAATCAGAATCATGACGATAGATAAAGTGAAACAGACACAACCTCCAGCAAACGGCCTTGCCAAAAAGGCGGAAGCTTTGAAGCTGGACCCTACACCTAAGCTCAAAAGTAAAGGCCTAGATGTGCCGAAGCTGTGGCAAGAAGAGAAATCGAAGCGAAAGTCCGCAGCATTCGTAGTCATTGGACACGTGGACCATGGCAAGAGTACGCTCATGGGTAGACTATTGCTTGACACTGGCGCCGTGGCACAAAGGGATGTTGATAAGTAAGTACTTCTCCGCCCATACCTCCGAGCATATGTGCCGATCGATGATTGCAAGGCCTCCAGACAATGGGACTGATAGTATGCAGATACAAGAAACAAGCGACAGAGATGGGCAAGGCCTCTTTTGCACTAGCATGGGTAATGGACACGGGCTCAGAAGAGCGTCAACGAGGTGTCACTGTCGATATCGCCCAGCATCATTTTAAATCCGGCGATGTGGACTTCACGATTCTTGATGCCCCTGGACATCGCGACTTCGTGCCAAACATGATTGGCGGAGCGTCCATGGCCGATATGGGAGTGCTAGTGGTGGACGCGAATCAGCTCGAATCGGGAATGAAAGGGCAAACTAGAGAGCACATCTTACTTGCCCACGCCGTTGGGCTTCAGAAGATCGTGGTCGCTGTCAACAAGCTGGATTCTACTTCGCAGCCCTGGGACCAGTCGATCTTCAAGGCCGTCAGTGCGGAAGTACGTAAAGTCTTGATGGAGACTGGATTCTCGAAAGACAACATATCAGTCGTACCTTGCAGTGGGCTTAGTGGAGAGAACGTCGTCAAGGCGCCTTCCGAGAGTTCAGAGGCGGGTTGGGTCAAGAAGAACCACCCCACGCTGATACAACAACTTGAGCAGTCTGTCGCTGAGTCGACGTCGGTAGAGGTCGTGCTAAAGCCTCTACGTCTGCAAATTGCAGACGTGTTTCGAGGCGGCATACAGAATCCTGTCTCAATATCTGGTCTGGTGCGAAGCGGGAATGTGCAAGTCGGCGAGTCCATCATTATCCAACCTAGCGGAGAAAAGGCTACTGTGAAGGGCATCGAATTGGCTGGCGTGTCGAAAGAGTGGGCAGCAGCAGGAGATATTGCTGCTCTTCATCTTGCAGATATCGAGCCTCAACATTTGAGAAGCGGTGACATTGTGTGTGGCTCATCGAAGCCGGTCTCGGTAGCGAAGAACATTATTGCTAAAGTGCAGGCCATTGATGCTCTTCTACCGCAGGGCGTGGATGTACATGTGGGTCGGCTCCATGTTCCAGGACAGATCAACCAGCTGTTTAGCATTATCAACGCCAAAGACGAGGTGCTGAAGAAGAAGCCGCGGATTGTGAAGGCAGGTCAGCGAGCTGTGGTGAGGATTGCTCTCGACGACGGGGCTCCGCTTGAGGTGGGCGATCGGGTTGTGGTGCGAGCAGAAGGAAGCACAGTAGCAGCAGGCGTAGTGGAGAATGTAGGCAGATAGATCATACCTGTAGTCTACATACGTAGTACGCTACACTGTGTGGTTGACTGTGATGAATGTCCTTGTCATAAGCCACGCTAAAGCGTTGTGGGCTTGCGTGGATTGCGGAGGTCTTGAACCAATGACCGAGCAAGGTTACCTATTGACGACGTCTCGACAATCATTTCAGCTTGACGGCCTTTCTCCTTTCAGACACTACATTGAACCGTTTACAACCTTCACTTCGAACCTACACTGTTCCTTTCCACTTGGATCATTCAAACATGTCACGTCGAGCGGCGGGGCCAGACAAGGCCGAACAGAATCGAGCGACACTGAAGCAGTTGGTGAAGCTAGAGACCAACAAGAGCTGCGCCGACTGCAAACGCAACAAACATCCACGATGGGCGAGCTGGAACCTTGGAGTCTTTGTGTGCATTCGGTGCTCGGGCATTCACCGCGGCATGGGGACGCACATCTCCAAGGTGAAGTCGGTGGATTTGGATTCTTGGACGGATGAACAGATGGCAAGTATGCTGAAGTGGGGCAACGGAAGAGCGAACAAATACTGGGAGCACAAGTTGGCAGAGGGACATGTGCCTAATGAGGCGAAGATTGAGAACTTCATCCGGACAAAGTATGATAGCAAGCGGTGGGTTATGGATGGACCCATGCCCGATCCGAGCACGTTGGACGATGGCGGCGCAGACGACGATGTGCCGTTGAACGTAGTCCAGCAGCAAGTGAGGGAGCGGGAGCGCAGTGCAAGTTTGAGGAATGGTCAAGCTACAGGAGCTATGCCAGGCCCGCCGCGAGCACAGCAACCACAGATGGATCTGTTCGGGGACATGTCAGAGCCAGCAGCACAGCCTGCAAGACCAAGTACCACCGAGCCTTCTCTCAGCAGACCTGCTCCTCCTAAATCTTCTGTGGCACCGCCCAAACCGACCAGACCTGGCGAGAGCTTACTAGGAATGGACTTTTTTGGCGGGGCACAATCAGCTCCTCCAGCTAGGCCTTCGAGCACTGGGCCGAACGCTGCCGCTTCGTCTTCTGGAAGGTCAGATCTGAAGCAGTCTATCTTGTCTTTATATGCGTCGAAGCCGATTGCCCAGCCAGCACAGCCCGCGGCCAACGCCTTTTCGGGAATGTCGTCACCTCTAGCAAGCCCCACGGTGCAGCAATCGAACACCCAGGCACTCGGTGGTCTTGGCGATGCATTCGGCTCCCTATCATTCTCCAGCCCGCCCGTACAGCCCAAGGCCGCTCCCTTCTCAAATTTCTCGGCACCATCCGGCCACTCCAGGCAGGCATCAGCATCAGGGCAGCAACCAAAAGCATCAATACTCAGTGGCGGGAGCTTCTTCGATGCCAAGCCAGCTGCGCCTCCGAAGCAAACATCACCTCTCACCTCACCCCCAGTTCAAACTAGGCAGACGCGCGACAGTTTCGGGGCCGACTTTGGCGACTTCTCTTCTGCATCGCCTGTAACGTCATCAGCGACTAAGACTTCAGCGCCTCCAGCTGCAAGTAGCATGGGTGACCTCTTCGATATGGACTCTCCACCCGCACCGCCGTCAAAGACGGCGAATAAACCACCGCTGATACAAGCGGCTAACTTCGCGGCATTCAACCTCTCGCAACAGCAACAACCACCTCCACCAGCTCCCAAGGCAGCTCCAACGTCTTCCACGTCCAACTTTGCAAGCACGAATGTGTGGGATTCCAATGATGCGTGGGCATCTCCTGACCCGGAACCTGCTCGTCAGACTACTGCAGCGCCGCCAGTCACAAAGGCGCCGTCACCTGTTGCGTCATTCAAGCCTACTCCGTCCGTGAGTACCAGCGCGTTTGATTCTGGCTGGGGCGATGCTCCCACGAACACGTCTACAAGCGCCAGTGGGTTTTCTGTGCAGCAAGACGAGGAATTTGGAGGATGGTCGCATGCTAGTCCAGTGGCTACGACACCAGGACCGGCGAAGAGTGGCGGTGGGGGCGCCACTAATTCCGACGATTTATTTGGGAACGTTTGGGGATAGTGCAAATTGGTGCTGGGAAAGTCATCCGCATGTCGTAGATATGGTTCATACCTTGCAATTTGTCTACAAGGAGTATACTGTCTCTAGGAGACACCTGGAAAGTACCTAGTTTGTTGAATGAACGAATATGATACAACACACACATACACAACTTTGGAGTGCGTGACTGCTCTTTCACTTGTGCACTCTTTTTCTTTCCTACCAGATGAACAGCAGTCCCATACTCTTAGAAACACGTCCCTCTCCATGCAGCCCAAACGCCATCGCTAACCCTCAAATGCTCATCCTCCCCCATCTTCTTCCATCTTCTTCCCTCCCCTCCAGATCCCCCCCCCCTCTTTCTTAAAAAATCCACCGCAAAATCCAATACCCCAAAACCACCACTCCAATCAAAATTCCCGCCAATTTGATCACAGCGACTTTATTCCCACTCTGCGCCATCGTCACCAATCTCCGACTCGAGCCTGTTAGGGAACTTGTCATGCTGGAAAATGTCTCCGAGGTCGAGTCGATGACGTGTTGATCTCGTGCGTTGTCGTATATGTCTATTGTTACGCTGCGGAGCGCTGAGACTTTTTGGGAGAGGGAGGTTAGGGAGTCGTTGTTTTGGCTGGTGGATGGGTTAGTTTGGGGGGGTGGGTTTGATGGGGAGGAGGGGGGGAGGCGGACCGTTCGCGTTCGTAGGCTTCGGACATGGTGGGTGGTGGGGAAAGGTGAGAGTGGAGGAGGTGGGAGTTGAGGTTGCGTCGGGATGGTATTGATGTTGATGTTGTTGTGGTTGTGGTTGTCGTGGTCTCGCATTCACAAGCGAAGTGGATGGATGTATAAGGTAAGGTATAGCCCGCGGTAGCTATAAGAACTAAGAACTAGTCCTTCTTGGCTCGTTTATCCAGGATCCGACCGCGCTTCGTCATGGGGTCTGCGCCACAATTATACAATAAATAAGCAGCTGCTGAACGAGAGACGAGCTCTGTTGCCTCTTCCGCCAGGCCAGCGCTAACTTACTCTACTACTACACTTACTACTTATTGATCCATACCGACCGCACTCTTCTTGTCCTGTCCCGGACACTTCTGGTTGTATCGCATCATCCATTGGCATACCGTCAACATCATGCCGCCTTTTCTCAACAACCCGCTGCCCTCGTCGATGCGAAGTGAGTGACAACGGATCCCCCCACCTCATGCCACACCTCATAAGCTGACACGACCTCTCTCTCCCTCCAGGTGAATGCAAAAAGTGCGGTCGCATCCTCGCATCCTTCATCGACCCTCGACAATCCTTTGGACCCGACAAAGTCATCCCACCCTCCATCCTCGCCAATGCCAAAGGCTTGGCCATCATCACCGTCTTCAAGGCCGGATTTCTCGGGTCAGGCCGTTTCGGCAGCGGCGTCGTCGTCGCCCGTCTCGCAGATGGCACCTGGTCCGCACCCTCCGCCATCGGAACCGTAGGAGGAGGCTTTGGTGGACAGATTGGCTTCGAAATCACCGATTTCGTCTTCATCCTCAACGATGCGAGCGCCGTGAAGACGTTCTCGCAAGTGGGATCGCTGACGCTGGGAGGAAACGTCAGTATTGCCGCGGGACCCGTGGGGAGAAATGCCGAAGCCGCGGGAGCGGCGAGTTTGAAGAGCGTGTCGGGCGTTTTCGCCTACAGTAAGACAAAAGGCTTGTTCGCGGGAGTCTCGTTGGAGGGCAGTGTGTTGATTGAGAGGCGAGACGCGAATGAGAAAATGTATGGGAGAAAGTTGACTGCGAGGGAGTTGTTGGGTGGGAATGTTCCTGTGCCTCCCCAGGCTGAGCCGTTGACACGAGTGCTCAACTCGAGGATTTTTGCGGGTGTTGGGGGCACTTTCAAGGATGATGCCATGTACAATGATGTTCCGGTGTACGATGAGAGCCACGAAGATGTGGTATGGCAGGGTCGGACAGGAAGTGGATTTCAAGAGGGCATTGCGACACAGAGGACGGGAGACTTTCGACAGGACAACAGCAACGGATTCGGGTCTCCGAATCGTGCTTCCACGTGGCAGAACCCATCCAGTCGCGCGAACCCCAACGAAACGTTTGACAGTCTGCAAGGCCGAGATCGATCGTCTACACTGGGCGATCAAACCGACTACGTCTACTCCGATCGCAAAGGTCCCGCACCAGGACGACCGTCGGCGCCCAAGCCCGCGTTTGGAGAAAAGTTGGCTTCCGTATCCCCTGGCCAAGCCATTGCCAAATTCACCTTTGAAGCCGACCAACCCGGCGATTTGGGCTTCAAAAAGGGAGATGTCATTGACATTGTGAAGAGAACTGAGAGTGAGGCGGATTGGTGGACGGGCAGGATAGGGAAACGCGAAGGCATTTTCCCGTCCAACTATGTCGAAGTGGTATGAAGGCGCAACAACAACAACAAGTCAGGAGGATTCATCTCTTCTTCTTGCTCTTCTTCTTCTTCTTCTTCTTCTTCTTCTTCTTCTCCTTCTGCTGGTGGTTGTTGTTGTTGTTGTGGTTGGATGCTCTATATGTCTAGCTTGATCCTCTTTGGACTTGTGTATTGTTGTTGTTGGATTGTTTGTAGTAGTGCTAGGGGAGGAGAAAGTTGAAAATACCCATATGAATTGACGAAGAGAGAGAAAGAGGGAAAGAAAGAGAGTAAAGTAAATCAAACGACACGCAGCGCCAAAACTTGTTTGTGTTTACACACTCACTCACTCACTCACTCACTGTTCAATGATTTGAAATGAATGGATTGGATTGGATTGGATTGGATTAGAGACGAGCGAGAAAAGGCCATGCGATGAATGGTTGTTGATACCTAGTCTTTTTTTTTGGTCCTGTCGTCTCGTCTCGTCTCGTGTCTGGTCATGTCTTGTTTCTGTCTTTCTTTGTACTCGTGAACAGTCACCTACTTACTTATTTACCTACCTCCCACTACCTCATAGTAGCCAGCTAGCCGAGAGCATTTAGCATATCGATTGAAAGTTTCTTTCTTTCTTCTTCGACGTCCTCCTCTCACCTCCTATGGTATTCAATGGCAGCAAAATATTGGAATTTCTTAGGGGGGTGTATGATAGGTAGCTAGCTGGTTGATTGACTTTTCAACTTTCTGACTTTCCGAGAACGCGGTTGGAATTATATACCTACCTTACCCTACCCTACCTCACCTACCTTCATTCACGACTGCATACACATGATGGACAATTTTTCTCTTTTTTTCCTTTGTTTTTGAAAGTGACCCGGCAAGTCTTATATTTTGATAGATATTTTTCACTTCCCCTCCCATTTTCCAAACTGTCTCCAATCACTCACCACAATCCTTAAGATAGCTCTCTCATTCGCGTTCATCGCAGCGCTCAAAGATCTCATTCTCGCCTCGTCATGAGCCTCCATGGCTTCGCAAATGGCAAAAATGCCCGGTCGGATGGCGACTCGAATCGTCTCGGCAGGATTGGAAGCGAGGACTTGAGAGCAATAGTGATGCAGGATATAGTGCACGAATTGGCCCGCGTACTTTTGGGTCTCGCGCGAATGGTCGACGAGGTTCGTTGTTGCTGTGTTTCGGACCCAGACTGGTTTGCAGAACATCTCCAAGAGGTGGGCGACATTTTTTGCGTGGCGTTGGCGGATCTGTAAGGGGGCAGCAGTAGCTGAGGTTTCGTCCAAAAGGCTGGTTAGGAGCGTTTGGAAGAGCGCGGTGACAAGGTGGAAGCGACCTTGTAGTTGCGTACGGTATTGGTTCAAGATGACTTTCAGCACTTGGCAAACTCCGGAAAACGCCTCCTCGGCCTGGCTGCTTCGGGACATCACTTGGTGCATGGCGTTCAAGCTCTGCTCGAGGCCATACTGGCTGACAATGTGCTTTTTTTGCGCAGCAAGAGTCTCTATGAGTGACAAGGCCTCACTTTGAATGCCACCATTATCCGTTTCTGACAATGTACGTAGCAGATAATGCCATACATCGTTCGCAGAGAAGGTTGCTGGCGTTTCCACGGACGATTTTGCCCATTTCTTGATCATGCATCCATTCAGCTGCGCCACAGCCAAGGACTTGGGCGGTCCGGAGCGAATGATGTTGGCAATTGCATCGCCGCTTACTTCAGTGCCCAGCGATTCTTCGAACCAACGGAGCACGAGTCTTTCATCTTTGGCGGTACCGCTCCTTGATAAGATCTGAGCCGCGGTCTCGGTCAAGTCAGAACCAGCATCATATCTGCAGAGCAGTTTGAAACTGGTCGATTTGAGCACAGCCGAAGATGAGTTGTCCGACAGTAAAATGTCTTTCGCAGCCTTGACGAGTCTACCAATAAAAGTCTTTCTTTTAGATCCGACCAGTTTCCACACTGATTCGGGAAGGATGAGAAGGCCATCGCCAGCAGCAGAGTAGTTGATGGGTGACAGCCCACTCTTGCGCCTTGCTAGATCTGCTTGCGTGCCCTCGAATTGAGTGACGAGGTGTTCGACCAACGCCCGCAGTACTTTCTTGTCGTGATGGGCGTGCGGCTCACTCTCGCTGCTGTTCGACTCTTCAAAACAAGCGATTGTCGTGCAGACCAACAAAATTAGGGCGTCCGAAGCAAAGGTATTGGTTACGCCACCAGTACCAGCCTCCCAGGTCCTGATGTGCTCGGTTGCAGCTCGTGAAAGCTCCTTTCGTTGATGCTGAGCTTTGGCAGAGGACAAATGGCGGAAAAGCGCCCGCACAATGGAAGGGAGATGTTGGAGACTCGCAGATGGTTCAGTGGGCTCGGTACGTGGTGCCCACAGGAACGCCAGGTTAAACAAAGTCGGCGCTAAGTTGAGCAATTGCGAATCCTCCACAGGGTACATGAGCCAAGAAAGGACAAGTGCCGAAAGCTGCTCGAGAGACCCAGCGGACGGGCAATCAGATTTCTGAGTGAGGAGCCTGTTGAGGACTATACCGCGCTCATGCATACTCAGGGCAGCTGGTACTAGTAACGCGTACTGTGAGACGTTCAACGTAGCTAGCCACTTGTCCATATCTCCCTTGTGTTTCACAGCCGACATGATGTTTGCGAGGACCCGCGGAATGACGCTGTCGGCATTTCGTATGGTTTCATCAGAGTAGCCATCGTGAGCGCGATGGGATACTGCTGTCTTCAAGACCTGATCAGCGGACGCTGACGGCAATCCTACAAGGAGCTTGGGGTACTCGGCCAGAACGGACAGACCGCTCTGAGGCTGCGCGCACAACATCTCAACGACTTGAGGCCGTAGAGCCGCACGTTTGCCGTCGGAGATGTATGGCTGCCCCATACTGTGCACACATCCAAGGAGAACCTGCGCTGCCGAAGTTGCGCATGATGCACTTTGAGCATCCTTCATTGCCATGGCAAGGATGTCGCTCTTGACCAGTCCAGTGAGATATGCTGCAACCGCAGCATGATCAGATTGTGCATTCACCCACGAGGGGAGCCATTGCTCGAACACTACAGTAAAGAACTGCCATAATTCTCGACGGCAATCAACGTGTAAGTGAGAGGTATCCAGCGACCTCAGAGTCGCTAGCGACCTCTCGAGGTGTTCATCGACTCGGCCACCGTTACGCAGCCCCTGAAAGACCGTGCGGAGCACCACCAGGTCGGCTCGCAATCTTCTGCGAGTGTCGTCCTGGATGATGTCACGCTCCTCTCGAACAGCCAGTTGTTGGAGAAGTACAAAATGTTCAGTCAAAGCTGAAAGAGCGATGTCTGCATCCAGAAGTGATGATATCGCATCCACGACATCGGGCACGACAGCTAACCATACTTCAGCGGCCTGGTTGTCGACATTGCTTTGGAGCTGGAGGTGCCACAAGGCCAGGAAATCCTTCGTCTGCTGTTTTTGAAAGAACGCATCAATGATCTGCACGATTATGCGATCTTTCACAATGGAGTCGTTTGCTGTTGTAGACATCTGTCTAGCCCCGATAGCTGCGAACAGCTCAGCTGCAATGGCTACGTCGGTGAATATTCCAGAGTTGAGAGACACAATCTCTGCAATTATCCGCCAGCTGACACCACGGGTGGCCTCCGATGCAACGAGAGCAATTTTGACTAAGCCGCATAGCTTTTGAGATGACAAGGTGACTTTGTTTTCGGCGAGACAGTGTAACATGGCCGTAATTGCCTCATCGTGCTGGCCATAGTCTTCAAGATTGAGATGCTCAGATAAAGCTTCGAACATAGTCTCGATCCACGGGAGTTCTCTATTCCGTTGCCCCGGCGTCGGCATTGAAACAGCCCTCAGGGCAATATCCAGAACGACGGGCACCACCTCATGCGCATCCTGCATGCTCGTCTTCAGAGCATCAAAAACTCCTGCTAGCTGCTGTCCAGTCTTCGGGGGCTGCTTCCTGTGTCCGGCTTCTTGCTGCCTCGTGGCTAAGAATGATGCTCGAGCTGGCAGTACTGTATGCTTGGCTACCAGTGATTCGAGCGCATGCATATAATCTTGCGTAGGCTCTAGAGCACATGTAGCTCGTTTGCGCTTCGTTGCAGTACGCTCATCGTCCTTTCCGAGCAATACCAAAATACGACATGCTGAGACCACAGCTTTGGAGCTGAAGGCTGTATCGTCTGACGAGGAGCGTTTACGAGCGGTCCATAGCTGGACTCCAAGATTGAGAAGCAAGCGATCCACAGCAGCTGTCGCAGCAGCATCGTCCTCTTGTAAAACTCGATATACGTGCTCGAACCAATGTCCGCAAATCTCTGCGGCCAAAACTCCATCCACTCGCAGCAAAGCCATAACAGCAGCGCCAGCGGGCGCCAGGCTCATCACGTGCAGCAGCTCCCATGAGTGCCAGATGGCTGACAAAGTGTCCTTCGGTATGCTTTGTTCAGCGCAAGTGGTCTGCAGGACTTCGTGCAAGGCACCACTACCCAGAATCGCTGCAATCCTCTGAACTGGCAGCAGGCGAACGCAAGACGCAAAAAGATTCCAGGATCCGGAATGTAATCGTGTAGGTGAGGATAGCTTCAATCTTGTCACCAGCCAGCGAAGCAGCATCTCTGCTCGGGCACTGTGGTTGCATAACTTCTGAGCTTCTTGCAGCTGGACATCGACAGTTGACAGGCTGTCCAGAGCCTTGAGCCGCGCCAGAGACGTCGCATCGTGCAGTGCCGTTCCACCCATTTCCTCCCAATTCCTTCTGATGGGTTTAGTCTTGTGGAAGAGTTGTGGTGTTTGGAACTTGGGCAACTTTTTCTATAAAAGTCTATCTACGGATCGGACAAACTTCGGAAGTATTCGCCGACATTGAGAGCGAGCTCTCCCGCTGGCTGGCTGGCTGGCAACGACGACAACGACGACCACAGACTCCTTCGAACACGAAATCCAACGCGCTCTTCACCTCTCGATCGACCGCATCTACATATATCATGGCCGACTCAAACAACCCCAGCAGCGCCGTGATCCCACCACCAACGCGTTCCAACCGACCCATGAGCGAAGCGCTACTGAACGAAAAGGTAAGATCCGAGGAAGGGAGACACGGCAACAGCAGTCGCAGAGACAGGAAGAGTCAAGACAATAGTGAACTAATATAATCAATCAATCTCACAGTGGGACCACTGCCTCAGCACCCTCCTCATTCGCTCCGGCTTGGGCGCATCGTTTGGCGTGATCTTCTCAGTCCTCCTCTTCAAGCGTCGAGCATGGCCGGTATGGGCAGGCCTAGGATTTGGAGCCGGACGAGCATGGGAAGAATGCGATAGCGTAGGCCACATCGCTTTGGTGAACGAGCGGTATGACGAGACTAACATGGGATCCAGAGCTTTAAGCGCGCGACCGCGCCGTCTCGTGATGGCCTTCGTGTGCTCAGACCGTGAGCAAACAGTCTGGCAAGAAAGAGATTGACGCGCGAGCAGTACGTGCACAAGTGAGGAGTCGGGAGTGAAGCTGATTGTGGACATCATGAATCCATTTGGCTCACTCAGTGTGCCGAGAACAGCGGTTACGGATGGCTTTGTATATATGCTTCACCACGCAGACGAGTCATAGCAGTGTATGAACAAGCATGGAACTACCTTATGCTGCAAGCGAGCCCAGTCAATGGCTCTGCTCTCACCACTGTACTGTTCAAATTTCTTCGTTGATGCTACTTGACTTGGGGCACAACGTTGTCTTTGGAGCAGAAAAGAGCGGCACAACTTGTCCGCAGCGGCTCCCGATGTGGGCATATATATTCACGGCACGATGCTCACTCATCCTGATCATCATCTCTCGCCGAGTTTTTTGAGTGCAGCGGAGCCCTGTTCTTCCCATTCTTGCTTGGAGACCCACATGTTGTCTTTATCCGCCATGATGTTTGCCAGAACAGCACCACCAAGGAACACCATATGTCGTCTTCGAGGAGGATCCTCTATCCGCACCTTGAACTTGCTGAGTCGTTCCGGGTTGCCACCAAGTACCTTCGTGAGCCACAGCTGCTTGATCTCCTTCTCCATTCTCGAGGGTAGACCGGGGTACATACTGCTCCCCCCAGATAAAACAATGGCTTTGTATAGAGAAGATCGGATATCCACATCTGCGGATTGGATGGTATTGAACAAGAACTCCGCAATACCAGGCTGCTCGACATCGACTAGATGCGGCTGAAACAGGCATTCCGGGGCCTCGAAGCGTTCGCTGCCAACGCGAATGACGCGTCCGTCTGGCAATGTATATGACTCCACCAGTACCGTTGTGTCCTCGCTCAGTCGCTGATCCAAAGCCAGATCGTAGGAGACATAGCACAACTTCTCTTTGATCGCACGAACCGTTTCGAAATCCGCCGTGCGGTTGAGCGCATATCCACGCCGCGTGAGCAGCGAGATCAGGTTGCGTGTAACATCTCGGCCTGCAACGTCCAGTCTCCGTGTAAGATGGTTCAGAACTGTGCTCTCGTACACAGGCACAATATGGGTAACACCGTCACCAGAATCAACCACGACTCCAGACGATAAACCTTGAGCATAGAGTGCAAGCACTGCCTGTATGGCGACGTAGACTCCTCCAAAGTTATACCGCTCGAACATGACTTCGCACATTTGCTCTCGGTTCTTGAGCGGATTCATGGGAGGCTCCGTCAGTAAGATCTTGCGTCCAGTCGGATCAATCTGCATCTTCTCGAAGAACGTGTAATCCCAGAGATGTTGCATGTCTTCCCATCGCTTTACAATTCCGTTCTCCATCTGGAATTCGAATTCAGTCAGCACTTGGACCTATCCGTGCCCACACAGAAGACTCCTCGTACCGGGTATGTGATCTGCAGCATCGACCTCGCTGCTGCCGCCTCGTCTCCGCACATAATGTCTTTGAGCTGGACATCCCCGGCCGCTTGCTCTTCCGTCCGCAATATAGGTCGCCCGACGATGGAAGGGTATTGGTGGTCGGGAAAGTTCTGCGCATCGCGTGTGAGTATTCGTTCTCTGTCCGCGCCATCTCGTCCGGTCTTACCTGGCCAGCATAGCCAGCCTTGAGAAAGCCGGTACCGCCATCGAGCACTGGATCCCTCATTAGCGAAAGCATTGGGGGGGTTTCCGCAGAGTCTGCATACCAATTGGCGCCTCCGCCATGCTTGCTAGTTGTTATATGCACAGGTGACGTCGAGTCGGAGGCGTGGATCGCACAAGAGTTCGGGTGCTGAGGTCTGATGTTGGTGAAGTGCGGATACTGTACTGCCTAATCGCAACCGACTTTGGTGGAAGTGGCTTGGACGATCGCAGCTCCCCACATTCGATGATCACTCTCACTTTACTTAAGGTACAGGTACTACTGCACAGTTCCATTCATACCAATATTGAGGAATGAGAGGCACACATCTGGGAAAAGTTGGAGAGGCGCGTTACGAAGGTTAACAAAAACATTATGTACACAAGTTCGTGGGCGGGAATCATCGCAGCAGATCCCCATTGCATTGCACCAGCCTTGCTTGTTGGCTCTGGTCTTCTGGCGCAGATACAATGCCTGAAACCCTTTTCCACAGACGAATGGCAGCAAATAGCGCCCTTTTAGCCCTCCACTAACACGATAGACTTGAATAATGAACAAACATGTCCGACACCAAAATGCAGATTTTGAAACGTGCAAGCGGCGGCCAAGCACCGAACTCGCACGGCGAGGATCAAGCACGTGAAGCAGATGCTGTGTTATATGTTGCGGTACGTTCGAGCAGTACCTATATGGGCTTGAACAACGCACACCGTTGAAGCACTGTCATGGCGGCCGAGACAGTGAAAGCATGGAGAAATTTACGATATCGTCTTGGTCATCGTGCGTATCGTGCCAAAAGGTCGCTGCCTGCACCATACGATCAGAACTAGGAGAACACAAAGGTTGCTGTGCCAGAGCTGAGCGAAACCTGAGAGGAAATTAGTAAAGACTTGGCTGAAGAAGTCCTAGTGAGCCTCTTACCGTGCAACCTGTGACTGGGCTGCATGAAGTTCCTGAGCAGTATTGGCCATCCGAATATTTACAGCTGCCGCTGAGGGTGTCGCCGACGATCTCGACAGTGAACTCCAGCTTAGCGTTGGTGGTGGGTGCGTTTTGGAAGATAGACAGCCATGCGGCGCCGTTGGAGTAACCGACACCAAGATTCATCGGAGCGAAGTTACCCCAGGGGTTGTCAGGAGTACCCCAACAGCAGGCCTTCTCGACCGGTACGCCCGCTGGGTTGACGTAGTACTGCGCAGAAGTGCTGCGGCCCTGCCACTTGTAGGCTTTTTCGGCATCGGGGCATGTGAGGTTCTTGGTTTCGCCGGGTCCAACATCGGTAGGAATGGTCTCTGACTCCAAACCAGGATAGTCTGTCCCACAAACAGCCACGTTCTTGGGGAGTTTGTTCTTCACAAGGACCTGGACCTTGTCCGTTCCCTTCATACAGAGCTTCTTCGACAAGTCGGGATTGGTCAAGTGAAGTTTTCCATTTTGGCACAAAACTCCACCAACGGACTGACCAGTCATCCCTTGCAACAGAGGCCATTGCGTCTTTGTATAACCAGGTGGGCAGGCGTACGAGCAATACGCGCCTTCTCTGCAAGTTCCGCCTGGAGTGACGGTCTCGATATTGGTGAAGCCAGTCGAGTCAGAACCCGCGCCTGGGCACTGGACACCAGTCCAGCCCCCAAGTCCAGTCCACTCTACAGGAATGGGACCATATTCTGATGGGAAGTGTTCGCACGACAAAGTTCCGTCGGGGAAGTCAGCATCAACGCCGCTTCCACCACCACTTCCATAGCCTGGTGGGGATGGCTTGGGTGGTGGTCCTGGTGGACTGGGTGGTGGAGTGCTTGCCTTGGGTGTCGGGGTGGGCTTGCTGACGCTCGTGGTAGGAGCAGGGGTGCTGGTGCTGATTCTGGTGCTGCTGCTGCTGCTACTGCTAGTGCTGCTGCTGCTAGTACTGGTGCTAGTACTGGTGCTGCTGCTGCTGGAAGACGGGGGCGGCCCATAGCTTGGTGGTGGCTCCTCATAGCTCGGCGGCGCATCGGAAAGTGAACCATCGGCGAAGACCAGAGTACCGTTATTGATTCCCTGTTGGACTTCTGTCTCAGAGATAGGGTGCCCGTTCAGCACGTATACAACCTGCGTCGGGACGTCAACAGATTCGTAGCCGGCTGGAGCCTGTGGCTCGCGCTTTTCCTGGTGCAGATGCTGATGTCCATGGTGGTGGGCCTGCTGCGCCGCGGATACCACAACGGCTGCCTGGAGCAGCGCAATGGAGAGTTTCATAATCGGTTTATCGTGCCAGTGATTGGTTTATGCCGTGGCGGTTGGCGGGGAGACCAAAGTTTGTCGTCGTTCGGTCGCGTCTTGTTTGTCGCTCGACAAGAAGCCGTGGTGAGCAGGTGTATCGCGACGACGATCTATCTGTGAGTGTTGTCCAAGTCTGGCCTGAGGGATGGCTGGCTGGCGCGCAAGATGCTACGGTAAAGAATGTGGTCTGCGGGCGGGCGTGGTCAATTAGTGATTCCAGAGAGCGAATTGGAGCCGAGGACTCCAGGTGGAATAATGTCAGGTCGTCGGGGAGAGTGGTATGGTCGACGTTGTCACAGCATTGGGAGCATTGGGCTGACCATCAGGCGAGGGTGCAGGCGCGAAAGCGAGTGGAAAAGAGAGGGTGCAGAGACAAACGCGGGAGAGGAGAACGCAATTTCGGCAGCGGCGCCCGAGTAATTACTCGGCCAGCATTACAATGCCATGCCCACATGTGACAGGTGATTTTATTGTCGACCCTTCGCGCTTGCCGCTTGCCCTGGCCCTCGCGTCTATCACACAAGCAGTCAAGCACTGTCAAGCACACCTTTCCAGCGGCGCTATAATGATCAAGATCTGGCGACGAGAGCCCAGACTCTCAGAGACTGCATCTCATCTCCCTGTCTGCCTGCCATGCGCACCAGTCCAGCATGTTCCCCCATTTGCAGCGCCATTGGACATCACAGCCGCACATCGCGGCAGGCTCTGTAGTTTGTATCTGTTCATCGTGTTGGGACCGCTGGCCATATATGCCCCTTGGTGTCTTGAGACCATATGTCCATGAGTGGTGTGGTGAGGGTACGTATACTGCCCCGTGTGGCCCATATCAGCCTATTCAAGACGAGATACATGGACGCATGACACTACGAGGCTGGCCCCTTTGTTGCACTTGTCCCAGATCGCATGCAAACGAATAGCACGAGGCGCATGATCATCACATACCATCGGAAAACTTCATGTCATGAAGCTAGCCTTGCCTTTCTGCAGGTACCGAGTAAGCTAGGCAGTGCCTGCATTCCTCGCCAAAAGACACAACAAATAAACAACCTCTCCACCTCCACATCCTTCAGAGCCTGACTCAGCCGTCGCTTCTGTCGTTACTCACGTGAGAATCTCATTCGCAAGCCTCAATTTCCTCAATACTCCGAGAATCAGGCTCTTTCTGCGGCGCATCCTACTGCTCGACAAGATTGGCGGAGGTCGAGGTGGTGAACACCGACCGACAAAAAGAAAACTGCAGAAACAGTCGCATCGCACAATCCAGCTTGGTCGTAGGAGCCATGGCCAGCCATGTCACGCCGGCACGATCTACCACTATGGAATAGTGGTATTGGCTGTAGTTTCGCAGCTTTCGCTTTCTGGCGTGTAACTTGTGCACAACAAGGCATACTTCCGTGATCACATATTAAGGGACTGAATCACACACCAGTCATGGTTGACAGGAGCAGGAGATGGACATTATACAGCGCTTGGCTGTGCTCTTTAGGAACTGAGGGCAGCCATGTGGATCCCACCGTCCCGCGACAGGTGATCCATGACAGTATGCAGCCTGTGGTAATGGCATGGCATGGCATGGCCAATGCCATCGCCTTTGTGAGGTGGTGATCCGTTTTTGAACATGCTCTTCTTCGACACCTATCTGGCGCATTCCATTATTCTAACCCTTCGGAGATCAAGCTTCAGTCAAGCGCTCGTATCGCGTTCACATTCTGCGTCCCAGTGTTGAACCTCCAGCCAGCGAAATGGCAGCGTATATGGTAGATAGACAGAGCATGTGTACAGCGGTTCTTGTTTGGTCGATACCTATGTTGCAGATGGCTCACGACCATAGGTGTACTGTTCCTTTGTCGCTATTGTAAGTGTTGATTCTGAAGTCCACGTGGCAGTCAGTCATCTTCCAGGCTGCAGCATCGTCGTTCACCATAACTGATGCTGTCTGCCGAGAAGCAAGGCTTTATCGCTCGCGTGCAGACCCACGTTGCGCTGTGCCAGAGCAGCTGTGATAAGACGTCCTGCCTCGCGTATCCTGTCGAACCCAAATCATAGATTCATGTATGTTCCTTCTACTTGGTCCCAAACACGATAAGTCTAATGTGATTTACAAAGGGATTTGGATATGCCGAACACTGTTTGTGAGGGCTAGTATCAGCATAAATCATATCGAATACCTGGAGTCTCCGTGGACCACTGGTCATACGCTGAGACTATCCTCAAAACGAAGGCTGGGTCGCGCGAATAAAGTGATACGCTTCACTCGTGAGCATGGTATATGTACAACACTCCTCTCTATGTCTGCCTTGATATCTCTTGTGGTACACGTCGAGCTCCTTATTCTTCATCACCAAACTCTGCACGTCCAGCCTTGGAGTTCAGGTATTCATTCCTGACACTTGGTCAGTAAAGATTACGGAAGAGGATCGTGGGATGGTGGCCAGTTGTATCTTTGGCCTATCCCACAAGGCCATTGGGCAGTCTCACCTCTCGATTCCCCACTGCATGATCTCGTAGAAGATAACCATTGGCACGCCCCAGTACAGAATCTGGCCACGGGTTCGTCGGAAGGTATTGAAGATGGCTGCTTTGAAGGTGCCGGCGAGCGGGTTGGTTCGGTTATTCGAGATGCCGTAGTGTACAATGCCTTTCTGTGGCATGGAGCCGAGCGCACCCCATGGACCCAGATACCTGTGACACTGCATCAGCAAGCGCTCTTGCCTGCTCCTATCCTCCGCACCACGCATTGGGCTCGTCCTTGAGCATCCGCCCTGCGGGACAACTCACTGGCCCGGCTTCTTCTCGCCTCCGCCTGCGCGCAGAATCTGTGAAGGGCGCATGTTGTCGTGGAAATGTGTGTGATGTGGTTGCGTATATGGTCGCCGATTCGAGGTCAGGTTGCTGGCTGGTGCAGCGTAGAGCGTGGAGCGTGATTCGTGGTTGGTGACGAGATGTCAAGACAAGATTCTTGTGGTCGGAGGATACAGGCGATGGTCAGCAACGCTCGAAGTCGTGCGGGTGCGCTAACTGTTCTCGGAAACGTCTTTGCTTCGACTGCTCACAGTAAACCTTCCCATCTCACCAACAAGTCATTCGCCATCGCACCCACGAGCCTGCACAATGGCAGCCAACGCACTCAACAGTGTCTACAAGTGGGCAATTCCCACTGCAGGCGTCTTATCCCTCGCATCGGCATCCATTTACGATGTCAAGGGTGGTACTCGTGCTGTCATCTTCGACCGGCTGCAGGGAGTCTCAAACCAGGTGGTGAACGAGGGAACACACTTCCTGGTGCCATGGCTACAGAAGGCCATCACGTTCGACGTCCGGACGAAGCCTCGCAACATTAGCACAACAACCGGCAGCAAGGACTTGCAGATGGTCAGCTTGACGCTCAGAGTGCTGCATCGCCCCGACGTGCAGCAACTCCCCAAGATATACCAGGTGAGCACCAGAACTTCGTTTCAGTGCAAGATTTTGAGGAGAGCTAACTGTAACTGCTACAGAACTTGGGACAAGACTACGATGAGCGTGTCCTACCTTCCATCGGCAACGAAGTGCTCAAGGCGATAGTCGCACAGTTCGACGCGGCGGAGCTCATCACACAGCGTGAGGCGGTCTCGAATCGCATTCGCGCTGAGTTACTCAAACGTGCATCGGAGTTCAACATTGCACTGGAGGATGTCAGCATAACACATATGACCTTCGGTCGCGAGTTCACCAAGGCTGTGGAGGAGAAGCAAATTGCACAACAGGAGGCCGAGCGCGCTCGCTTCATCGTCGAGAAGGCTGAGCAAGAACGACAAGCAAACGTTATCCGTGCAGAGGGAGAATCTGAGGCCGCCGAGGTCATCTCGAAGGCTGTTGCAAAGAGTGGCGATGGTTTGATCCAGATTCGAAGAATTGAGACGCAAAAAGACGTTGCACAGATGCTGTCGAACAACCCGAATGTCACATATTTGCCAGGTGGACAGGGTGGCGGCAAAGGGGGCAGCTTCCTACTAGGACTGAGACCATGAGGCGTGTGAAGTTACGCATATGGAGGACACTGTAAAGTAAGCGGCTGACGTCGTGGCATGACTCGTCGGCATGGAAAATGAATATACCCTTCTCTACCTACTGCACATTTTCTACTGCACGATGACAGATCTATTTGGCGTCGATTCACATCTCTGAACTTCCTGGCTCAAGACTCTGAGTGGTTATCTCAGCCCAGCGTAGTCGATACCCGAACACAGTACGCCGAAGCATTTCGTCCTGCACATTACGCAGCAGTCAGCATCGATCAATCCGAGTTGGGACACTTCCAGAACACTCACCCCACGATCCTCTTCGAACATGACCTTGTCCATCACCTTCTCGAGTATTTTCTCCACAACAAAACCATCATTCCGAGCGAGATCGAAGAATGCAAGATCGTTCTGCAGCAACCAAGGTCGGTATGGTGTGAAGAACACCAGCGCTTGTGCCTCGGGCCTTTGCTTTAGCGTCTGTCGCACACTGAGCAGGAGCTTCGCATGCTCCGAGTGATTGAATAGGAGATCAGCCAGAATGATCAGATCAAAGCCAACACCTTGCTGAGAGGTATCCCAATGATTAACCAGAGGCGCGGTCTCAGCTCCCCATAGATAGCCTTTCGCTACGATGTCACATGTTGCTGGTAGCGCAGCACAGTCTCTGATGTTTGCGCGGAGATTCTCGATAAGATCAGCGTCTGGACACAGGCACAGTCAGTAGCTGGCGGGGGCATGGAACAGATGGTGCCCTCCGACTGACCTGGATAGTCAGTCACTACTACTTGCTTCGCGCCATTGATCGCACAGATCAGACTTGGCAGTCCCGCCCCTGCTCCCAGTTCCAGGACAGTTTTGTTTTGAAGATACTCATCCTTATTCGCCTCCAGAAAATCGGCTACTGTTCGTCCTCCTTGCCAGAGGAGGTGACCCTATCTCACATTTAGTGACTCGCCCGACGTGCCTGCATGTTGTTTGCCTACCCAGAGGGGATTTCGAGAAGTCAAGTGCAAGTGGAGGATTTCGCCGCTAAGCGTCTTATGCTGCACCTCTGACGGTTTGGCTTCTTCTCTAAAATATCCCTCGGGTTCCTGGAACCAGTCCACTGTATCTTCGTCGCCATCGGAGTCGGCCATGGTCCGTCAGGTCAAGGAATCTCTGGAAAGCGCACCGTCGGGGCCATCAGAAAAGTCTCTCCAGGCAGCAAAAGCCGGGCCGCCAGCGCAAAGCCGACTTTCGACGGACATCAAGAACAACAACACCGACATCCACAACCTCAACCTCAACAACTACAACACTTTTAAGTTACGAACTCGCCTGCTCGACCACCACGACGGAGAGCATCACTTTGGGCGTGCACTCCGAAGCCGAATCCGAGAACCAGAGGTAGGAAGGAAGAGCTTTCGCCACCTTTTCGTAGTAGGTAAGCAGGCGCTAGCCTTTAGTTCTACAAACTTCGGATTTGCTGCGTGAATGTTGCTAATAACTTGACTGCACCACATTTAGCCGACACCTTTCTGACTACCGAATTGAATACCCGGCCCTGATCCTTTCTCTCTCTCTCCAGGGCATGGATATGCCTCTCGACGACGACAACTGAAACTCTTGGGTACGCCGTAGTACCTCGTCCCAAAATCATCCACAATAAGGATAAACCCTCTCGGATGCTCCCGGAAACTTGCTCAAAGACACACCGAACGCAAGAACGCCATGTCACTTCAGTGAAGCAGAGAGAGATTCTAAAGGTCAGTTCCCACGTTCAAGTCCCACAGAGCCATACCCCTTCGTTCCTGGATACAGCCTTATCCGAGTGCGAAGTGAAAATTACACGCACTGGTGCTGGCACGCAACGATCGGTAATAGCTGCGGTCCATCAGCGCGATGGACCCGTGCCCCGATCTCCGGCCGGGCGACTGGAGACCCATTGCTGACCTTTTTCAGCCAACGGAGGCGGTAGCCAGTCATAAGCTCTGTCTGGTACGGAGAGAATGGATTCAGGGAGTGAGAAGCCCTTCAAGACCATCGAGGTCGTTGACTCAAGAACGAACCAAGTGTGCAAAGTGGCATGCATGTCATGTATACGAGGCCATCGCACTACAGCATGCGGTATTCCAGTCTGCCGAAACAAGATCTTCTGGACTGTCAAACGCCCAGGGAGGCCCTCCAACTCATGCACATGCCGTTATGGAGCCACGGGAGGCTGCAAATGTGTCGTGGCAACATCAGCATGTCCCCATAAGGCCAAGAAGGGCGAAAAGCGTAGCGGGGAATGTCGATGTGATGAGCAAGGACGGTATTGCTGTTTGATCGAACCCGACCACTGGACCGCCCTGTTTGCATTGCAGAAGCCTACCGTTGAGTTTTGCCCAACCCGAGAAGATCTTGAGACGAAGCAAGCGGCCAGTGCTTCTGTGCAGCACATATCGCCATCACCAGGCCATGTGATGCCCAATCCAGCTGGCGTGATGAGCGTGCCCAGCACCCCAGGACCAAACATGCCGCCACAGATCATGCCATCTCCATACAATGCCTTCACCCCCCAGTCGTCGTCTTTGACACCGCGCTTTGGCGTGATGGGTCTCGGCGCTCCTCGGCACTCACTGCCCGACGTACCGCTCGATCTATTGACATGGGGCGGCGATGTGTCTCATGCACCGATAGACTATCCGCAACACTACTCCGACACTGGTAACAGTCCCGAACCCTGTTGTCAAACGTCCACGTCTTCGGCTCCGCCCCTGGGATCGCCGCAACCAATAGCACAGCTGTCGTACTCGCAGCAACAACCGCTGCATGATTTAGCACTGCCTCAAGCGTTTGACGTGCCGGGCGACCAGAACGCAACCCACGCTACGGTCGTTCCAACGACCCTCCCTGCGACGCAGTCCTCGATATTCAACATCGAAAAACTGCAGTCCGACTTCTACACGTATAGATTGCCTTCGGCGATATGTCAAAGCTGCGGGTATGGTGGCTGCAACTGCAAGAACTGTCCACCGTTATTTCAAAACCCATTTGACGGGAGCTGGGCACAATGTTGCGGCCGAAAGCATGCTCGAGAACCACAGACCACTCCCGAGCCGCGCAAAGTACCTCGATCATCAGGCTACGATGGTAGCGAGGGTATACAGGCGCATGCGCGAATTCGGCAGCCAGCAGGGAATGGAGGTGGTTGCTGCGGTTCTTCTGTCGACAACAGCAATCCCAGCGCCGCCACCACCACCACCACCACCAATAACCACCACCATAGCAACCACAATGGAGACCACACATTCCAGCCTGAACATGCCTACACGAACGACTTTGCTAATCTGGAGCACCAGCCCAATATGATACCCACGGATTTTGACTCGTTTGTCCTGGAGCCCGACTTTGTGTTGGACGATGGAGGCGCGCATTTAGACATTGCCGACTATCTGAATCTGGATCTGGATGCGGTACCACAGTCCCACCATAATCATGGCGAAGAGCCACCTGGTGCGGCGTCAGGAGGTACTAATGGTAGCGGTGGTGGTGTTGGTGGAGGTGGTGGAGTTGGCGGCAGTGGTGGTGGCGGTTGCTGCTGTGGCGGTGGAAGGTAGAGAGCATTGTGCACGATGATAGTATCTATTACCAACTAGAAGAATTTAGATTTCAGTTTTGCTTTTCAACGCATGAGAGAGAAAAGGGCGGGAAGAGAGAGAAAGAGGGAGAGGTCAAATAGTAGACGAGCCAGGAGGAATAGGTCGAGCGCTCGGTCTGGCAGTACGATTTCACACGCAGCGAAAGAACTTGCCTACTACCAGGACACATATAGAAGAGGATGAAGAAGACATGACATGCTCAAATGCAGCAAAGGACTCAAGGACTGGTTGATGAGACCCACTTCAATATCTCCATACAAGAAGCTCAATTTTCTCACCTCTCGCTTGCATTAATGGTATCGTCTCCAGCGCTTCTTCCATCTTCCAAATACATTGCCCTTTCTCTCTTCTCTCACTCGCTGTGGCTTTCTCTCTCTCTTCTCCCTCCCTCCTCTCTCTCTCTCTCTCTCTCTCTCCCCCTCCCTCCCTCTCCCCACACTATTCTCTCATACAAGCTGTACAAAGTCTAACGACCACACACACAAAATAAAAAGGCCACGACATCGGGACTGATGTCGAAGAAGAAGAAGAAGAAGAGTAATAAATCTCCGTGCTGTCCTGCCTGCTTGCCAGGTTCGGCCGGGAAAAGGGATGTTTGTTTCTCTAGTCATTAAAACACCGGCAGGATTCCAATTGCCCCAAAAACCGGCCTGTGTGCTTTCTTTTGTTTTATTTTTTCCGAAGTCTAGTTCTTGTTCAGACCAAAGTACAGCCCGAGAACAAGACCTAGGATGATGATGATGGCGAGGACAATGAAGAAACACCACCATTTGAGTTTTCGTGCTCTCCGAGCAGACTCGATGCCCTTGTCGAGATGTACATTGCCAGCTTCGGTATCCTTCTTTACGTTCTCAGTATGTTGCTCGGCTTGCATGATAGGTTCGTCCTGTAGCACGACTGCGGTTGCGAGGTCTTCCATAAGCTGGTTGAGTTCCATGAGAGTCTTTTCAATCTTTTGAATATCATTGTGTCGAGCTCGCACTGCGCCGAGGACGGTGTTGGCAGTAGCAGAACGGTTCGTCTTCAACGCGGTTTGAAAGACGCCTTCGTTGCCCCAATCGGCATTTGAGGCTTCCTGGACTTCAGCTTCGGTGGCCTCCGGATTAACTATTCTGTATTGGCGCGCGATTTGCTCTCTGTAGCGCTTCTCGTAATTGGCCTCCTCGACTCTGTACTCCTGCACTTGCTTGGTAAAGCTAGTCTTCAGCTGTCCCACCTGCGTGTTCTTGACCTGATTGTCTTTGCTGCGCACGGCGTCGGTCTCGAGGAACTTGATCTGGTCCTTGATCGATGTGTTGAGTACCTGGGTCTGGGTGATCATGGATTCGAGCTGGCCGGAAGAGGAGCCATCGGGCGAGGACAGGGCGCGCTGGTGCAGTGACGCGATCTGGCCAACGTGCGTGGTGAGGGTGCGGATATCCGCCTTGACGGCCTCGACGCGCGACAGGAAGTCGGAGTTGGACATGACGCTGGGCCCAGCCTGGACATACTGCACATTCTGGCCCGCTTGCGGCGCAATTGGTGCGTATGAAGTGTTGCCATCGGTCGTGCTGGTGGGTTGCGGGTTGGCGGCCTGTCAAATTGTCGCCGTCAGCTTGTGTTTCCTTGACACCGCTCTGCGCAGGCCATGTATGTTGCGCCTCGCCTCGCCTCGCCCCCTCGCATCACCCTCTGCCTTCTCGCTCTTGCGTACACAACCCGCGCGCATGGAAACTCCGCCACCCACTGGAGCGCACAAGGCATGGGGATTCACTCACCACCGCTTGCCCGTCGTAGCCGCCGGCGTAGGGATTGGCGGCGTCGGTGGAGTAGGGAGTCGCTGCGCCATAGCTCTGTTGGTCGCCGCCGTAGGGATTGCCGCCGTAGCCCGAATACTGGTTGTAACTCATGATGCCCACACGTCGGCGCGCTGGCGTGGATGGTGCAGGGCAATGGCTCAGTCGCAGTTGCCAGCAGCAGCAGGTCGCAACTCGCAAGGCGGGTGCAGGTGGAAGGGTGCCCAGGTGGGTGCTGGCGCCGCTGTGCGTGCTGTGGATCGGGACTTACCTAGAACGAATGGAACGAATGGAATGGGATGGGCAGAAACGACGCTAGTCCGTCGGTGGGCCGTCTCTCCGTTTCTTCATAGTTCATACCTCTCGTTCCGGCCGGCGGTCTCTGTCTTCTTCCTCCTGCTTCTCCTCCTTCTTCTTTTGTTCAAAAGTGCAAGATGGTCTTGTCTGTATGAGAAGACAGCCTTCTATCTCTGCCTCACTGACATTGAGTGCAGCATACTTACCTGACCGAGAACAGCCTGCTGACGATCCCAATGGACGCTTGCACCCATTGGCGAGTCGGCGGCCACCCGCCCAGCGGCAGTAGTGAGTGGAAAGCGCGGCATGTCATCGGCCATCGCGCATCCGCATCATCATCAGCATCCGCATCAGCATCCGCATCAGCATCATCAGCATCGGCAGAAAAAGGTTCTCCGTGCATATATCCTGGTTCGTGCATGCCGAACAGACCACAAGTTCGTACAGAGATACCACGCGGAGCACATTTCGTTTGCCACGTGGAGAGGAGGGCACAGGAGCACGATAGAACTATGTATTGCGCCCACTTCTGAAGTGTGCGTATGGTATGGGCTTCCATCACAGAGCGTCTTCTGCAGTACCTTTATTCTTACAAAAAAAACATATCTCTCATAACCGTGTGGATATCTCTCGTCGCTGTCTGTCACGACTCGCTTGCAGGTGCTCATGCTCAGCGCGTTCTCGGCCGCAAGCCGCTCCGGCGCCTCATAATCCCACGTCGCCGAGGTCCCGTGAAAGACACGCCATCTGGGCGCGTTTGGCGGCCTCGGCAATCAGATTGAAGTCTTGCAGGAAATGCGCCGTCTCTGAAGGCCCTCCAGCAGGACGCTGGCCAACATGGGATGTTTGCTGTTGTCGTGAAGACATTCTTTGTTGCTGCATATGTGATGGCTGTGATCCAAAATAGCTTGCAGGCTGTTGTGCCGAGGGCGAAGGCAAGGGCGCTGACGAAGACGGGACGCCCAAATGCGATACCTGAGACATGGCCGTGCTATTGATCGATGATAGTGAGGCAAGCGAGCTGGAGCTTTGGAAGGCCGAAGACGTCGCAGATGAGGATGTTGCTTGTTGCGGGTACAGAGGTCGTTGTTGATATGGCTGTTGGTGGTGGTGGTGTTGGTGTGGTTGTTGCTGCCTCGAATCCATCATGCCAGCTCTAGTCCAAATGCTCAAGTCGTTCGTTGATCGAATTTTTCGGATATCAAACCCCACTCCTAGGCGAAGGGATTGGAAGTGGAGATATCTGCTGGTTCTTAAAAAGAAAAACCAGAGAGACCAACCAGTTTGACAAGCCGGCAATGCACACTGCAAGGAAGCACCGACGGTGCTTTTCGTGCCGAGGACGAGTTCTTTATGGCCGACGAGCTTCGCACGTTGTCGACCTTGCAGCGGCTTCGCAATAATAGAGTTTGTCGAGCAACAGCCGATCGAAGAAAATCGAACAGGTCGATTTCAAGTGATCCAACAGCTACGGAGCAATTCCGCTCGTGATGCTTCGGAGGCAGAGGAGAGTACAAGTAGGTCAGGTAGGTACCTAGTTGCAAGGTCGTGAAGCGTGGCCGAGGAGTTTCTCGTCGTATGCTGATGTGGCAAAAATGGATCAGTACAGGTAGGTAGGTAGGTAGGCAGGTAGGCAGGCAGGCAGGTAGGTAGGTAGGCAAGTAGGTAGGTAGGTGGATAGGTGGATAGGTAGGAGGTAGGTCAGGCAGGTATTTGTTAAAAATCAGTCTAGAGAGGTGCTTATACGCTTAGGTTGGGGAAAAGTGGCTGATCGACGGGAGTTGTATCGCAAGCACAGCAAGTGATACCAACCAGCCTATGCCGAAACAAGAGTTGGTGGTCGGGAGGGCCGACAGGACCGAGAAGTGCGATGGCTCTCGGTGATTACGATAAAGGCAATCCGGAGAGAGGCAGCGGTTGGCGGAAGCGGAGGCAGCGTACCTTAATCACACCAGTTGCCAGGAGTAGGTAGACTCTAGAGTACCTAAGTCTCAGTAGTGAAGCTTGCGGGTGAGCGCGGGCATCGAGTGAGTACAGTACCTTGGTAGGATGTATGGGGACGGGAGGTATCATTATATCATGGATATATTATATTGGAGCATGTCATTTTTATGCCTTCAGTCGCCGTAGCGTGTGGTAGTGGTGGTGGTGGACCTGGTGGTGATGGTCGTCATATCATAATAAATATGTAATACATTATACAGGTACATGTACCTGATTACCTACTGTGTACAAGTACCTTATGTACCTGTCGGATTCCACCTATTCCACCTACATGACATGTAATAAGTACTGTATTGTATCTCCAGTTCCATGGGCAAGGATATTTGAGAAATTTGAGAAAAGCACTTGGCACTTGTGACATGTGTGACCTGCCGGATCTTCCCCAACTCCCCGCACTCGTGACGAAAGCATAATAGATGGAATCTGCGCCGTCCCTGGATGAAGATCGGGCGAAATTGGCGAATGAATGGGAACAAGCAACAAGCAACAAGCTTGACTTTGGGAACCTGGAACCCATCATAATCATCATGATCATCACAATCATGATCATCATCAACATCATCAACATCATCAAAATCAACATCTCATCATCTCACATGTCCAGAGTGGACCAGTGAGTGCTATGAGTGCACCGAGCTCTCGTCGGAACTCGTGTGTTTTGCCGAAAAAGTACCAAGTTACCTCCATGTACCTCCATGTACCTTGCTGTAACCTGATTGGGATCGCCGCAAAGTTCTTCCTCCTCCACCTATTACCGACCCGATCCAGAACTTCTACCACAGTAGTATACCGTACAACATCTTCTTAGCGAACCACGATACGCCTGTCGGAGGGGGGCAGACTCTCTCGAAAGAAAATGCCTGTAAGCCTTCCCCGCACACACACACACACACACACACCACCCAGCGCGCCCATCATCATCAGCTGATCACTGACTCTTTGCCTACATGTACCTACCTACCTACTTACCTACCTGACTATAGCTGATTCTCATTTCGGGCTACCCATCCAGCGGCAAGACCTTCCGAAGCACGCAACTGATTCAAAACCTGCAACAAAAAATCTCCGAATCCCACGAGCCGCGAGTGAAACGCCTCAAAATCCACCACATTGACGACACTCGCCTGGGCCTCTCGCGCGAAGTCTATGCCGCTGCGCGCGCGGAGAAAGATGCTCGCGCCACGCTGTCGTCGGCCATTAAGCGTGTGCTCGATCGAGATACCATTGTCGTGGCAGATGGGATGAATTACATCAAAGGATTTCGCTATCAACTCTATTGTGAAGCCAAAGCTGTACAAACGACAAATTGTGTCGTTCATATCGGTACCCCGGCAGACAAGTGTCGTGAATTGAACGAATTGGCATTGAAATCCTCTTCCTCTTCCTCCTCGCCCTCTTCATCCCCCACCACCACCACATCATCAACAGCAGGAGCAGGAGCACCAGCAGAAAAAAAAGGCTACTCCCCCTCCCTCTTCGAAAATCTCATTTTCCGCTACGAAGAACCCAACGGCATGAACCGCTGGGATTCCCCACTCTTCACCATTCCCTTCGAAGACGCAGAAGGGCCCTACGAAGCCATTTGGGAAGCCCTCATCGGCTCCTCGGGACAAGCCAAAATCGTGCGACAGAATGCCGCTACCGTCCTCAAACCCGCTGCGGAGCAAGGGTATTTGTATGAATTGGATAAGACGACGTCCGACGTGATTGCGGGCATTACCGCGTGGTTGCAAGATCATGCGGGGGAAGGGGGTGGGGAGGTGAAGGTGGTGGTGGGGACCGCGGCTGCGGCGGAGGAGGAGAAGGAGGAGGAGGAGCAGGTGGAAGGGGGGTTGGTGGTGCATTTGCCTGTGACGGCGCCTTCGCTGCCGCAGTTGCAGCGGTTGAGGAGGCAATTCATCACGTTGAATCGGCAGCATAGTTTGAGTAAAGCTCGCATACGCCATCTGTTTGTGGATTATCTGAATGATTCCTTTCAGAGCTGATCTGATGGATGGGCATGGAATTGAAATATAACACGACCTCTTACACTGTTTTTTTTTTTCGAGGCTCTCTGTTCCACCCTTTACTCTTCATTCTCTCATCCTGCACATTGGAGTGCAGCGATGTCTGTTGTGCATTCAGCGCATGCATCACGGATCCTATACTGACAATATTTTCAATTCTATGCCAAGTGACCTCAGCCTCATCTCTCAGACCCACGGTCTCATCTTCTTCTCCCAGGATATAAAGCAACTCCCGCCTCTCAAGCTTCAGACCGCGAAGGCACATCATGCATGATCAACCTCCCTCTACATAGATGCTGTATATCTTCAAAGCGCCCGTGGCTCTTTGCTACGCCCTCGACTCGACAGCGAGCCCGACCCAGGGATTTCCAGTTTCGGAAGTCCTAGCTGCTGACACAATCTCCGACACCGCCCTTCCACAACAGGTATACCAAATTCCGGAGGATACAACACGTCAGCTTTTCGTGACGATATGGGAGGAATCTTGACTGGCGAGCGATTCGATTCATGATTGAGTGTACCGCGAAGTTTGGCAACTCTTGTTGTCAGGTGAGCTAGCCGGACGTGTAGCTCAGCGAAGGATTTCTCCTGGACCTTGATGACACCAGAGATGTCGTTGAGACGCTCCGTCATTGTCTTTCCAGGGGGAGTTTCAGAGGTTGCGGAGGAAGTTGCCGGGGTCGGAGGGGATATAGGAGCGTTGGGACTCGATCCAGCAGAGAAGCAGGTGGCTGTGATCATGTTTTTGGGCTCGAGGTGGTGCTCTTCTTCGAGATGAGAAGGCTCACCTTTCGAAGGCAGCAGGTGCGATAGCTACGACAACAACCAGGCTGGCAACGATCAAGGCTGTCGCCACGCCAGTCACGATGATGATAGAGCCTCGCGAGGCAGGAAACTTGCCACGAATCACGTAGTGTTGGCTTTCGAAATAGCGATGGAATCCCAGTAGCAAGATGAGGATGGCTGCACAGGTCAGCCGTTGGTCGGCAAATGACCTCGACAGCATCATCAGACGCAACCATGTACTCACATATCCCAATAAACGTAGCCCCCAGTGGCTTTCCTACCGACCTCAACCTCGCAGTTGTATCCGCTTTCCCCGGGTCCGACCCCGATCCAGACTGAATAGAAGTATTGAGACGAAAGAGCTGCGTAACCGCAATGCCAATCGAAGCAAAAGACAACGAAGTCCTCAACCACGCCAGAAAAGTGCGTTCGAGAGCGAGATGGTCTCGTGCGACACTGCCCTTGTTGTCGAGTTCGACGCTACCATATTTATCCACAAACGTCCTCCACCAGCTTCCGTGCTCCTGCACCCCAGAGTCTCTATTGCTGTGGTCGTCGTGGCTGGTGCTGGTGCTGGTGCTGGTCCTGTTGTTGTTGTTGTTGTTCGGTTCCTGTAATTGTGCTGTACTGGCGGAATCCGCATCCGCATCGCCGCTCCGTGGATGAGCTGCTCCATAGCCGCCGCTCTTTCTGTTACGAGCTTGCGCACCACTGTCCGTGTTAGTGCCTCGTTGGATGGCGCCGTATTCAGCCTCGTGTCCGTTTCGGATGATTGCTGTGTGCTCGTCCGCGGAAGACTCTCCCGACAGCCGCGTCGAGCGCTTTGCTGGTGGTGGTGGTGAGGATGAGGATTCCAGAGGACTGCTGTCGTGACCTCCACCTGTATCTGCTGCAATAGCCATGCTCCGGGCTGTGCCTGGGGTCACCATCCGAAGTGGTAATGCCGTGCTGGTCAGGAAGTGGTGCCGCCCGTTGCGTTCTGACACGCGTCTCGTCCTGAACCGCTGGTGGCTTCGCTTTCCTTTGCATCTGCTGTCGACACCTTCTCACACTGGCATACGCAGGAAATGTGCAGCTGTCTCGGTACGTCGGAGCTCTCGTCAGTATGGAGCGGATGCATCATGCGCGGCCTGTGATGATGTGCTTCATGTTGAAATGTTGTCATCACAAGATGGCTATGGAACTGTGGCTGAGATGGCTAAAAGCTTGCCTAGCTCTCTGCTAAGTTACGATACCTTCTAAATTCGGATAGAATAGAACTACCTCTTCGAGCTATCGACTAGGTTATCAACGCCCAGCAGTTTCCACGTGCGCAAGACCCAAGACACAATCATGCTGGTGTAACGAAAGTCTGTGCTGTGCGCGATGTGTTCGCGCGCCAGTGCAACAAGGATCGCGTGGTACCTCCTAGTGTTTCCACACTCATTTCCAGGTTCCTTACTCATCATCCTCGGTGCCCTCCTCCAGCGCCAACCAAGCACTCCGGCACTTCACTGCTTCAAGCCTGACGCTTCGTTTGCTATCGTCGAGACACATCAGCAGCTTCTTCACCACCGGCCGTCGATGCGGCATCACCGCCTCCTGCTTCAGTTGTTTCGGTATCAGTGCCAAGCACCTCAAAGCTTTCGACCGGACTAGAGCTTCGTTGTCTGGTGCTTGAGTCGCATCGAGCAGACGCATGATCAGCGAGCGAGAGTGCTCTGCGGCAATTGTAGGATCATGCATGAGCAGAGACTCAAACATGACCAGCGTAGAGAATTTGACTGTTTGGTCCTGAGCATCTCTCAGATCCATGCACTGCAGCAACGGCGGTAGTAGGCTGAGAAGAGATGGTTCAATGACCGAGTACGGCAGCCATTGCAGAACACCAGACATGGCAGTGAGATAGTTGATCTTGGCAGACGAATCTGCCACCTGGACGCGCTCAACGATAGGTCTGACGAGCTGGTTGAATGCACGCTGCTTGTACAGTCCTGTGATGGCACAGTGATTATCTTTGGACAAAATGTCGTCTGGTGCTAGCAGCCCAGCAAATCTCCTCGCAAACGACTTATCGGCACGGGGAAGCACTTCTAGAAGCGTTTGCAAGTACGCTGAAGTGAGAGCACCACATTTGCCCTGCACCATAATTGCTTTGAGAACTGCAAAAGCTATGTTGCTCTTGGTTGTGTCTTCGTGATCCGCAAGTAGGGCCTGGACATCGATTCCAGCAAGCTGCACTGAGTTCTCAAGGCTCTTTGGTTCCAGGAATTTATTGACCAAAAGGGACAGGTGGCGAACGATCGCAACGTTGACTCTCGCCTTGGAAGGTGTACTCAAGAGAAAGCTTGATTGGGTTTGGAGGGTCGCCATAATGTCTTGAGGATCCACGATCTCTGGCCTGATAGCAGCATAGTAATAGAGAGCGAAGGGTGCGTGCTCGCTAACGCGTCTAGTTGACTCCTCTGGTGTGGACGCCGTCGATGGCGACAGCCACTCCAGGTCCGTGTTGTATACTGTAGCCTGGAAGTGAGGCGATTGCTGGCGCAGTATATGGTTTGCAAGACGACCAACAATGTCAGCAGTGGCATCATCTTTGCCCTCCGGTGAGGTCTCGCGCAACTGCTTGATCATAGGCTCGGCATAGTCTGTATAATAGTCGCTTCTGATGCTGCCATCTTCTGCCCTAAGCGGAGACCCTCGAGTGAAGCAGTAGAGTATGGCGAGGAGCAGATCTCGTTGGAATGTGCCTGTAGCCTCCTGCGCTTGTGCCGCCTTTAGCTTGTTCTTCAGCCGGAGCACTATCGTGTCAAAAATTTGTTGTTCGTGGCTCAGCTGCGCGAAAGCCTCCAGCGCGGGTCGATACGTCTGTCTGTCGTCCGATTGATCCGGCAGCTCAACCATAAATGCCGGGATAGTTTGGTTACGAATTGTTTCCGGCACAGCAGCTGCGAGCTCCAAGAGCGCAGCAATGGCTTCAGCCCGGATGTCACCGTGGCCAGTGATCTTCTCATGAAGCACTACCTCGTTGATCGCTCTTACCGCCAAGCCCACCTTCTCTTCAGATAAAAGCCTTTTGACGCTGACCAGCTGTATCAGGCCGTTGAGCGCGGTTAGGCGGAACGACACCTCTGCCTTCGGCGCCTTGGCCAGTGCGTGCAGCATGGCGTTTAGTGCCTCATCGAGGAAAGCTTGCAAGGCTTCCAGAGCAGGCTCTTTCCCACTGGCTTGCAGCTCACCATAAGCCTGAACCAGATTGTTATAGACCTCCAACAAGCCTCTCCGTTTTGCGATAGAGGCCGAGGAGGCATACAATGAGAACAATACTGGCAACATGCCTTTGGCAATTTTGTCGGCTACGAGAGGACCGGCCTTCGCCACAGCGAGAACGATGCGCCCAGCTCCCTGTGATTGCTTGGTAGGCGCATCTTCAAGATGTTCGTTGCATTCTTTTATGACAGGTCGCAGGTAAGCATTGAGTGGACTCTCGGCCACGCCTAGCTTGCCAGCAATCAATGCCAAAGCCTTTAGCGCCTCCTCGGCAAGGTCCTCTTCTTGCACATTGATGATCTCAAACTTTAAAGCATCCCATAGGGGAACAGCATATAAGTTGATGGTGTTGATTGAGTAACTGATGGTGCAAGCCTGTATCGTGTGAAGCACATCTCGTTTTGTGTTCATTGAAGTCGAGTCCAATTTATCCAAAAGGGCGGGGAAAGCGTACGGGGCAAAGTCTGAGTTGGCTGCGATACAGTCGCGGAGCCTGTCCTTGAGATCTTGGGCTGTGATGCCGTAGGGGTCGTCGGGTGGAGGCTTGAACGTGATGGGGAAATAGTTGAAGACTGCGTCAAACATGTCTTGCGCGTAGGCCCGGATATCCCATTCCGCCATCGGAACCTGTAGAAGTGAAAAAACAATCATGAGGTTCCTGGGATCCTTTTCTCCTTCAAAATACGACACGATCCCTGGTATGAGCTCGGAGTCTTGATCGTTCAGCTGTTTGATTGCAGATCGATACTTTGCCAGCAAGAGGTCGATCAGCTGGACAACCGGGAAACGTTCAGTCTGGAGCTTGAACTGCCGTAGCGGAGTCGTATGGTCCAGAAAAGTCCGCATCACTTTTTGTACAGTCTCAGTATCCCATTTCCCTCGTTCCTCCAGAGCGAGCAGTGCTCGCGCGGAGGCGCCTATACCTGCGACATCGCCAGGAATTCTTCCGAGAATGAAGTCCGTCAGCAATCGGCGCTCCTGCAGCGAAAGCGTCTTGGGTGGGAGTTTCTCTAGCACATCGGCAAGATATGCCACCGTCTTGCCACGAACAGCACTGTCATCTTTGTTGTTGATGTACTCCTCGAGGCTTGTGATGAGGTTGATTAGTTTGAGCTGCTTCTTGTCCAGCTTGTCAGCGCTCTCGGCCGCTATTCTCGAGGCTTCGGCCTTGTTCTTGTCCACCTCGAAGAGGTAGAGTTGTATGTCAGACATATTAACATTTCCAAAATCGTGAGAAGTGGAAGGAAACTGGAAGATGTAGCACTTGATGATGCTGAATTTGAGCTTCCGTCACTGGTCGATAAGCGAAAACCGGGCCGACGCAGGGCGCCACTTCCCTACACAGCTCTGACCACGATTGAACTCTGAACTCTGGAATCTGAAATTTGATTCCTTCTTAACTAAGGTATACAAGTATGTAGTAGGTGTTTACTGATCAATCACATTCTTGCGTTGTACTAGGTCTTCTTGCCCACTAAATTGTCGCTGTCATTGTAAGCCATGTAATGCCCTGCTGCCTCTATTGCAGGCCTACCTAAAGTGTCTCCGTCACAGACTTCAGGTACCTAGACATCGCAATACAACGACAACGGCGACAACAATGGCCCCCAGCATATTACACCCTGAAATCACGGCTCCAAAGCCACTCTTTATTTGCAGATATTATAGCAAACGTAGTACACTATGTACATTTACCCATTCTATAGCTGTTTCACATGGTATAAACAACGATCACCAGTGATCACACTCAGAAGCCGAATGGATTTTGCGGAGCTGAAAGTAATGGTCAGTCTCGTGGCACAAAACACGTAGTCGTGAAATGTAGTGTACTTACTCGCTTTAGACAAGTTGGCCCTACCTGTGGGCTGAGGCATCAGAGGTTTAGCTCCGGGTTGCAAGCCAAAGCGAACTGGAGGCGGCGGTCCAGTCTTTTGAGGCACGAGTGGCGCAGCTGGTATAGAAAGGGGTTGAGAAGGCCCAAAGACTCCTCCAGTCTGTTGAGGGGGAAGAGAAGGCGCAGGCTGAGTTGCATACCCGTTCATGCCGGTGGGCTGTGACATGTTAAAAGACGGCTGGAACCCAGTCTGTTGCGCGGTAAAGGAATTCGAGAGTCCCGACGGCATTGGCTGGTAGGGTTGTCGAGGCGGGTCTGCAAATGGAGACCCGGTTTGCGCGCCGTTGACTGGTTGTTGTTGATAAGGTGTTTGCCCTTGTCCATATTGCTGGCCGTATTGTTGACCGAATTGGCTCTGAGGCTGGAATCCGGTCGGTTGAGGTTGCATAGGAGGGTAGTTCTGTTGCATCGCCTGGATACTGTTCTGCTGCGGAAACACTTGGTTGAAGCCCTGCGGCTGGTATGCGGTTTGTTGCGGCTGCATTGGCTGAAATTGCTGCTGTTGTGGCACCTGGTTTTGTGGCTGGTAGCCGGTGAGCTGCGCCTGTAGTGGCGGTGGGCCGAACGAAGACTGTTGTTGAGGCGGGAAGCCTGGCGCCGAGGCTGCTCTCGGGGGCGGTGGCATGCTGAAAGACCCTCCGTTCTGTTGGGGCGGGGCCGCGGGCCTTTGTCGCGGCATAGTACTCTGCTGATAACCAGTCTGCATAGGCTGCTGGAACCCGGTCTGTTGAGGCTGCTGCTGACGAGCAGCAGGTGCCAAAGAAGCAATTTTATCGAAGATGGCCTGATTTGCTACCGGTGGGACTGGGGGTGCTGCAGCTTGAGCAGCTTGAGCAGGCTGCTGAGCTTGCATAGCAGGTTGTGGTTGTGGAGCAGGCGTTGGCTGCAACGGAGGAGCAGATATAGACAGCGAAGCAATATCGTCGTTGATCAAGGGCTTAGCTGGTTCCTGAACAGGCGCTGGAGTTGGCGTCACTGCCGATGCAGGCGTCTGCGTTCGCTGAGGCTTCACGTCCCAGGCATCGTCGTCGAAGCCATTCGATTGACCCGCAGATGCTGACCCGGACTTCGCGTCTGCGAGCGGCGTCTTGACACCCGCGCTTTCAGATTTGTCCTTGAAAGTGCTCTCGTCAACGACGTCATTCGTTTGCACAGCAGGCGCAGGTCTGCCTTTCCTGGTGTTATTCTTCAGGACACCGCCGGGGCCAGCGAACAGACCACCATTGGAGCTCTCGGCTCCACCTGTTGACGAAGCCACTTGAAGGTGTCTATCGTATTTGTTGTCCAAAAACTTCATCACCCTGAGAATATCCCCTTCCTTGAGACCCAACGTGCGTAGCAGCTGCGAATTCACGTCTGGAAGAATTTCGGGACCCATGTTGTCCTTCGAGAACGACCCAGCGTACCGCTCGCAAATATGTGGGTCAACACCGCACTGCAGAAAGAAGTCAAACCAATCGTAGTCTTCTTTCCTCTGCACACTAGCACCTGCCGCTGACCGTGTGCCGTTCTGCTCCCTTTGTCGTTGTGTGTTTCGCCGCTTGATATCGGACAGCGGCTTATCTTCATCCAAACTTGCTCCCGTGGCACGCTCGACATACTCAAGATCTTGGACGGCCATTTTCGACACCGGGACAGCGATCTTAACGCCGTTAAGTTTGTGTAGGTGAATCTTCCCTTCACGTAGCCCGATGAATTCAGCCTCTACTTTGAAAGTGCCGCTGCGATCCTCCCACGTCCTCACTCGACTTGCGTTTGGCTTGCTTTTTGGCTGGTCTTTCGAGCTTCGCTTGTCCGAACTACGCATCGATGTGCGGCGCGTGTCTCCAGCCAGGCTGCTGTTCCTCTCAGGAGGAATAACATCGCTTTCACGTTTCTTGTCCTTCCGAGCAGCTTGTTTCGTAAGACGTTCCTCCTCCAAACGATTCTGCTCTACAGTGCTTCGAGCAGCATTCAGACCAGTGATTGTCTCAGCACCCTGCGATATAGTACCCGTGACCTCAACGTACGAAGAGGGAACCACGCCTTCTTTGCCATTCTTTAGGCGCCTTACCATCCACCACTCTTCGCTCTTCGCGTCGTCCAGAATGATAACCTCATCTTCTTGAGCCATAGTCACTTCATCATCTCCCTGGGCCATGAACTCGTAGAGCATCCGGCCCTTTTTCAGCCCTCCACCGGTCCCAGCGCTCGCAGCCAATACCTCTCTGAGACCTTCTTGTCGCACTGCACCCGCTAGCTCACCAAGCGCAGAAACAATTTCCTGGGCAGTATCCTTTGCACCAGCGTGGAAATCGATGCTCTTGCTCGGTCTGATCAGTTCCACGAATACATGCTTTCCTTCGATGCTGTAATGTGTGAGCTTCTCCGCAGTCCACTCCTTACTCGGACCGTCTCTGCTCTTCTCTGGGCTGATCATGATAATGCCTTTGGCGATATTGATGCCGAGAGTGGTGGGCATCTTTTTGTTCTTTCCCATGTGCGACACCATTTCATGAACATTGTAGAGGTGGAAGCCTCGCGTTGAGGTCACTTCGTCTGCATAATCGTCGTCGTATGGCGCGGGGGCAGCTCGGTTGTAGGGTGGTGACGCAAGTACTCCGGCTGGCTCTGGCGAAAGACGAGATGCGTACTGGGTCTGGAGCGGAGCAGGCGAGGTTGGAGACATAGCCTGCGACGGCGGGCGACGTGGCAAGGACGGTGCGGCTTCTTCGTCACTCTGCTCGGGTGTATACTCCGGCCGTTGGGGCTTAGCAGGAGAGGCGAGTCCTCGATCCGTGGAAGGAGAAGCAGTAGCACCACCGGTCCTCTGTGCGATGATGCCTGCCAGAGCAGCCGCCGGGTTGCCTGCAGCAGACTGTGGTGACGCCGGCGGAACATAGTCAGCCTCACCGGGGAGTGGCTCGTCGTCGGCCGGGGGTGGGCGAGCATGTATAGACGGCGGAGCAGGTGCCAGCACTCGAGCTGGCGGCGGCGCTGAGGCTGCTGGTGCCGCCGCCGCCGCCGCCGCTGCATCCACGCGCTCGATGTATATGGCAGGGGCAAAGCCGTATTTGCCATTATGTCCGACCAGCGTCCAGTCGGGATCAGTCTCGTCGTATACGTCCAGGCGCGTGTCCTCCTTGAAGCTCAGCTCCTCGTCGGTCTGTTGAGCATAGTCGTACAGCGCCTTTGCATGGCTGATGGGTTGCACCTCTTCGACGTAGTTGTTGGGCACCAGGCCTTCGGGCTCCTCGTCGTCGTCTGAGGCGGCCTTCTTCTTGCACTTCCACCAATCGTCATCGTCGCTCTTGTCGAGCACGAAGAGCAGATCGCCCTCCCGGACCTCGAGCTCCTCCTCACTCTGCGGAGCGTAGTCGTAAAGCGCGCGGACCACGTCGACAAAGGGCATCTTGCACACGCAGTGCTTGCTGAATAGTTAGAGAGACAGCAGTGAGTGGTGACCGAGATGGACAGAGCGGACGCCTCCGTAGCGCGTGGGAACCAAAGATGGTGCTGCTGCTGCCCAGCGCTCTGTCGCTCCGACGGGGTGTCTCTTGGGCTGTAGTCAAGTCCCGGACTAAAACTCGGCCCATGAACTATGTTGCCACACCCTTCCACCAACGTCAACATCAACCTCGCAATGCTTCGAATCCGACACCAGGCTGCATACAAACAGAAGCCTGATTCAAACTGTGCATGTCACATTCGGTAGCAGCAGCGAGAAGTTCGTCCTTTACCCACTCTTGGCACGTTTGTTGCTCAGCTCAGATGCTGATGTTGCCAACTCTGGACGGCATGACGCAGCACCTCTATCACAAATAAAGAGCTCTAGCGATATACACTATCCAGGCTAGAGGCAGCAGTAACCATGATATTACGTCGCCCGACGGACCGTCAGCTCCATGCAACGGCACTGGGGCTGCCAGTATGCTGCTCCGCACAGTGAACTTGCCATTGGCATCCTCTACAGTATACCCCCATACGCAACCAACATTCTTCTACAAGCTCCACAGGCATAGGGGACATGTGATCTGTGAAGCTTCTCAAGTCTGGTTGAGACTCTCTGCCGAGTCGGACACGAACAATGACATGCGTACATGCAAATCCGCCTACCTAGTACCTACGGTACCTATCCAATCTCACCGCGAGCTATGACAGCGGATCTTGCAAGGCGCGCTTGTCGTGTTTCACCACCTTTACTTTTCTTCTTCCCGTCGTGCATTGCATTCCAGACCCACCACAGCTGGAACACTGGAACGGCAAACTTGACCGCAGCTCATGAAAAAACGATACCTTTATAAAAGAAAAACTCCAGTCATCATTATCAACAAGAACGAAAGCATCCCAACTCTCAGATCCAAACTTGTACCTGTCTCTATCCTTCCGTAATTTCTCATCCCAGAGATTCTGTCATCATGATTGCCACCTCATGAACGAACGGGCCCTTCTGTCGTGTCGAATTCGCTTCAGTCCCAAAATATGTGCAATATGTACATATATACATGTTGAAGAAAACCCTGTCCTCGTTTCATCCGCTTCTTCTGCTTCATCGCCCTCTACAATAAGACACGAGACACTCTCGAGCCGAACCCAAGCTTCTCGCTTACGCCTATAGTGCCATAGCGCCGAGGGCGATAGCGCCAAGCATGCCAACCATTGCGGTCGCGCGAGCACCTGCACCAGAACTCGTCTGGGACCCGTCGCTGCTGGTCTGGCTGGGGCTGGAGGATGAAGCAGTGCGGGTCGAGGTCATGGATGCTACAGAATCGAGGACAAATGTCAGCATAGGTACCCGGGATTGGACTCTTTGACGATGCAAGACGGAGGATATGGACATGAACTTACAGCTGGAGCCACTCATGCTGCTGCTGCTCATGCTCATACTGGTGGTCATTCCAGAGCTTGTGGGAGATGCAGTGCTGATGGTGGATGGAAGAGGTGCGACAGATGTTGTTGACGACGCCGCAGTGGTAGATGCCACAGTGTTGTCGCTGTCCAGCACAAAGTATGGTGAGTAGTTGACTTCTTCATCATTCTGATCGTTGATAATCTGGATGGTGTAGTCCGAGCCACGGACGGCATCGCTATCTGGAGTCCATGTGTACGAGCCGCTGTTCTCGATGTTCGCTGCGATTTGTTAATGCTATGATCCGGCATTCTGGATGGACACATTCACTCACAGGCAATTGTGGTGCCTGCGTTCAGGTTGTTGCTGGCACCGTTACGGAGGACGAGGGAGACCGTGCCTCCAGTGGTGGGGTTCCTGGTGAGAGTAAGTGGCCATTCAAAAAAAAAGTCTTCCACATCGCGATCCCACTGACCAGGTCAGAGTGAGTGGTTCACCAGCCTTGGCAGCAAGGCCAACATTTGTGAAGGCATTTGGGCCAGTCGCGGTCTGAGCGTAAGCAGCGAGAGCGCTGACCAGCGTCAGCAACAAGGAGCGTGGGAACTGCATAGTGATTGGGATATGAGGTAATTAAGAATAATAAGAGGCAAGGATTGTACGGGCTGCTCTGCAAAGGAGTGAATAGAGTAACAAGTGGGGTGAATAGAAAATAATCTGTCTGGAGTAGAACACAACGCGACAGAGAGAGGATTGACGAGGCGCTCGAGCGCGACCATCGGCGTGCATCTCTATATCACTCTCACTGTGCACACCCCTGCAGCTCTCTTTCCCAAAGAGTGGGTGACGGCTCGGCCAATCATTACCTTAGCTGCAGAATTGGACTTGGAGAAAAAGTGGCCGCCACTAAGCTAGGTCAACTCTGTTTGAACCAGGAGTCGCTGCAACCGAGCGAGACCGAAGAAGTACTTGGCACATACGCGCACACGATGCCGGTAGTGAAAGGACCTGTTCAGTCCCTAGGAGTTCGTGATGCGGATGGACTGTACAGTCACTGATTCCTCCGGAGAGGGTACTGTAATGTAGAGACACGACGATTGGTATTATATAAGGGTGAAAATGTGCCAAGCGGGAAACCTGTTCGGAAATTTGAAGCCATGTCGATCGTCTATAGTTTGAGGGACATGTAGGACTAGTAGTCGTCCTGCAGGGATGCACATGCTGCGCCCAAACTCCGCCAGGGCTAAGGGCAGACCCCAAAATGTCTAGTCGCAGACCCCATTTCTGAGTCATCAAGTTATTATCGTACCCTACGATACTACCAATACCTTCTAACTACCTAGGACGTAGGAGGTAGTAGCTTCACTTTACATTGCACCCTAAAGGATACCCCTCTCGATTCTTAGCCCCCCTTAGGGGGTTGGGGGGGCAATCTGGTCGGTTCCCCCGACGGATTTGCTTTCTACTACCTACGAAGAAAAAGCGAAAAAGCGAAAAAGCGGAAGGATGCCTTCGAGCGAGGGAGACGGCGAGGGAGAAGGCGAGGGGGACGCGTTGTTTTTCGGGGGGTAGGATTACAGCGGAAGGGTACGGTAATAACTTGATGACTCAGGAATGGGGTCTGCGACTAGACATTTTGGGGTCTGCCCTTAGCCCTGGCGCCAAACTCTAGAAAGAACGCTCGCGGCTCCAGAGTGCGACAGCCTTGGTGAACAGAGACTTCGCACTTTGGAGCTAGGAGGTATCTCCTGCTCCGTCCTGGGATGATTGCAATTCATTCGACATCCTGTGCACGGTTGAAGCCTCGAAGGTCGTCAGCGACATGGCTTAGATCGGCATGCACTTCACTCTGCTGGGTAGTCTATTCTGGGACGTGCATACATGTAGCCCACGTGCATGGGTTCACCTCATCCACCAGCGCGATTGTGGCAAACTGGCAAAAGTGCGATGTGATTATGAGGTGCAGCGGGCCACGCATTTGCTCACGGGCGTTATTCTGGATCAAGATGGGAGGAGGACAGAGAACTTGGTTGATCGTTGCGGGGTGATCCGAGTGTGCACGGAACCGGGCGAACGGTCCATCTGTCATGGACCGATCAAGCCAAATGAGCCGCGTCACGGAGGACAGCGAGGTACAAGGCACGTCGCTGTACAATTTCTTCAGGCTTCAGCGCGTGGTACAATAGTCCAGCCTGATGCCCGCCTCTGACAGCTGCAATATGAGTAAAAGAGTTAGTTGATTGCTGCATGGAAGTCGGCAGCACAGCGGCGACTCTTCGACATATGTGTCACGCAGTTGGGAGAGGGCCGGCCGACAGCGCCATGTGCTGATGTTTGTCGTCCGGCGGATGATCTCATGATTGTTGCGAGTTGAGCAATAAGCACCGCTTTGCAGGTCCAACGTGGTGGGAGCCTGGGAGGTGCGGCGCAGCTGGGGAATGCCATCCTCACCAGGCCCCCGTCGCCCAGGATATCTATGGTAGTTCTACCGCGATCCGTGACCTTTTTCTTGAATCAGGGTTTGTTTCCAACAACCAGTCAACCACCATCGGACGCCGGACGGATGGGCACGGGCACCCACGTCTTCCAGGCCATCAAGCACTGCGAATCGATACGCGGCGTAGCATTCGTCATCTGATGATTGAGTTATTGACGCACGCACAATCAGCAGGCGGGACTCACAGCTGTGGGCAAACGGAGGGCGGCGGAGGCAGGGGAGCAGCAGAGGTAGTGTAGTAGTGTGGTAGTGCGGTAGTAGTAGTGTCAGTATGTAGTATGTAGGGGAGCCGAGTGGGAGACAGACTCTCAAACAGTGACAGCCCTAGGCAGAGACTAGACTTCACTACTCTTAGATCAGACTCGGTAGAAGATTCAAGAAGGCCAGACTCGCGCTGCAGGCATCTAACCCTGTCCTACCTCCGTCCGGGAGGCAGTACGACGATTCGACACACCGGGGCAGTCATCTGATGAGTGATGACTATCAAACACATGCAGCCGCAGGTGCCAGGAACTAACCCGACCGCTTGGCAGTTGGCCCTATTTGTGCATTAATTCACACCTACTCTCGTTCTTCAATTATTTTTCTCTCTCTCTCTCTCTCTCTCTCATCGACCGCACTCCACCGTCCATCCGCCTCTCTCTCTCACGACAGTCACTCGTTCATCAGGCGCCCGACAACTTCCTCTCGCTCTCCCATCGCTCTCCCACGACATCGTCCATCGAGCCGCTCACATCCGCCATCGAAACCACCGTAAGAATGTTCGTCAAATCCATCCTCGTCGGCGCGCTCGCTGCTCTGGCCGCTGCTCAATCGTCTGTCATTAGCTTCGTAAGTGTCATCCAGTCTTCCAATGACTCCAGCCAGTACTGACTGCGAATCAAGACAAATTCCCTGCCGAGCCCCGCCGAAGCAGGCAAGCCCTTCACTTTGACATACACCACCACGGGATCTGGACCCGTCTCTATTATCCTGCGCAAAGGGAACCCCAACGACCTTCAAACTGTGGCCACCCTGACCTCCGATGCGACTGGTGGATCATACCAATGGACCCCAGCTACTGACCTCGCGTCTGGCACCGATTACGCTCTCCAAATCCAGCAAGGCAGTGAGATCAACTACTTGGGTCCATTTCCCCTCACCGGTGGCAGTGCCAGTGGTGGTGGCTCTAGCAGCAGCAGCAGCATGTCCACTCCTATGGCACCACCGAGCTATGGTCCCATGACTACCATGACGAGCTCCACCGAGATGACCTCTATGATGATGACCTCCACAGCTGCATCCAACTCCACATCCTCGTTCACGACCACTGCAATGATGCCAGTTGGCACCGGAAATGCTACCATGACGCGCAACGCTACCATGAGCATGGCCACTCTTACGAAATCTGCTGGTCCACACGCCACCAACGGCGGTGGTGCTGGTTACCAAGGCACTTCGACCGGACCTAATGCTGCACAGAGCACTGGTGGTGCTTCGACGCTCATGGTTGGCGGCAGTGCCATCGCCATTGTGTTCGGAGCGGTAGCCGCTGTTGTGATGGGTTAGAGACGATTACACCACAAGCCTACTGGGGATGCTTGTAGTAAAATGCGTAATATGTATATGTGCTACGGCGTTTTTGATATGCTAAAAGCGATAATGCATACCGTTTGGGAATTGTTCAATGATATCACGTTTGGTCCAATCAGCATTTCTCTCTCTCTCTCTCTCTCTTTCTCTCTTTCTCTCTTTCTCTCCTATCGTCTCATGCGCGAAAATGCCCAGGTCAAATATGCCAAGGTTATTCAACCACTTCATCCACGTGGAAAGCTGTTGTTCACAACAAAATCAGTGGTGGGGCTATACGCGATACATGGACCACACACACTACCTCCTACTCTAAATAAAAGATCGGTCTTCAATATCTACAGATCATCAGTACTTTGGAACAACCCCAACAACGAGGCAGGGTCAAGTAAGTGGAGAAAAAGGAAACAAGGGAAACGAAAGAAACCTCATGAAAGACCTCTTTTTCATCTCAAGAAGAAAAAAAAAGTCACTACTATACCCAGCTGGCTGGCACATGACGAACCAATGATTCATCTCTTCTTCTTCTTCTTCTTTCTCTGTCGCCGATTGAGCAGACAGCTACTTATTTTCATTTTTATCCTTTTCCTTTTCTGCAACGCCATTACTGTAATGGCGGGGGATGGGGGGTATGCAATGCGTTCAAATCGCGCCTCTCTCTCTCTCTCTCTCTGCTCCATGTTCTCCTTTTCTTCTTTTCTTAAAAAAAAATCCCCCCCTTCCAATACACACACACGCCAGTTCATGACTGGAGTGTTCGAATGGTCTTTTGCCCTTCATGATCAACCCCTCGAGTCAACTCCAAATGGAAAGCCAGGGGCCCTCCAAGGTTGAACAGTCCACTTCCGTTGGAATTGTGGAATGTGTAACTTTGGGAAGCTGAAACGTCTTTTTGCCCCATCTGCCCGGCATTTGGTGTCCAATTTCACAACGAGGCAAGCCTGGTTGATCCCGAGTCTAACGCCATATTACAGCATCATTCTACACGATCCCTACAGCCCGTTGCTGTGGTCCTGCGCGACTTGCTCTGTTCGGACTGCCATGCGACTCGGTGCTGGCGTTTGGGTTCGCATATGGAAGGTTTGGTAGCGTCATCGGATCGCGATCGCTGCCGACATGCCTCACGGAGCTCTCGTTCTGCCATGCGCTCTGTTGATAGTGATCGGTGTCCACTCTTGTGACAATCGGCGCTGACGTTGGCGGCGATGTAGTGCCATTCTGCGCAACGACAACATGGCCACTGTTGACCGTGGGCGCCTTTGCGCGGTCACCATAGCGCTTCAAGATTTCCTTCGTGGTAATCTCCGCCGTGTTGCTGAAGAGTGAGGAGTCGTTCAGTATCATTGCAAGATCCTCCGGCACCTGTTCACACAATTAGTGCCCAGCTGACAACGGTCATTGCCCATGAGTCCACTTACCTCGCACATGCTTTCGTTGCATTCAATCAAGCTGTGAACAGCTTCGATGGCTAGAAAGCTATCTTCGACGGGCACGGCGTCTTTTCCGCTGTGCATGATATTCGGCGTGATCACAGTCGCCAGGTTGTGAATGTCCATCTTGCTGCCGCTCTCTTCGTCGACGTGGCTGAAGCTAGACACCCAATTGAGGAAAGTGAAAAGAACCTCCATGGTGTCTCTGTGTGCTTTGGGCAACAGACAGCAAGTCAAATGCAACAGTCGCCGCCGACGCTCATTGTCCTCGATTCGAGATGAGGTTGTCCACAGCTTGTGCAGCTTGTTGGTAAGTAACGGATCAGGCAGTTCGCGCAAATACTTCTTCAGTAATGCAGCCACTTGCACAGGATTCTCCTTCGTCAAGTCAACTTGCACAGCGCCCTTGGTATCAATCTCCTCCTTCGCATCGTTAAGTCGCTTGATATTGCCATTCTTGCGGAATACACCTTCCACAGACATATCCATAGTCTTCATGGCGCTGACGCATTCTTGAACCAGCGAGGGAATCTTCAAAGAGCCGGGTCCAACGCCATCTGTGCTTTCTTCGTAGTCTCGCTCCAGTACCTGCTCCAGAGGTACGCCAAAGATGGCATTCTTCGCTGCTCTCGGTCTCTTCTCCTTACCCTGAAACGCTTTGCCGAATTTGCTCCAGAAGTTTTGCTTACGTGTTTCGATGAGGTCTAGCAGTTCTTCCTGGTTAAAGTGACCCTCTACCAGTGGCTCCATGGAGAGCACTGCCACGTGGCGGACGATGAAGTATTCCAGGGCTGTAAGCTCCGAGAAGTACTTCTTCGTGCCTGGTGGTCGAGTCTCCATCTTTTCACCTCCATCTCCCGAGAAGTCGCGAGTATGGCCATTGACAAGCCTCGGCACTGGCTCCTGGGGAATCATGGGCTGTCGGGCAAATCTCGAAGCATTCGGCCTTTGCTCCCTCGTCTGTTGTGCCTGCACAATTCTTGGTATGTCGTCCAAAGTCATTGCATCCTGCTTGCCAAAGGTGAGCTGAGAAACAGAATCACCATGCGCAGCTCGGTCTTCGACGATTTGGAAAGTGCTTTTTCTGCGATTGCGATCTGCGCCATCTGCCGAACCTGGACGCATGCCCTCCGGTCCATCAATGATGCGCGATGTGCGAGCCTTCTTCGTAGCATTCGACAGGTGCTTGTCCATCCTGGTACTACGCAGGCGTCGTATGTCACCCATCGTATCTTCATAGCTTTGCTCGCCTTGGTTTCTCTGACCAGGCGACCTTCCAGCATATGATCTTGATCGTGTGTTGGAGCGTAACAGAGGTGGCTGTGCCTCGCCCGAGGCAGCATGACCTTCGCGTGAGTCGTAGCCTAGCAAATTGGGGTCGTCGCTGGTATGCGGTAGAGCGCCGCCCGTTCTCAACGTGGCAAGAAGTCTCGCGTGGGCGACCCGGAGGAGGTGAACATATTGTTGCAATCGTGACACGGTCTCGAATCCGCCTGCTTCGGCATCAGCAGGTGCGTGTAGTTCGCACCACGCTCTTCCAGCTTGTTCGCTCCATCGTGCACTGCTAGGATCATCGCTGAAATCCTTGCCGCATTTGGCGCAGTTCAAGCACTGCGTGTGTATCACCTGATTCTTTTTGCGGAAGCACTTATCCTCGACGGCTTTGTTACAGACCACGCAAGTGTCGGCGCTTTTGTCGACATAGGCTTCAGCATCAGCTCTGGAGTCTCGTTGGCCCTCTGTTTCAAGTCGCTCGTCGAGCTTGCTGATATCTTCCAGAAATCCTTCCAAGCCTTGTGCGCTTGACGTTTCTCGCTCGAGCTTTAGAGCACCCGAAAGGCATATTCGAATCATGAGCTTGAGGTAGTGCGCCAGGCCCGTCACGAGTGAGAGTAGTTCCTGCGTGACGCCAAGTCTACGGACACCGTTGTCCTGGTTCTCGGCCAGTAGTTGGAAAAAGGCTACCACTTTCTTACATAGCAGCTTGGCTTCTCTGCTGTAGCTGAGTCCAGGATGCACAATAGCGTCAAATGTGCGAACCGTCTTGTCTGGTCCGTTCGAAGGTCGCACTTGAAGCCTGCGGTCCAGATCGTCTGCTGCACCAAATAAAAGGTCGACATGAGTGATGAATTTCTTCGCTGCAACCACTCCGTCCATGTATGCGCCGTTGCTCACGTGCAGCAACATGTCCGAAATGCGAGTCGCAGATCGCTCTTCGAAGGTCGACAACGTATGCCATATCCAGTGCACCTTGTATTCCACAGCCTCTTCCTCTGTCCGTACCGTTCGCCTCTGATCAGCGCTTGCATCGACCTCTATGCCAGCCTGTATCTGCCTCTGCCGTTCCAACGCGAATTCTTCCTCAGAGCCCTTAGGGGGAGGTGCATGCAATCGAACATTCCAGTATTTGTGGATCATGTAGCACTCTGGGTGCCAATGCTGATTCACTCCGTTTCGGAAAATCTCCACAAACTGCTTAAGAATGGCGGTCTGGCACCCATTACACTTTTGCGCAAACTTGGTCGAGTAGTGGAAGTGACAATACACATTGCCCTCGTGCTCATAGTAGGAGTCCTGTGCGCCAAAAACAGTGGGGCACACGGAGCAGGTGAAGTGCTCAATGTGGTACTTGCGCTCTAACGCAGTAATGTACGAGCCTCGTAAAGCCCCGCCACACGCATAGCACAACAGATCAAGTCTTTTGAAGTAATCGGTTTCGCACAAGGGGTATTGATTCGGTGGCTGATCTGGCACAGGGAAGAACTTGGAGGCGACGATTTTGCCGCAGTCCTGCGCAAATATCAGCCCCTGGTTGCATGCTTTCCACGATTGTTAGCTTAGCGGAACCTACATGACATGTAAAGCATTCCAAGTGATATGTATCTCCCAAAGCCCGCACAAATTGGCCGGTCAAGGCTCTCTGACACTTGCCGCACGTGCGCTGATGGTGTCCACTGGGCCTTCTTCCTCCCGACTTGGAGCGTTCCTTGCTGCCATGATCGTGCGGTCGGTCCAGGGACGGCCGCGACCGGTCCTGTGCAGCGGAGGATAGTCCCACGAGCCCGTGCTGCTCGTGGGGGCGCAGAGCAATATCGGTTTGGCCGTTGGCGTTGGCGGGAGGAGATGCATGCTGCGTGGATGTGGAAGGGCCATCATCGTGGAAGGTCTGCTGCTGCTGCTGCTTGCCCGGCGGCCGGTCGCTGTCTTGTCCTAAAGACACCGCCATGCCTGCGCGCTAGGCGGCGCTGGGTAGAGCGGATGGTGTGCGCAGTCCTGTGCACAGTACGCACACTGCGATGCTGGCGCTGGAAGTATCGGCTCTGGCTCGATGTGACGCTGGCTGCGTGAGAGAGAGGAGGTTTGTCGAAAGTGTGTATACCAGTGACGGGGGGTGGTGGAGCGAAGTTGTGCGATCGGTCCGTTCTCGCAAGCGGAGGAAGGGGAGGGGGGTTGGCGGTGGATCTGGAGCGACGGGGAGCGGAGAAGCGGAGTAGGGGAGGGGTGTCGGTCGACGACGTCGTTTCGTCTCGGTGCCTGGGAGCGCAGGCGGGCGAGTAGGTGTAAGGTAATGTAATGTAGTTATAGAGGTCGTTGCCCACTACCCTGTGCTGGAGACTACTGGGGGCGGCGGCGGCGGCGGCAAGAGCCGTGTCCTCACTATGGTACTCTCCAACTTCAACATCTGGGGAACACCATCTACATCTACTCACCACCGATCTCACTCACACTCGCATCTGTTCACACCCTCAACATAACGCTGCATCCAATCGAAAGACATCTACCAGCCTTACCAGCACCACCACGAAAAGTTCACCATGGCAGGCCCAACCGCGCCCGTCCAAACTTCGCGACGCCGTCCTGCGCCAACCGGCGACGAAGAAGCCACCGCGCGTCTCAAACTCGGCAATATGACCCACGAACAAGCACTCTCACCCGCCGAAGTCACCATGATGCTCGAAAGAATCGCAGAGGTTGCCGACTTTCGCAACACCACCGAAATTTACTACAAAACCAAAGAGTACTGCAAAACCTTCAGCCGCTTTAAGGACGCGAATGCCGTCACACAGGTCAACCAGATCAGTAGTGGCTTGACTGCGAGAGGCTATGGTATTGTGGAGTTTGAGAGGGCGCAATTAGGTGAGTCTGTGCATGTCTTATCCTTTGTGGAGGACAAGACGAGGATCTAGAATCAATGAGTGCTAATACTGTATGCAAATAGCCACGCTATGCTGTGACTCGGCTGAAGAAGCTCGCACGCTCATTCCTTCGCTCGAGGGGAAAATTAGCGACGATGAGCTTCAGGCTGTCTTGGATGAGATCTCGAAGTTGCGGGATTTCTCGTGAGGATGCCTCATGACTTTTGTGTTTGGTGGTTCAGATTGCAGTTGCATCTCATTAGCGTGGAGTTGGCTGGCGGAATTGGGCAGGGATTGCGATGACACACACGTAACAGGACGAGACACCATGGGACCCGTTCAGGCATCACCCAATGGATCGATAACACCGTCGAGTGTTTAACGTGGTGCTCAAGGCCGGAAGTGCCTGTGAGAACCACTTGGAAGCCACCTGGTAGTAGGTATATACCGATGGAACTGTCATTGTCGTAAGCGGAGACGTGCCCAGTGGTGTTTATCACGGAGAACAGTCACCAGAATCAGGCAGCTTGTCATAGTACTTGATCCGCTCGCCCCTAAATGTGTTGAGCGAAGTGATTCGAATTTATTGGAAAAACGACTCCGTTAGATCTGTGGCAAGTCCATAGATGAAACTACTAGAAGTTGTGTGGTACAATATTCTGGTTGCCTGATATATACTTTTACTCGCGTGATCTTCAGCTTTTTGCGCTCTGCATAGCCCGTCAATTTTTTGTTTCAAATGCCCCCTGTTGGTAAGACCATTGTCAATTTGTGGCCGACACAAGCTAGAAGGAAAAAAAATACACTCTGATTGCCTGTCAATTTCGAGCAAGATAACGCCTCCAACACCTTGCTAGCTAGCGCCTTCGCTGAAAAATGTGCGGAAGATATGGTCGTGAATCAATACAGAACATAGGAAATGGACACAGTGCACATGTCAAGCACTGTCTCGTGATCTGAATCTCTCAGTTCATGTCGGTGGAACACGTCACGGCGGCTGTAGTGGCGTCGGCGATAGTGTTAGGATCCAATTCGTGTACACGTCATGGATTCGACTGAGCGTCGACAGCAGCCATATCGATCGTCTCAACGTGATCTCCTGGTCTGGGCGAGAACACAAAGGGAGGTGTCAGAGACGCTGATGGCTCTTCCACGATAGTCTTCTCGAGAACTGTCGAGGGAGAACTAGTAGACAAGGGGTGATCGTCAGCCGAGACCACACTGCCTTGGCTATTTGTACGCATCATCTCTGTGCCGAGCTTCGATGTGCGTTTGACATTCCGTTTGGGAGATCGCTGGCGAATCTGTACATTTCCAAGCTCTTCGTCTTCATCATCACCACTTTCAGCTGCAGATTCGTGTCGTACTTTTTCCAACGATTTTCGCTTGGCAGCTATAGCTTCGTACGAAGGGGACTTGCGAGGAGCAGGCGCATCTGCACTTTCGAGCGCGGCAGGCGGTGACATTTGATGGTCTGAATTGGCTGTTGAAAGCCGCCTATGTTGATCATCCACTCTAATGCCGTGGGATATGCCAAGTCCGCCAAAATTGCGTTCCAACTCACTCTGGTCTAGTTCAGTCGTCGGTTGGCGCGATATTATGAGTGGAATGCTGGGAAGGTCGTCCGGTTCCCCCAAAGAGCTAGATCCGATCGAGTTCTCTCGCGTTCCGCTGAAAATGCTATTAAACCCGGTGAACCCAGAGGAAGCTGTAGTTGTGGGGCTGTTGTCGCTCGGCAGAGCCTCATGGCGCTTGATGCTAGGCGGAATTGCTTGGGGGGCACTTGGCTTCCAGCCTTCGGGTGGCGTCTTCCATTGACACAATCTACCCATAACCTCTTCCAGCTTCTCCTTCGTGGGTGGCTTCTCCACCAGAGCATCGAACGAGTGCGGTGCATGGAGCTCTTTAAGGTAGCCTGTGACAGCAACGATGGGTGTGTGTGAGTTTGCGTTCTTGGTATCGCGGATCATGCGAGCCACGTCCGCTCCGTTAACCTGTGGAAGCTTATACTCCATCATGATGATATCAAACTTGACTTCGCTCATGGCATATCGCATGGCTTCGGAGCCGTTCGTCACTGCAATTGTACGACAACGCAATTTCTCCAGCAGGCGCTCCATGACTAGTCTTGACACTGGGTGATCCTCGCAAACAAGTACGTCCAGAGTACGGAACGATGGGCCATCTGCAAGGCTGATTTGTGAAAGCCGACGTGAGCTCTGCCTCCGGCGCTGGACGCGGAGTAACGCCTTTGCTCGAGTTTCTTCGTTATCAGAAGATGACGGAGATACATCGAAGACGCCACTTCTCCGTTTGTGGTGGTGAGCTGGTAAAATCTCTGGCACAAGACCGCCGTCCTGGTCCTGCGAGCCTAGCGTGTGGGACCTCGGCCTTGGTGATGAGATACTGGGATGTCTGTGACCCAGTGTTGCGCGATCATGCTGCATCGGCAGATGAACGGAGTTCGTCTTGCCACCCTTGATTGGCGAAGGCGCCGATGAGTTAGCCTTGAATGTGACAGGTAATCGTGGAGCCTGGTCAAGCACATGGCCTGGCTGCAGTGAGGGGCCAGCCTGTTGCGACAAGCTCGAAGAACCACTCGAGGTTTTGCGTCGTTCTTGAGTCTGGCCTGCAGAGAATGACACGAGAAGGGGCGAGGATGGTTGTGATCCGCGGCTGGGCGATGGGTTGGCCTGATTGAGTGCCGATGTGCTATTCGGTCGATGCGCGTTTTTGTTGGCAGAAAGTGTTCGTTTGAGAGGCGCAGGAGCGATAGGACTAGAATCCAGCCCGGGGCCAGGAGACGGCGAGACCACAGCTGACGAGTTGGTGGAAGGAGCAGCACTGGCGGTCTTTGCCTGAGCCTGCATGGCGTCTGCGCGCAGTTTCTGTATCACGTCCTTATTGGCCTTCTCGAGAACTGGCAGGTTCTTGAATTGAAAATTGCCAAAATCGTCTTGGACAACTGGTTCGCTGAGTCTCCTGGAGCGCGCATCTCGTACGTGTGGTGGTATGTGTAAGGGCATCAGGTTGCGCTTCGCGGAGTTGACTTGGTTTCTGACTCTTGATAACGCGTCGTGCGGTCGATCCGGATAGTCCGCACCCGGTGTTTGGGATGGTGATGTTGCCTGATCCTCGAACTCGGCTGCAAAGTTTTGCATTGTGGCGCCTCGCGCGTCAAAGTACTCCGTGTCTTCAGGATTCTCGCTCATGGGGATGAAAGAGGCTTCATCCTCGCGAAGGGTATCCCAATGGATCTCAGCGAACCAAGGATGAGCTTTGATCTCGTCGCCACCGCTGGCGTACTTCTCGTCCTTGTTAGACCCCAGACGCTCTTTGGGATCAACACACATCAACTTGTTCATGAGGTCCTTCGCGTTCTCCGATACTGGATCGTCCTCGTCCTCAGGAGGCCAGCGGATGTTGCGCGTCAGAATGTTCTGAAATACCTCCTCGGGCGTGTCGGCGTTGAACGGTGGCCTGCCATATAGGCACTCGAACAAGATACATCCCAGGGACCACCAATCGCTCATCTCGTCTTGACCAGCACCGCTGATAGTCTCGGGCGCAAGGTAATCAGGAGTGCCAACGAATCTTCGATCGCTATCTTCCGGATCAAATAAAGCCATCATAGGCGGTGGCATCTGCGTTGATGGGGGCTGGTGTGGAGGCGTGTCATTCCTCGGCATGCTTGAGCTGGAGTTGCTCGCAACGGGTTGTAGCGCATACGGATCCGGCGACTCGCTTCCTCCCTCATCACTCGCTGTCTCTTCCTCGATTGGTGTACGCCCATCTGCCACAGAAAACCTCCGGAACATTGCAGACAACGCCTCGCTGTCGCCGCTGTCGCTACGTTGGCCCGACGTGCGGCGCGAGGGCTCTCGAGAGCCTTCACGATAGAGACTGAAGTATGACGGTTGATTGTGGTCATGGCAGATGGCTGGCGTCGTCGCCGGTGTTTGCACTGGTGAGTGCTGGGCACCTTGATAGTCGAGCGAAGTTGAGCGCGACGAGGTGACGGAAGGCGCACGACGGAATGGACCTGCCTTGAGCAGGTCTGGTGGTGCATCTCCCGGCTTCGCGTTGATGGCACGTTTCTGTCGTCCAATGAGTCCCATGCGAGAGAGACCAAAGTCGGTTAGCTTCAGATGACCTTTCGCATCGATGAGGAGATTGTCCGGTTTCAAATCTCGATGCACTATCTGCCGGCTGTGCAAGTGCTGTACACAGAGGACAACCTCGCCAATGTATTTCTTCGTCCAATCCTCTGGCAAAGCTCCGAGTACTTTAATGAGAGAAGCGCAATCGCCACCGTTGAGATACTCCATCACCAGGTAGAGGTAGTCTTTGCTTGAAAATGTCCAGTAGAGCTTGGCCACAAAGTCACTTTCACCTTGCCACATCATGATGGCACGTTCCGCCTTCACGTTGGTGACTTGATTCTTGGCTACCATGTCCGCCTTCTTGAGGACCTTGATCGCGAAGTAGTCGCCAGTTGACTTCTTCTTCGATAGATACACGCTACCGAACGCGCCTTTGCTGATCGGCTTGATGATTTCAAAGTCTTTGATAGAAGTCTGTATGGCACGAGGTTGCGGATTCGACATCACAGCACTAAGCCGAGGAGATGCAGGACGACCAAAGGACTCGGACATTGCTGCTGAAGACTGGCGTCTGTGGTGATGATGATGGTGTGCTCTGATGACAGGGGAGTTGAACTCGCTGTGCGCAAGAACCGGCGAAGTGATTGGCGATGGCAAGCCGTCCGCTCCGCTGGGAAGTCTCGGCTTCGCCATACGGAGTGGAGAGGAGGGTGGCGGCGGTGCTCGTGCTGGGGAATGACCGCCAGCATTTTGCAAGCTCGGCAATATCAGACTGTGACGCTTACGGTCGCGAGATCGCGTGCTCGCCACACGGCTCAGACTGAGCTCAGCGCTTGGTGACTGCGTACGCTTATGGCTACCACTAGCGACTGATGATCGCATACTGCTGTCGCTGTCGCCCCCTGTATCACTTTCCAATGCAACGGAGCTGCGTTTGTGCATGGGAAAAGGATCTGTAGGCCCAGCGTATGAAGATCTCGGCGTTGTTGCTCCCGCGCGTGGGCTGCTTGCGCGAGACGAATTCAAAGATGATGCCCGGCGCCTGAGAGCGTCATCCGAAGAGTTTCGTAGTGCCATGGCCATGGCAGAGTGACCTGCGGGGCTTTTGTACGAACTCATGCTGAACATCTCATCTGCCATTGAGTGGTCCAGAGCATCGCCAACCATCTCAAACGATGACTCCATGCCCCGCTCTGGTTCCGAAGCATTGCCATTTTCGCCTTCACTGCTACTTGAATCGCTGAGCTCGCCAGCAGCAACTCGTGCTGCCTTCTGTAGCGCAGCCTCGATGCACTCCTGCACCAGAATATCGTACTCCACTCGAATGCGTTCGGAATACTCCAGGATGCGCCGATGCCGGAATACCGCTTCTACCTTGGCTCTTGCCAATCGGTGGGTATCGTCGCATAGCAAAGCCAATCCCTGTTCATGGTCGGAGAGCCCGGCGCTTGGTGAGGGTGTCTGCAAGACTTGTTGTATACGGCTCTCTGACTGCGGAGATTGAGTGCGGAATTCTCCAGTAGCATAGCCTTTGGTGTCTTTGATGGCTGGTGTACTGATCTCCATCGCAGTGTCACAGATGTCAAGCACCAGCTCCACAATACGAGCCAAAGGTCTTCGAACAGCGAAAGATCTCGCCCGATGGTGACTTAGTCCACTGGCAGATGACTCACGAGAGCGCCCAACCTGTGCAGGAGAGGCACGCCCAGAAGATGGTCCCGAGGAGGGCGAAGAGCTGTGACCAATGGGCAAGCCTTTGTATTCAGCTTTTGGAGGAGCAGATGGCGAGGTGGGTTCCAGTCCGATCGGTTGCGCTAGTCGACTCTGAGCTTCCATTGCGTCAAGGACCTTCACGATGGCTGATCGCTGTTCGTTGAGCGACTCTTGCGCCATCTGAACCTCCATTTCCGCGCGATGCTCTTGCGAGCACAGCTCGGTATGCTTCTCAAACCACCAAGGAGTGATTTGACGCTCACAGATTCTGCACAACACAGGCAATGGCGGCGGATGATTGGCAGGGTCGTGCACACCTACATCCGCCAGCAGAGTAAGGTAGTTGGCCAGCATCTCAGCTCCGATCCCAAGTGAATCGACCAGCACCTGAGGTAAGTCTATGGTGACTTCTCGTGAAACGGCTGGCTTGACCATCCACATCGTGTGACTCTCCTCGCCGGTCGTTCTGTCATAGACCATGATTCCTTGTGCCTCGAGCTCGATAGTTTCCTCATGTTCTTCCGAGATGTCATTTTTGGTGCCTGGCATGGAGTCGAGGCCGGCTCTTGGCTCCACTGGAGTCTTCTCATCGCCAGACGGAACATCTTCACCATCCGCGGAAGGCGATGGGTGCACGGTAAACCGAATGAAGTGGCTCTTGGAATCGTCCTTGCGCATAGCTTCCACGCAACCCGCGAACACGCTCGGATCGTCAACCACCACTTCAGAGACCAGCTTGCCAATGATTGTGCTGGCAGCACTGCCGGTGACTTCCTGCCAGGAAGGACTCACCCATCGCACCCTGCCGTCAAGATCCAGTTCGAGTATGGCGTTCAGAGACTGCTCGGCAGCCCTCTTCAAGTCTTCGCGTTCCTCTCGAATGTCCATACTAATTGTCCTCGACATTATGCCCTTGGCGTTTACGCCGCCTCTTGACCCATCCTCCCTCAGCGCGGCCACGGCTGGCGGAGCGAGCGGCTGCTGCTGCTCCTCGGCCATTGTACCGCTGCGCCCGGGACTCCGTGTAATGAGTTGTTCGACGCTGGTGCCAAACGGACGGGTTGGCCGCTATGCCCGCTGTGACCGCTTGCCCATGGTTGACGTCGACCAGAGGGCGGTGGTGGGTGTGAGGTCGTCTCGAGAAGTTTCACTTTCTTTTCGACGGCAACAATGAGCAGGCAGGCAGGCTACCAGAGGCCTACGCGAGAAATGACCGCTACCTTAGGCGAAGGCGAAGACTACGATCCCGAGTATTGGTATCTTCTTTGGAGTGACAGTAAGTGTGGGTCAGGCACTTTCGGCAGGGGAGTAAATACTCGGGTGAGGGGGGAGGCTTTTACAATTCTAGTCCGCAAGGGGAACCGACTGCAGCGGAAGTCCGAGTGGAGACGGCTAGTGGGTGTGCGTGTGGCATTATTGTGAAACGCCACATCAGCTCGCAGCCACGGTACACGGTACAGTACAGCTCTTCCCCTTGCCGGGCGCCTTCTGCTGCACGCTTCGCCTGATACCGTCCCCCACCCCCAAAGCGAACCACCGCGAGGGCCATTAGAGGAGTATCCGCACTGTCTGCCACTCCCACCCGGCACCGCACAACGACTAGCTATTGAATGGCAATAATGAGCCCTTGAACAGCTCTTCGCAAGCTCTGCCGGTCGTGAAGCACTAGTAGGTACAGTACATCACTACCTACCTCCTACATGTACATACATACCTAGGTAGGTACTGTACGTACCAGCAGCTCGTTCCATGCGCAGCCGAACCAGGTCTCTCAGCCAGGGTTCCGGCCAAAGTCCCGCGGTATTCCCAGATTACAAGACATAAACGACGGCGTGCAGCGTTTAGGGAGGCGCGGATGCGCAGGATGGGGTGTAGAAGTGAGTGGCATGTTGGTACAGTATAGGTAGCCATACATGGGTACACGTACCTAGCGAAGGTGTGACATGTCTCGGCTCAGAAAGAATCTACCCACAGTACCTACAGTAAATCATAATGCTGCACATGAAAGACTACATTACGGAGGGAGCATGCATGGAATCTGTCGCTCACACGTCACAGCACTAGTCCTACTACTAGGTACCTTACTGACATCAGAACAGGACCAGAGCCAGTCATGTACAATTGTACATTTACGATGGCCACGTCAGGGAGTGGAATGAATGGGATGGTCATCTCTAATGCTTGGCGCAGAAGCTTATGTTCTGACCGCGATGACTGAAACGCGAGAACGCCAACCATCGTTCCTCTACCTCCTAGGCTCTCGCTGTTAATCCTCGGCTTCAACAGACAGTTCGCCCTCAGATGAACGGTACATCTTCTGGAGGCGGAACTTCAGACTGAAACAGATCGGAGAATATGCTCAAGGTTCTTTCGCGGCCGTTGAGATCCATTGGCATGAGTACCTAGATCTTGCTCGCAGCGTGCCAGAAGAGAGAGAGAGAGAGAGAGAGAGAGAGAGCGCATTGTCAGCTTCGGCCGCTCGCCTCCGTAATCGACTCATTGTCGTCTGTCTGACCTACTGAAGTCTGCGCTCAAGCTCACGCGGAAGCTCTTCGGCGCATCGAACGACAACCTCATTACAATAAGCTGATCTCCAGGTCGCATGGCTTTTGCTAATGCATCGAGAATCTTCTGTGGTTATTGGTCCTAGTGGTCCGAACAGTCATGCAAGATGAACCTTGCAAAGTAGGTGGTTTTGGTCTCGGCTGGGACAGCGTGAGCGCTTTGCCCTCGAAGAAGTCGTTCGCCACGAACACAATCCTAGGTATCCTAGAGCTCAAGAAGCCCTTCCAGGCTCAGACAGCAACCGTTTCTGCGAAGTCTTGCACTTTGCCGTCCTGCCAGCTCCACAGAAGCATACCAAATATCGATATCGACGACCAAGTTTATCCATCGACTGCTTGCCTGACGTCGTGTGCCCCGGCCGCCGATAGCCCTCGCGTGGTTTTGGCCACTATCGCATGAAGCTTCTCGCCATCAGGCTCCCGGGAATATGCAATCTCACCAATATGGTCAGTATGGAACTGGAATTGCCAGTCACACAGACTCACTCGGCAATACCCATACTACCTACTCTAGGGCTTGTGGATCTTGGCTCCAGCCGGATACACGACGTTGGTGCACATGTATAACTAGACTTCTAGTTCAGGAAACCTCACTGTGTGACACGTGGCCGTCCTAATCCTCCCAGAACAAATCAAGGAAAATGACGTGCTGTATCACTCGCTCGATCAACGCAGATGCCTTTACAATGTCGGTGTAGGTGGTAGACCTATACGCCAGTGACGCATAGCCTGATACTTGCGGAAACCGTTCTAGGGGCATACTTCATGTGCCGAAGATGCGGCTCTAAGAGAGCGGTAGTCCGGTGTGCGCATAAAAACTGGAAGTCAATTGTCGTGAAAATCGGCATGGCCGTATTGACTCTACTGAGTCTATTGACCGCTGTAACTATGGTAAATTGCCGCATAAAGATGCTTGATCTCTTGCTTGCATGTGCGGCTCGGCCAGTCCCAGCCAAAGAAATTGAAGAACCGAACGATATGGAGATGTCTTGCAGCAGTGAGACCTTCTGGTTTGTGATTGTAGGTAGGTATTAATGCTTTCGCGCTTGGAGGTCATTGCTTTTACTGCTTTTACTGCTTTTGCAAGCATTGGCACAACATCGAGGGCGAGTCACCCGAAGCCCGGTAAGGCATGATAGTCAATGTTCACTAGAAGCAGTGCCAAAGCAATTCGAAAGGAAGGAGAGCATGGTCGACCCATCGTTCACATGACTGCATGTAGTAGCCATAGATATCAACGTCGTGATTCCCCTGTCTAACCAGCCTCGTCGGTCCTTGTGGAACCTTAGTTCGCCCAGTTTCTTGTGTAGGGCTTCAATTCCTTACTTCCTGTTTTCATATCAGGTGGTCTCTCTTCAAGCGTGGCTCGACCCGACGCCTGGTCAAACATGAGCCAGCTACAAGATCTCGTTCTCCACCGAAACCCGGCGAGAAGAATGAGGAAGCCAGCACCGTGTTCTGTAGCATCATGTTCCAACTAATGCCCGAGGCTCGCTGAAATTAGCCACGGGAGCCAGTTGAAAATCGACCTGTGACTAAGGGCAGATGGGACTTGCGCCATTGTAGTGGGCGACGTGGAAGGTGATTCGTCTCTCTGGCAGCCTCTTCGGTCTTGCAGACTTGCTGTGTGGTGCGGTGCGGCCCGGGACGGAGCGGTGCTTTCAGTGTCCGAAGTGCCGTTCGTCCACACACCAATCACGAACAGCCATGGCCACGTCGGCAACCCACACGCGACTCTCAAGGAACGCGGGTCTAGGACGTAGGCTGCGAGAAGAACGGGAGGCCCCTTCATCCTCGCGGTGCTCCCACACACTGATACATAGGTAGTCATGCAACTGGTCGTTCGTCTACAATGAGGTGAGCGCCATGCTTGCTGACCATGTAAAAGCTGGACCTAGCGTTTGTGGTCGGGTCCATACCTCCTACGATGAGCGCGAATTTCACTCCAGAATTTTCCTCCCATTCCCCGCTAGTTCCAGTTCCAGTCTTCCACTGCGCTTTCCGCCAACAACCTCGAAACGTGGAAGAACACACTTAAATTCTCCACTCGTACTCGCTGATACAGGCAGACACGGCCATTATTCTATAATTTGCAACATTGCACCACATTCACAATGGCAACCGCGCCTGCCAGCACTTCGTGCAAAGTTGTGCTAGCGAGCGCGATTGCAAAAAAATTGCTCGCAGAAGTCGCCAGTGGCATCGAGGCTCTGCCGCAGCCTCCGCGCTTACACGGCTTTCTCGCCAACGATGATCCAGCTGCTGAAATGTACGCGAATTGGACCAAGAAGACATGCGAAGAAAAGTGAGAATACACATTGCAAGACTGCCACATCATGATTGGCAATCTTTGGCAATCTTGACACTAATGACAAAGTAAAGCGGTGTGGAATTCACGCTGCGCAAGGTCGATCGCGAAGCCCTGGAAGATGAGATTCGATACGCAAATCAAGATCAAAAGGTCGATGGTATGATTGTCTATTATCCCGTCTTCGACACGATGCGAGATCGAACTCTGCAATGGACAGTCAGCTTGTACAAGGATGTCGAGGGCCTGTCACCACAACTCATATCGAACATGTATCAGAACATTCGGTTCCTGGACCCACCCGACAACAACCGCAAGTCCATCTTGCCGTGCACACCACTTGCCATTGTCAAGATTCTGGAGTATCTGCAAATATACAACAACATTCTCGACTACGGAACGCGTCTCCATGGACGACGAATCACGGTCATCAATCGCAGTGAGGTGGTCGGTCGTCCACTTGCGGCTCTGCTAGCCAATGATGGAGCTGAAGTCTATAGCGTTGACGTTACTGGCGTGCAACAATTCAGCAGAGGCTCTGGATTGAAGAAGCAGAAGCATGCCACTCGTGAGATGCCAGGTTGGACTTTGGACCAGTGTCTGCCCATCAGCGACGTTGTGATCAGCGGTGTCCCAGGCGAAAAATTCAAAGTCCCTACACATCTCGTGCGCGATGGGGCTGTGTGCATCAACTTCTCGAGCGAAAAGGTGAGCCTAGATTTGTAGTACTTGGTTGTAGTGTCTGAAATGTTGCTGACTGTGTGCTGCTACAGAATTTCCATCCAGACATCAAGGAGAAAGCATCAATCTATGTGCCAGCCATAGGTAAGGTTACGATTGTGGTCCTGATGCGCAATTTGCTTCGGCTCGCGCAGAATAAGCCGCAGACGAACGGTATCAACTAGTCCTGCTCTTTCTTCGTGCAGGAAATTGTGCTTCAGTGCAATGAGATACGACTACAGGCTTCGAGTTGATGGAGCGAGGTCAGTTCGGCGGCGTGGTTAGCTAAGCTTATGCAGGCTGTGGCATCGTGGAGCCGCTACATAGCTTGGTACAATGACTGTACTGTCTCTCCAAGTTCGTGTGCTCGCGACATTGAGGAGGATTCATATTATAGCTGCGCATAGACGGTGTGTTTCGATCCTAAGTCCATCTTTTGTGTATTGAAACCTACAATCGTTCGGCAACCAAACTAGATAACTTGGGCAACTCTTTCATTGCTTGTATAGGCGCATCCGTGCATCTCTACCCAAGCGTGAGTTCAATGGAAGGCGTGAAAGAGTCCTTGAAGACGACGACGATGATGATGATGTTGATGATGTATTCATGTACGGGTACCTATCCTATGTACATGTAAGGTCGGTAGGTATTCGAGATGTTGTGGCGAGCGGCATAGATGTCTCCTCCGGCGCTAGTCCGTGCCAAATTTCAAAGGACTCTCCACTCGCATCTTTTGCGTCGTAGACCATCATCCTCTTTCGCACAAACATCATCACCTCGTGAGATAGTTTCCCGCCGCATCACCTCACGACTCACTGTGGATACGCTTTGGAGTCTTGAGTCGATAAGACCTGCAACATGTTCGCACTCCGCCGTATCGCCGTACGCGCGCTGCAATACCAGCCTACACGCCAAATCTCGACCCTGCGACCTGTGTCATTGACATCACGCATCGAATCGAGCAAGCCCTCCTTTTACCGGTCGTTCCACCAGTCGCAGAAATGGCTCGCAGAGGAGGAGCAACAGAAGACACAGGAGGGCTCAGCCGAGCCAACTGTCACGGTTGAGCCTAGCACTGAGGAGCAGAAGGAGATCACGGAGAAGAGTATCGCCAGTTCAGAAGTCGCAGATGCTGCTTCGGACAGTGCGTTGCCCCAGAGCGCCACCCAGGCGACGGAAGAGGTGAAGAATGTAGCAAGTTCTGCAAAGGATGCTCTGTCCGGCGCTGCAGAGAAGGTTGTAAACATGGTCAGGCCCAGCTCCCGCTTTCAATTTCCCAATGAACCAGGAAAGGATACGGTACTTTACGTTGGCAATCTCTTCTTCGAGGTGACGGCACAAGAATTGGAGGCTGAGTTTGGACGTTTCGGCGAGGTTGTCAACAGTCGCATTGTCAAAGACCCCACGGGCTCCAGCCGCGGTTTTGGCTTTATTGAGCTCTCGACCACAGAAGCTGCAATGAATGCCATTCGCGGGTTGGATCAGAAGGTGTTCCAGGGCCGACGCATGTTGGTCCAGAAGCACGTCCGCAAAGACAAGCCCAAAAGTCCAGGTGGCTCATACGCTCCTCGTGACCGTGACGCTCCTCGTGATCGTGCCTCGGCCTCTCCAAGCAAGACTCTGTTCATCGGAAACATGTCTTACGAGATGAGCGACCGTGATCTGAATAGTGAGTACCACTGTGGAAATGCGGCACTCATACAAGATGCAAGTTCACTGATGAAATGCGCGCAGATTTGTTTAGAGAGATCAAGAACGTACTAGACGTTCGAGTCGCCATTGATCGCCGCAGCGGCCAGCCACGTGGTTTCGCGCACGCCGACTTTACCGACGTAGAGAGTGCGGAGAAGGCGAAAGAGTTCCTGGGAAGTAAGATGGTGTATGGTCGACAGCTGCGAGTCGATTTCGCAGCTGAGCCCTCGAAACCGTCCTCTTAAGCGCAGGGCGATGGTATGAAGCAAGGTCGGTTGTATGAATAAAGGAAGAAAAGAGAGCCAACGCGTATGTCGGCCACCGCCTATTGCAATACTTTCTAGACTTCAGCCTGACGGTGGGGTGCCCGGAGACTGGCCAGTGGTGCAGAGGCCAGCAATCAATTGCCCTGCGTTTATGTCGAATGGCAAGGTGAAATTGAGACGAGAGTTCACAAAGAATGGCAAAAACATGCTTTTCAAAGTCCTGTATAGTATAGATGTATCTAGCGTTGTACCGCCGACAACAGCACTGCGACAGGTACACTTAGCAAAAGCGATTCCACTTTGCATGTGATGATTCCGTTCTTGGCCGTGCTGTGGCGTCGAGTTTCGATAGATGAATAAGCCGAGGCTCACTGACATACCTCATGTACCTTACTGACCACCTCAGCACCAGACGGCAAACTTCTCTCATAGCAGACGACACACAATCACACGAGCCGGCACTTCCATTTTCCTCCTCTATACTCGTCTTCGCTCTATTCGGGACACTGCCTGAAGAAGTGCGCCGCCGTGTCCGCTGCCTTTTGTAGCAAATCGATTCTCTGTCCCCGCCTTATCCCCGCCATCTACTGTACACGGGCACCCACCCACAGGAGCAAACACCACGACAAGTGCATTTTCATCTTCACCAGACCATGTCGTTCCTAGGCGGGCCGGAGTGCAGCGCGGGCGCCAACCCGCTCGCCCAATTCCAGAAGCAGACGGCGGCCGACACATCGCTGCAGCGTGACCGTCTCACGTCACGCAACCCACAGCAGCAGCACAATGGCTTTCGCAGCGGCCAGCAGCTCCCTGAAGATGCCGCCTTCCAGGACTTTGCTCAACAAGGTCCACATATGGGCGAGATGCTGCCCAACGAGGCTTTTCACATGGAACAGCTTCGACGAGAGGCAGAGCATCTGGAGCGAGTAGGCGGTGGTGGCGGTGGCGGCGGTGCGAACTGGGCCGGCGAGTTTGCGCAGAAGGGGCCAGCCTTTAGCACGGAAGAGTTCGCGCAGCAACGAGGTGGAGCTTTCAGCCCGCAAGACTTCGCCCAATTCCGCCAGAGCCAGCTGTCGCCTTCTGCAAGGACGGCAAGTCCCAATAACATGTCGTATCAATCAGCCTACAGACCGCCGCAGATGGGAATATACGGAGGCGGCATGCAACGGCCTATGATGTACCAGCAGTCGCCCATGATGTATCAACAATCGCAGCAGCAGCCACAGCAGTACGAGGGGAAGGGAAAAGGAAGGGTGCAGGAGCTGAGTGACACCGACTGGGAAAAGCAGTTCGAGGAACTGTCTACAGCAGACAAAGATGCGGATCTAGACCAGCTGGATCGGGAGGCGAACGAAGCCATGGAGAGAGAGCTCAACCAAGCGGACAGGTAGGTCGTGCTTCGTCTTTCCTCTGCTATGTTCGCCTGCTCACTAGAGGGGCAGGTCGGAAACGGGCTGGGGCGATTTTGAGAGCATCATGAATGGCGCGAGAGCTGAGGCTAACTCCCACAGGAACATGCTCGCCGACGAGGAGCTCGGAAACCACTTCGGCGATGCGTACGATGAATGGAAGGACTTTGATGGCATGAACCACAATTTCGACTCGTACCGTGACTTTGGCGACTTTAGCACAGGACCCCCGACCGGAACCTACATGTTCGAAGAGAATAACCTGTTCCAAGATGTGCCCAATGCTTTCGAAGAGGGTATGAAGATCATGCGCGAAGGCGGCAACTTGAGCATCGCCGCTTTGGCTTTTGAGGCTGCTGTGCAAAAGGATAATGAGTTCGCGGAAGCGTGGGTGGCCCTCGGTCAAGCGCAAGCACAGAACGAGAAAGAGTCGCCCGCGATCCGGGCATTGGAGCAAGCAATTAAGCTGGACCCGAGTAACGCGGAGGCCCTAATGGGCCTTGCAGTATCATACACAAACGAAGGGTACGATACGCTCGCGTACAGAACACTGGAACGATGGGTGGCAGCAAAATATCCTCAGCTTGGTGTCACGCCCCGAGGGGTAGACGTGGAAGAAGAAATGGGGTTCACCGATCGTCACCAACTTCATGAAAAGGTCACTAACTACTTCCTGGAAGCGGCACAACTCAATCCGGAAGGTGGAGATGTGGACGTCGACGTTCAAGTCGGACTTGGCGTATTATTCTACGGCAGCGAAGACTACGACAAAGCTGTAGACTGTTTCACGGCTGCACTGAACAGCCACGAGCACGGCTCAATGAAGCGAGAAGGAGAAGAACACCTTTTGTGGAACCGATTGGGCGCTACGCTTGCAAACAGCAACCGATCGGAAGAGGCTATTGAAGCGTACTCACGTGCTCTAGAACTGCGCCCTAATTTCGTGCGAGCACGTTACAATCTTGGAGTCTCATGCATCAATCTGGGAGTGCTAGAAGAAGCTGCTGGCCACTTGCTGGGCGCTCTGTCCATGCATAAAGTGCTGGAACAAGAAGGTCGAGCGAAAGCTGCAGAGCTCATGAAAGACGGACATGGCAACGATGTGGATGAACATGCCGTCGATCAGGTTCTGCAACAGAATCAAAGCACGAATCTCTACGACACATTACGGCGAGTCTTTACTCAGATGAATCGTAGAGACCTGGCATCTATGGTTGGTCCGGATATGAATCTTGATCAGCTGAGAGGCGAAGGATTTGATTTCTAGGTGCCGCCGGTGCTCTGCTCGGTGTAAAGAGAATGAGTATATGTAGCATCTTGCCATACTGTGTACAAAAGAAATTACACTTATGTCACAAACCTTCTGCTTGACGACCAAAATTAGATTCCTTTACACTGCCACAATAGACGAAAGAAGCAGAAGCACATCAGGTTCATCGTACGTACCGATGTGAGGCGTATATGCATAAACGTACGTCCACAAATCTTTTCATTCGTACATACTGCAATTAACATGGTACTCCGGGCTGCATCTCAAGCACCCCCGGACAGAATCAAGATCTGCCTTTCTACTTTTTTTTCTTTCACAAGCCGTAACGCCACGCTCGAACGCGAAGAAGGAGGACAAAGGCAGTAAGGTACCTTGGTCTGACTAAACGGAATTCATGCCAGGACATCTTTTGGATCGATTCAAAGGTGTCTCACGCTTCGACTCTCGGCCGCTTCTTCTCTGTTGTGGTTAAAGGCACACCGCCATTCTCGTCGTCGCTCATGGCGACGTCTCCATCGTCGTCGTCGGGGACGTCTCTGCTGCGCTTGAGACCCTTCATTTTCCTCGTTTGCAGCTGGCTGAGATCTTGGCGACCAGTGTGAATGCGTCCGATCTTGTCTCCAATCATGTCGGTCTCGATGTTTTTCTTGGGCTTGGCCTGGTTGTGGAAATTAGCATTTGGAACTGGTAGCTCGTTGACAGTCTGTCTGGGTTGGACACTTACCTCTGTAGTCTTTGCCTTCTTCATAGCTTCTTTCCACATGTCCGGATCGGCATCCTGTCTCCTGCCCACTCTGAAGTCGACCCTGGGACCCATCTCTTCTACTGCAATTCTGGGCAGACTCGAGTTTTGCCCCTTCTTCGAGCTTATCAGGTACGACCGCATGTGGATCTGTGGTTTCACATCTTCTTGTTCTTCCTCATCCACACTAAAGTGAATCATGTATTTCAAGCCTTCCACATCCACCTTGTCCGTGTTCGGGCCCTTGAAAAGATCGAGCAAGAGCGACTTCGCAAGCGTATAGTCATTCTGAATCGGCGATTCGAAGGCGCTGCCGGAGAAGGAGAGGAGTGGCTTCAGTCCCACTGCGGCTTTGGCGTTCTTAAATTGCGACAAACTGCGAAAGGTGTCCGGATCGATGAGCAGCTCGAGCATGTCCAGCAGCTTGTAACCGAACATGCGCATCAGGGTTAGGCAATGGGGGCGTTTCTTGCTGTGCGATCCATAGACCATCAAGCTCGTGTCGTTCTTGTCGGCCCAGAACTCGAAACTGGTGGCATCTTCGAAGGGGTGTTTGTCGTTCTTTTTGGTGAATTTGACGGTAAGCGGCTCCTTGAGGCGGTTGAGGTCCTTGAGCACGAGTTGCACGATTTCGGAGCAGGACGTGTAGCGGAGGAACAGTGTCGTCTTGGGGTTTTCCGTAACTTGCGGGCCTTTGTTGTCCAGGTAGCGCTTTGTCTTCGCGCTCTTCGGCTTGATCTCACGGATCGGGAGCGACATGATGGCGGATGTTGCGTTGTGGTGGATACCTCAGGTAGTGTTGTCTCGAGGGCAAGATGGGCGGAGGAGTTTGGACTTTTTCGTTACTTGTGTGCTTAATTCGGTCTAGGTCGATCTGGTCGCAATCAGATTAGATTGGTTTAGTCGCGGAATTAGAGTTGAAAGTCACGTCAGAATGGAAAGCACAAATAATTCCACATCTCCGGCCATACCTACCTGATCTCTAATCAGGTTCAGGTACATGTAGTTGTCAACATCACCATCGACATTCTCCTTCTGCGCCCAGAACCTCAAAGCGTAGCGCAACAAACCATTACCGTCATCCTCATCAGCAGTACGACAACGACAGCGACAGCGACAACAACAACATCGCCACGATATCCATCTCGACCCCACTTGCATCTCGCAACCATGGCAGCGGGCTCGCAGCTGCACAACGTAGACTCGGAGCAAGCCTTTGACCAGGCCGTTACTGAGCTTCCAGCGACCACGTTAGCTGTCATCTACTTCCATGCATCATGGGCCGAGCCTTGCAAACAGATGTCGACCATCCTGACGACTCTCGCATCGACCTACGAGCCAGCCACTCCGCCCCGCATAACGTTCATCAGCCTGGACGCAGAAGAGCTGTCAGATGTCAGCGAGCGCTACGATGTGACGCAAGTGCCTTTCGTCGTGCTGCAGAAAGAGGGCAAAGTGCTCGAGCAGATCACTGGCACAGATGCGCACAAGGTCCGTACTGCGGTCGAGAAGCATGTGGCAGGCGATGGCAAACCCGGCGCGAGCTTGCCTCCCAAGCAGACGGTCACACGACAGGAGCAGGACAATGACACAGCCATGGGTGGCACGAGCGCATCGGATGGTGGATCGCTCTCACAGTATAAGCCTGGCTCTGGCGACCAGAAGACTGCGCCGGAAAGCACAGAGGGTTATGTCACTGGAGAGCAGAGCACAGAGGACCTGAATAAGAGGCTGGGCGAGCTAGTCAAGGCCGCTCCAGTCATGTTGTTCATGAAGGGCACTCCTTCTGCGCCTCAATGCGGATTTTCAAGGCAGACCGTTAGTATCCTTAGGGAGAAGGGCATTCGGTATGGGTTCTTCAACATTCTGGCGGACGATGAGGTCCGACAAGGCTTGAAGGAGTTCAGTGACTGGCCAACCTTTCCACAGGTGTACTGCGATGGCGAGCTGGTTGGTGGCTTGGACATCGTAAGTTTCGGTCACAACGTAGAATCACCAGAATTTGACTGACAACATGCACAGCTGAAGGAAGAATTTGACAACAATCCCGACTTCATGCAGGAATATGTGGTCAAGAAGGGCGGACCAGGTGTGACTACATGAACCTGGTACGAAGCTTAACCTTATGTTTCGATGACCTTATAGGAGGTAGGAGGTGGTGCTTGATGGCGCGCGGCTTTCTGCCGAGAGCAGTGCGTGAAGCCGCTCACGGTTCAATACTACTTTGGTCAATACTTCGGTCAAGTAATAATAAAATGCCTGCAGCACCTTCTGGCTGATCATCAACTTTTCTCGGTGAATAGGTGTCTTTTTCAAGCGCTCTGAGCCGAAGGACTTTGGCACTACCTTATTACAAAACATTTGCCGTTGGGACCGCCCTATGGTGGTGATCAATTGCATTATATATACGAGTCCTAGTAGGCGGCGCTGTCCTTCCAGAGTCATGAGTGCTGGACTCCATCAGTTATTGCCACCTTGAATCCCAAGTCGATGCCATGCACAGGTAGGAGGTAGATATAGGTAGCACGAGAAACCCGTTTACGAAATGTCTTGGAACTACTGAAGTTTACTGTCACTGCCACTTCGTATTACCGTACACCCCACGGCCCGCCGCCCGACAGTCTTCAAACTAACTCAGAGGGGCAAAGACGATGGTTTCATAATCCTCCCTGTAGCGCGCGTTGTTGTCCGGTGGAGGTACGTTTATATGCTTTCTTTTGCGCTCATCATCCGGAATCATTACAAAGTTACCTGGTACTTGTCGGCCCACCCATCCTTGCCCCCATCCATGTGAGAATCAGTCAGAGCTGTCTTGCGATATTCTTCAGCCTCCGAAGCACATTATGGCAACCCAGCAACATGCTCGACCGAACGATGGCACAACAGAAAGTTCGTCGAGTGACGAGGCGGGAGGCGTCAACCAAAATGCTGCATCTGGTACAGCAAAACCAGCACCGTCAGCGGCAGCAGCAGCAACGTCGAAGAAGCCAAATATATTTCAGCGACTTTGGCAGAAGCTTGACTTGGATCTGATTACTGTTATGACCATGTTCAAGGCATCGTTGCCACCGACTATTGCCATTGCATTCTATCAGAGCCATGCGGTTGCGGGAGTGTATGAGACGCTGGGGTACTTGGTAGCCATTACTTCTGTGCTGGGAATGTGTATCATGCCCCGGGGCATGTTTGTGCAAACCATGTGAGTGACCTGTTGCGACAATGCAGTCGAGACTGGAAGCACCCATTTTGAGCGGGACAATTCTTGCTCGGGACATGCGGGAACTGTGCTGACGAGTGGCAGGTTACTCAATGTTCTTGCAGTATGCGTAGGAGCAGCATTCTGCCTCCTTTCATTGTACTGCGGCATCAAAGCACGTCAGAATACTACTCCCGCAGGTTCTCCGCCGACAGGATACAATTCGAGTGCTTCAGCAGTGCTCGCAGTATGGCTGTTCTTCCAGACATATATGGCAAACGTGCTGCGCAGTGCCTTGCCTCAATTTCAATTTCCCGTGATCATTTACTCCATTTTCCTCGTCGTGTCGCTGACCTACGGTACGTACTGTATAGTGCTTGTTCATTCTCCTGGGAGCACACCACTGACATTCATTCACCTCAGGAACACAATTCCCCACTATGAGTTATGCAACTAGCTTTATGACACGCCTTATCGAAGCATTTTTGACCGGATTCGGGATCGCAACAGGAGTTTCTTTCCTCATTTTCCCCCTCTCGTCTAGAAAGGTCATATTCAAAGAGCTGTCCGGCTATCTCAATGGTCTCGGCGGCTTATTGAAGCTGCAAACTGCATATCTTGCGAGCCTGGAAGACTGGGAACCGGACACGGATGCGCTGACCCAAGACCCAGAAAAGACGAACGGCCACAAGAAGTCGAATGGCCAGGCCGGACCACAGCAACTCTTCGTCACTGCACCAGGCAAGAAGTTGAAAGAGACACTGCAGAAGATATACGAATTGCATACGAAGATACCCACGGACCTCAACTTTGCGAAAAGGGAGATTGCATTCGGGAAACTATCTCCCAAGGACCTCGGAGAGATATGGAAGCGTATGCGCTTCATCTTACCCCCCATCTTTGGCCTCAGTGCGGTGCTCGATATCTTGCAGCGCCGAGCTGAAGAGTCCGGCTGGGAGAATGGAGGACCCGGCGACCTCCACCAGCAGAAGCAACGGAAGCACATTGACGATTTGCATCAGCTTATGAAGAGCCTGCACGAGCCTGTTGCCTTTATGAGTGCCAGTTTGAACTCCGCCTTCCAACATGTGCTCCTCACCCTGGAGCTCGTGGAACCACCAAAGAAAAAGAAGCACAATGACGAGGAGAGCGCTGGCCTCGAACCAGTTCCAGGCACGCCAGCATTCGCCGAAGGATTTCGCAAGCAGCTCGATCGGTTTGATGGATACAAGAAACAAACCCTCGAGGAGTGGTGTCACCAGCACGGCATTAATATCCCGCCGGGCTTTTTTGACTCCACGTTCATTCGACCCGAGCACCTGGACACTCGCATCGAGCAGGCTCGAGAAGAGAACCAGAGACAACTCTTCTTTGGTCTCTACATCCATCATCTATTGTGGAAAACGGGCCAGGCAGCTCTGGATCTCGTCCTCTATGCTGATCAACGTAAACAGGACGGCGCGCTGAACAAGAACCGATTGATCGTCCCAGGCGTGAACACGTTCAAGAAATGGCTTCGAGCGGCTTTTGGACGACAAGATTACCATGACGAGGATCTGCTGACAGCAGATCTGAGTTCGAGCCAGGCGCTCGATCTGGGAGAGTCCTTTGGCAAATCGAAAGATCCTGAGCATCTTCCGCCGAGGAACAGATGGGAACGAATTGGTGAAGGGATCAGATGGATTCCACAGGCGCTGAGAAGTGACCATTCCGCGTTTGGATTTCGTGTCGCTTGTGCCACGTTGAGTTTAGGCATCGTTTGCTATCTGGAAGCCTCGCAGAGATTCTTTCTGCGCCATCGTCTACTCTGGGCATTGATCATGATTCCCATCTCCATGACGAGGACAGCAGGACAGTCTACCTGGTCCTTTGCCCTCCGAATACTGGGAACCTTTGTCGCCATGGTCGCCACGTACATCATCTGGTACATTGTCGACGGTAAGACCGCAGGCGTTATCTTTTTCCTCTGGCTGTGGATTTTCCTCGCGTTCTACATTCTCCTGAAACAGAAGACGCTCCTCGTGGCTGGCATCATCTCAGTAAGCTCACCATCTCCGCCCACACCACCATTTCACATCAAACTAAACTTTCATGATTAGATCGTCACGGCCATCCTCGTCATCGGCTACGAACTACAGACAAGAGTAGTCGGCATTGCAGTCAGCGAGTCCAATGGGCAGCCCGCCTACCAGACCTACCTCTTGGCCCCGTATCGACTGGCCACAGTCTGCGCAGGTCTGGCGACAGCCTACTTTTGGACGATATTCCCGTACCCCGTATCAGAGTCCACGGAGCTCCGAAAAGATGTAGGAGCGGCACTTTACATGGTAAGTAGAGTACGGCCGAAGAAGTGCTGGAGTCAGTCAGCGGTCTTCTTTTTCAGCGCTTGCTAACTTAACGCTTTTTAATCTGCTATCCACCTATATAGTTGGCCAACCTGTCTTCCATCGTGCACGAACTGGTCCGCGCCCGAGTGCAAAAAACCGACGGCGACGAAAACATCAAAAACACGCGCGGCTTCCATCTGGAAAAAGCCCGCAACATCGTCTTCACCAAAACTTTGACCCTCCTCACCAACCTCCACCAGAATTCCGCTTTCAACAAATTCCAAATCCGAGTCGGAGGTCGCTTCCCCCACCAAGAATATACCAACCTCATCGAATCCATCCAACGCGTCCTCCAATACACCAGCCTAATCGCCTACGCCTCTCGCACCTTTTCCTCCTCCTCCTCCGAAAACGACTCCGCCTGGTCGACCGATTTCCGCAAACTGCTCACCGAAGTCAACGCCACATCCCACCACATGACCAGTCTCCTCTCCCTCCTCAGTTCGAGTCTGACAGGCGGGCGGGCTTTACCTCCTTACTTGGATTTGCCGCAGCATTATCACGGCATGGTATTTGTGCAGCGCTTGCAGGCGATTGATGGAGATATTTTGAGTGTGAGACATATTGCGGAACCGGAATATGCGGCTTTTGCGGTGATTCAGATTTGTGCGCAGTGTATTCGGGATGATGTTATGAAGATTACGAGGTGAGTTTTTCTTTTTTTTTCTTTCTTTCTTTCGTCTTTTTCCATTCTCAACTTCTTTTGAACGGGGACGCGTTCCGTTCTTGTTGTTGTTGTTGTTGGAACATATCTTCTTCTTCTTCTTCTTCTTCTTCTTCATCAAGAGCTAACGAGATTTTCTTTTCTTCTTTGTTCATCTAGACATGTCAGGAATTTAGTCGGAGTGATTGATTTTAGTTTTCATGTGCAAGATCGCGAGCGAGACGAGGCGCAGGATGATTCTTCCATGGATGACAATACAGCGGAAAAGAAATAGATACCTAGCAATGAAGGAAAAATGAAAAAGGAAGGACGAAGGAAAAGTATTATTAATTAGAGGGGAGAAAAAAACAGTTCAAGTGTCTCTTGAGAAAAAATAATGTACAGAGAGAGAGAGAGAGAGAGAGAGGAATATGTCAAGTCCATCGTAATGCGTATTCAAAAAGAAAAAGGAGTCATGTCGTCCTTTCTTCATGCAGTCAATCAACTTTTTTTGCCAAAATATGTCAAAAGAGTGTTCTTCTGTGTGGCATCGATTTCTCTTTTCTTCGTCTTGCTGGGACTACCTCTACTGCTACTCGCCTCTTCTTCTTCTTCTGCCTCCTCTTCCTTCTTCTTCTTCTTCTTCACACCAACTTCCATTCGCCTCATGAGTTCTTCGAAATCTTCCGGCGCCACAATGCCGCCACTGGCCTGGACATGACCACGTGCGAAATGTTCGCCCATTCTCTGTAATAGTGTCGGTTCTGCTTCTTCTGCTTCTGCTTCTCGCCCAGGCCCTTCTTTCGGAGCATCACCATTTTCGGCGGCAACCTTGAGGTCAGGTAAGCTTGCATAAGCTTTGAGACTTTCGATAATATTGACAGGAGTCTTTCTGTTTCTTGCGCATCGGGGTATGCGGCAGCTGAAATTGACCTTGTTGTCGAGATAGCCTTCGTTGGCGACCATGACAATTTCAAGCTTATTGGATTGCAGATGACCTGCCCATCGAGCGGCAATCATCGGGTGGATCTGGGCGGCGCTTTGGATTCGGAAGACTGCGACTTTGCCATCGCCCGAAAACTGGGGTGCAGCGTGTTTACAACGCTCGACTTCCTTGAAGACTTCTGCGCGAGCAGCTCGTAAGCGTGCGTTCGTCGTGATATGACTGAGCTCAGTCGCGCTGGAGAGTGCCTCCCAAGCGGAGTGTACGTCGTCTACTCTCAAAAGTCAGTATTCGGCGTCCATGATGATGTACAGTGGGCAAGCTCACATGTTGCTGTTCGTCGTGGCGCGTTGACTAGACTCACGACGTCGCTCAAAGTCTTCTTGGTGTACTTTTTGAGCGTCGTCGACATATCTGGGAACGGAGGTTGCCATTTCAACGAGTTGCCTAGATCACCAATTGTTCCAACTACACACAGCCAGTCACATGTCGACGCGACGTCGGGATGTAATGGCTCGCAAATATGATAGGTGAGCAGCGCAGACGTGGCCACAGGAGGAGAGTCACAGGCTGTCACGTATGAGGCAGCATGGGGGAAGTCGGTCGCCGTGGCGTAGTGGTGGTCGATGACAAGACCAACATGTTCCCCGTCGATCAGAGGCGGCCCAGCACCCGAGCCTGTATCTAAAACAAAGATGTAGTCGGGCTTGCTGGCAGCCATACCATGTCGCTCCAGCTCGCTATGCACGTTGCTACCCTTGCCGAGGAGATGAACATGGATACGCTCGGCCGAGACTCCCAGCAGCATCAGAGTGTGACGCAGGATTGCTCCGGCAGATAGTCTGTACTCGTCGACATATAGTCATCAGCGCTGGTCTGGAAAAGGTCGCATGCGTGCAAGACTTGCCCATCGGCATCTTTGTCAGGCACAATCAGAATGCGGCCGCTGGACTGCGCACTTTGCAGGATGATGTCGCGTGCGTGATCAATTTGCGATTGCGGTGCAGGCCATTGGATGCTGCCATCCTCGTTCTTGACCGAAGGGCTCTCGTGGTACTGTGGAAGCACAACAGCAGGCTTCCGTCGTTTCTTGGCCGGCGCATTGCTCTCACCAGATGGCAGCGTTCGTTTCCGCGCAAGGCTCATGAGGCGAATGGCCCTCGATGGGCGGAGGGAGAGTCGGAGTGGCGCAGAGATGGTGGTTGGTATGGACAGGATGTATGCAGGTGACAAGTAGTGTTTCCAGATGCGGCATATGCGACCTGTCACTCGCGAAAGCATTGGATTCTGCACCCTGTCTTGTCTTGCCTGGTCTACCTCCTATCTGTATCATCATGTATTTTCTGTAGCAGCGGAAACAAAACGGTATAGGATTTGCATGCAGGGCTGGATTCGGAGGCTGGCCTTTCGTCATTGATTGCTAGGTGCCGCCCGAGAACTACAGTATAGGTATATACATGTACTGTAGATAGAACTACTGTATGTGATGATGTGATATTGGACATGTGTGCTCAATCACCCAAGGCACTCAACGATACCACTCCCCCAATATTGTTGTTGTTGTTGTTGTTGTTTGTTTGTTGTTGTTGTTTTTACTGTTGTTGTGATACCTGATTACTACCGGGAACACGCGGACTGGCAGCCTCCGGTCATGTTGAAGTGGCAGGGGCGTGCTGGGAGATGCTGTGAATTACCTACCTGACCTACTACAGCCTACAGCCTACAGGTATGTTGATGTCTGCGGGGGTCCATCTCCTCTCTCTTTTGCTGTGCCGCCTGTTCTGCCCCAATGGAACTCATCCCCTGTGATCTGGACAACCACAATTAATTCGACATACAACACCCTCACCCACTCACTCACTCACTCACTCACCCACCCACCCACTCACTCACTCACTCACTCACTCACTCACTCACCAGCGACAGCGACATCGACACACGCACACTCATACAGAGATCCGCGTCCACCGTTGTGCTCTCTCCCTCTCATCATCCTCACCCTCACCCTCACCCTCATACTCATACTTCCCTCCAACTGCAATTATACCGCCCGACCGGCAATCGTGGTCGCGCGGCGTGCGTGCGTGCGTGGAAGCTGAGCTCTTCTATAGAACTGGATTCTTGCTGCTTCGTGGCGCTGGCGATCCCTCAGTCCAGATCCACTGGATTCGCCGAGAGCGCCTTACGCCCAATCCAACAACACCCAACCGTTGTTGTTGGAACGACGCAACTCACCAAATACCTCCTACTACCGTTGACATACCTGCACGCCTCCCTTCAATTCCGTCGACGTGGTGGGTGGGACCAGACATCACGTCATTGGACTTCTTGCGGCTCTAACAGAGAGGGATTGGACTTGGGATATGCTCTCCAGGTAAGTATTGACTACCTAGTAGAACTAGGCTCACGCCTCACGGTGTTCCCTGCCAGCGGCCCACGCATCCATGCCCACCCAAGGTCCTCCAGCGACGTCTATTCGATGCTGCGGCAGTCTGCCGCCTTCGCAACCCGCTCCGACGTTTTCTCGTTGCAGGAACCACATCCTCTTCTTCATGCACTCCACGGATCGGCCACGGCAATCGCGCCGTTGTTGTCAAACTGTGGAGCCTGCCTCACTATTGGATCCGTCGTGCGCTCGGTCGTGCGACCAGCATGTGCAGTGCTGACCTGAATCGCAGACAAGCCTGGGGGATACCTCGAACACTACACATCGTTGGCGCTGCCATCCATACCGCCTTTTGAACACTGCCAACGACACAGACGGGACCACGCTGCTGCAGAGAGCAGCATCACTCACTGAAGCTCTCCTGCCATTCTTGTTGGCCTCAGGATTGCCGCTTGCCGGTGTGTTCTTAAAGCAACACCGATATTGTGGTCATTGTACAATATTCGCACTGTCTGGAATTCGCTCCTACCTGGAAATTCATTCGACGCTGCATCTCACCATAGGTTCTGCTTGGCGACCTGGACGATCCTTCGACATAGACTTAGATATCGATCCACGTACAGGTTCGACTCCGCATTATCAGAGACTGGGCCTCTAATCGCTGTTGGTCGCGCGGGGCGCGCATCCTCACTCCATCTTGGCGCCAGCGCCGGCTGTGGCACTTGCGATTCTGCCATGTCAGACAGGCCCCATGCCGTACTTAGTGGAAGGCCTGTCGTCAAAGCGGGTCCAGATTCACCTGGGGAGAAGTCACGCTTCGATGTCAAGCTGAACGACCATGGCAACGATATTCTCAAAGCCACCGCTGCTGCTGCCATGGAGGCGAGCATTCAAACAGCCCGGCTACAACAAGAAAGCAATCACCTTGTAGAACGAACCAGAATCGACTCTGCGCAAAGTAGTAGTAATAGTGTGCCACAATTACCGTCCGAGAAGCCATCCGGGCACAGCGTAATCAAGGCTTCTCCCGAAATCAGGACCTCACCATCTCGAGATGAAGCTCGACGTGGTGCCTCTACAGACTCTATTGCAGACTCGCCAACCTTGCGAAAACATGCGATTCCCATCGAGGAAGGTGTCAACACATTGCCTGTGGTACAGCCGACATCACCAAATAGGGAAGCTGCAGCTGCACCTGCATCGTCACCAACTGGACAGAGTTTGCCCTCGTTCAGGCAGTTGACTGGCCAATTGGGACAACTCACCGATCTTGCAGAGGCTGCTACACAGCAGGATGCTCGAGTCCCGCCAACTCTGCACCATCACAGCCAGTCCATCAGTTCGGCATCGCATTCGCCTCTGATGGCCTTCTTTCCGCCCTACCCGAACAATGCACATACGTCTCCTACCGCGTACTATCAGGCAGACCCGCGCTCACCAGCAAGTGCAACTGGCGAGGCCCATCAGTATGGATCACCGAAGCAGTACCCTGTGACGGCCTACTACACAGATAGACGGCGGTCGTCCGCCATTGCTGAAACGACGCCCATCTTCCCACCTCCCATGCCCTCACTGCCCACGCATTCGTCGTCGGGAGAAAGTCATGGCCATGCAAGCTCTAGCACCGATGGATACAGCACTACGCATACGACGCCCATTGACGGACCGATACCCCCCGAAGGAATTCGAAGACCGATGTTACCTCCCCCACCCGGGATGACAGTCGTTCCCCTGGAGGGCTTCAGATGTGACTATCCCGGCTGCACGGCGCCGCCCTTCCAGACGCAATATCTATTGAGGTAGGTGCATATGATTTCGAGTGAGTGCACGTAGGCTGATGACGTGCAGTTCGCATAGGAATGTGCATTCGCAGAGTCGACCGCATTACTGTCCGGTGAAAGAATGCCCACGCAGCGAAGGTGGTAAAGGATTCAAGCGCAAGAATGAGATGATTCGACATGGGCTCGTGCATAACAGCCCAGGCTATATATGCCCATTCTGCCCTGACCGCGAACACCGATATCCCAGACCGGATAATTTGCAAAGGTGGGACTCGATCACAGTGACGGGATATTTTGTTGACATGCGACGACGACTGACTGGCTCATAGACACGTTCGCGTTCATCACGTGGACAGAGACCGCGATGACCCTCTCCTGCGCGAAGTACTGGCACAACGACAGGAAGGCGCCGGTAAGCAGCGGAGGCGGCGAGGGCAGTCATCAGCGCCTGATCCCTGACGAGTAAGCGCCACCTCATGAGGGACACGATCCATGTATATGTATTTTCGCCGGGACTCGAGGTACTGCATACAGCAGCTTCAGCGACCACGCCAATGACCAGGCGTCATTGGAGTGTTGAGGAAGGAGAGCAAGGCACAAAACGCAGGCGTTGACCAGTGGCTTGGCGGCCGCAATATGTACCAGATGTGACATGAGCAGGGCTGCAGTCGACCAGCATCACACTTTGCTGAAGGAAAAAAGAGTGGTCCCCATCAGCTGGGAAACATGATGCCATGATATTTGATGATGACGATGATACTGAACCACAGTACCTACATTATTACCTGTAGTGAGAGTTGCCATTGTGCAGCACTTTCGTGGCACGCAACAAAACAACACTACCTACTGATGATATACAGGTACCTACCTTACGAGGTACTTGAGGGTATATCGTAATCATAGTCCATTCCCATGCCACGGCTCACATCATGCCCAAAATTAATTATTACCTCAGGTACCTACCTACACGCGACTCGCACACTACCAGGTAGTACCTACATACCCAATAGCCGTGGTTCCCTTATTACACATGTCAAGTTTCAGCTTCCTTCCGCAGATGCGACGTTTCTTGATGTCATGGCGGGTTTTGACATGTGTAGTATCTACTGTACTGTACCGTACCTTACCGGTGCCGTACCCGTATCGTTTCCTCTCCGGATGGACGGTGCTATTGGAACATGCCGATCTTATTATTATGATTATTATTATTTATACACATGTACTTTTCACCGCATGATGCGATAAGATGAGACACGCGTGCATCGTATCCTTCTGGATGTACGGATGGATACATTAGATGGATGGAAGTCGGTCTAGTCCATTAGCGGCCCGTTTGATATTGTTTTTTCTTTTCTTTTTTTCGTTTTTCTATTTTTTTTCTCCTCGGTTCGTTTCATTATTGTAGGTACCGTAGAATATAGATCGGTTTCAGGTTTTTCTTTTCTTTTTCTTAAAAGTGAGAAAAGGTAAGGTACAGAGTTGGGCACCGGATGGGAGGGTCGGTAATTTTATCCCGAAAAGAAAACGTGGACTCGTGTGCAATATTGTTTTCCATGTGGGAACCGTGTGCGTCGTGTCTGTCGTGTGGTGTGGAATTTCAGATGAAATTACCTCTGTACCTTTTTTTTGAAGGGATGGGATGGATGGATAGATTGGATTGAATGAAGGAAAGGGAAAGGGAAAAGGGAAGGACCTAGGAGGGAAAGCCAAAAACGTTTTCTTCCGGACTTCCTCCCGTGGATGTTGCCGGAATCGGGGGAAGTTTAAACTGGCTAATCTGAGTAATGGGCTTCTCTTCTTGGGTTATACCTTTTTCTTTTTTTTCTTCTCTCTCTGCATTGCAGACTGGATGTACATGCTGGAGATGGCTGTATGCATGCATGAATAGGTATATGTTTCTTTGATGAAATTTCGAGGGTTTACCTACCTTTACCTAAGGTAGGTATGGTCGGGTAGGGTGGTCATGAAGAGGAGATGGTCCAGAAGGAAGGAATCGAAGGATGCATGAATTCCAAGGCACTAAGGCAGGTATTAAGGTAAAATCAATAAAACGCCTCGCTACCGGAAGCGATCGAGGCTCACGTGGGAAAGACAGACACACAAGAAAAAAATTGGTGGGCGCATCGATGCGGTCCGGGTGATTGGAGGGTTTGTGGGCAGGTTTTTCAAGCTTAAGCAGGGTCCTCGTTCTTTACATGCACTAGGAGAGTGGACTCAGTAAAGACTAAAAGAGTGTGTGAGGGGGAGGGTACGCCTGTATACGTATACATGTATGCACGATGGGGCAATGGCCGGCCGAGAACAGTTTTTTTGTTGCGTCTTTTGGACCGATTGGGAGGCGTGTGCCGGCGGGCGGGTGGGCGGTCGGTCGGTTGGTCGGGCGGTGCAGCTGGGCTGGGCCACCTCCTAGCCTCAGTACCTCCTAGGCTGGGTAGGCTCAGTAGGCACTCAAGTAGGCTGGGCAGCTGGGCCGGTGCTGGCGCTGGCGCTGAGAAGCGGAGGCTGCCACGAGAGTCTAGAGACACAAGCGGAGACATCCGGAGAGACGGGAGGCAAACTTGAATGTTTCTTGGTGGCGGCGTGGCGCCGTCTAGACTACCACTCACTACCACTCACTACCGTCACGCGCAAGCTGGATGGAGGGGTCTGGTCTTGTCTTGATCTTGGACCTCTCCTCTCTCTCCACTACTCACCTCACCGGTACATGTAGTAGGTAAGTACAGGCAGGTAGGTAGTCATGCAGCTTGCTATCATCGCCGTGATCGCTCATAAATGGAGAGGCATCAAATCACGGGCATACTTGTTTTACATGTCCCTTACCCTGCCTCCAGAACTGCTGCTACTTGCTACTTGCTACTTGCTACTTGCTACTTGCTACCTCCTACACTTGACAACGCTCGTCTCATCCTCCATCTGTAACCTGGGGCCCATGCACGGCCTTATTATGACGATAATTGCCTCCCGTCTCTAAGAGTCTAAAACATTATCTTTGTTATTACTGCACACTGCACCGGCTCCGAGAGTCATCCACCAGCCTGGTCCCAGTCTCACTCCCGGTCCTGGTCCCGGTCCCTGCGCGGCCTGTACCCTGAAGACTAAAAGAGTGACGATATCATCGCTGTGAAGCAGCTGTTGAAGACTGAAGTGTTGATGAGCTGTCCGACCGCTGAATTTTAATCATCGTCGAAGAAGCAGTTCGTCCATCTTCTTCTACTGCCACACTCTGACTTCTACCGCTCCGCTCCGCCCCGCTCTCCTCCTCCTTCGTCACGAGCTCGACCATCGACCGACCGACCTCAGCCAACAACACTAAAGCACGCAGCCCCAGCGCCCAGCGCCATCGCCTGATTTTCCGAGACATCTGTCGACACCCCTGCGAACCCATCGAGTGTGTCTCGTCCAAATGCAGGTTTAAGCCCGGGGGTCTGGTGACGGGTCACGAGACATTCTGCACTGGAGCTGCACGCCCATTTTCGCTCTCTTTGCTACAGCTACTTAATCCACCTCGCGTGCACGCCTTCGTCCCGCCGTGCGTCGCCCGCCTTGCGAGGCTGAACAACAATCAACAACAACACCAACAACAACAGCAAGTCCAGTCATCATGGCCATGCCACCACAGTTCACGACGCTGGGCGTTGAACTGCGAAGAAGACCGACTTCAGCTGAGAACAATCATCACTACAACAACAGCAAAAACAACAATGCAGCTGCAGCTGCTGTGCCCGCAGCACCGGCCCAGGATCCGCCGGAAGTCCGACCTGCAAGGTCCTCGCGGAGAGTCACCAGCTACCACAACGCATTCCAAACCTCCTGCGCAGTCTCGACTGACGAGCCTCCGCCGTATGCGACAGCGCTACGCACACCCGCACGAGCACTGCGTGCCGTGCATCATGGGAAGGAGGCATTGCCCAAGTACACGTGCACAGTGGGTATGGAGGGGAAGCTGCTACTGAATTTGGAGTCCACCAATCCGCTGCATGGCTCGTGCCAGGGCGAATGGCGAGAGGTGTACGTGGTGGTGCGGGGAACCATGATCAGCTTCCATCGCGTCACGAGCGCTGGTGGTGCGGGCAAACTGCTACGCTCATACACTCTGCAGCACGCTGAAGTAGGATTGGCATCGGATGTGGAGCATACCATACTGGTCCCACAGAGCCGACTTGCCCAGCTCATTCCCTCATCTGCCAGACGGAGAGCTTGGCAGCGGGACCCAGACCTCTATCGACCTGTGGGCCAACACATCTTGCGACTACGCATCGAGACCGATCAAATCATCCTGGCGGATGCTTGCGAAGACCGCATCTGGGATCTGATCAACACTCTCAGCGCCGGAATCGACATTTCGCAGCCCCTTGACGAGCGCAGCATACCGAAGCAGTGCACTGTTCCTCGGCGAAGACGACGACAGCGGCCACACCATGCCAATGTCAATGACCTTTCCGACGCCGCCCTGCTCGCTGAACAGGAGCGCATTTTCCGACACATGTACCCCGACTTTGCTGGGGCAAGCACGAGACCCGGAAACACCCGAACAGAGACGCAAACTACCATTCCTCAGAATCCAGAACGCGAAGAAGACGAAGTAGACATTTCAATGATGCGCGAAGAAGTGGCCTCGACTGCCCACTCACATTCCACGACACAGTCGGACGAAGTCACATCGCGTCCTGCCAACGTGAGGCAGACGACATCGACCACGATCAATTCCGTGCTCTCGGAGGACATGATGTACTCCACCCCGACAACCAACTTCAACGAAGATGGGAAATGGCAACCTCCGCACTTGCGGACGCCTGCTCAGTTACAACGCTACATTCGCAGGTGCATGCCAACACTCAATGCGGATGCTACTCGAGCGAGCGACATCTTGATGGTAGATGGCAGGAGGATGAAACTGAATTGGCGAATGGAGCTCCTGGAACCATGGGAACTACAGCCACCAGCCTACAAAGCTCACAACTTTGGCACTAGCGGGACCAATCTCGTACGTGCGAGTTCACAGCGCTCATCGACAGCGTCCGCTGGGCAAGCTGGGCCACAGTCATCGAGCTCAATGGTCGGCGACTGTGATCCGATTATGCCCTTGGGCAATCCCTTGGAAGCCCTACACCTGACCAAAGTGGTCTCTGTAACCACCACGATGGACAAGGACGGAAATCAACGCCACCTTCCCACGAACGACGACGAATCCAAGACTCGGCGTCCACAGCAAACCTCGCACACAGATGCGCATGGCGTGGTATTCTGCTTTTGAGGGAGAGAGTGCGAGAGAGATATTCAACAACATGCCATGAGATATGATGAAACGACGAAAAAGATGCATTTTATGGATGGTGATCCAGACATCACCTGCGTAACCAACAGCCTCGAGGAAGGAGGAAGAGGCATATCTCTTATGTATCAAAGTCTATATTATGATGTCCCACAGCACCACCGAACGAACGGTCCATGCGGAATAACGATCTAGTGTAGCAGCGAAGAACGGGCAGCGATATTTTTTTTTATTTTTGCTTTAAGATACCACTTTAGTTTTTCTTTTTTTGGGAAAGGCACGTTGGCCCCCATGCATGTAGTGGACATGCAAAATTGCACAGATTTTACCACTACCTATCTACCAATATCACCTTTCTTTTTTTTTTTTTTTTAGAATTTTTGCTCCCGCCGCATATAATTGCCCCTCTGAAATATGACATTCTTTGTGCTCCACTCTTACTTCTACTCTCCTCACTAGGTACATGTACTTTGGGTTATCTCTCGTCTTTTTTTCGAACATTACCAAAAAGAAAATGCTAAAGCGGGGAAAAAAATGGGTGAAAATGGTTGGAGGTAGGAGGTATACATTCTTATCATGGCCTCTCGCGCGACTGTGGATTTCTACTTTGGATTTCTACCTTACTTTGGTATCGGTTTTTCTGTTTCTGTCTTTTCCTGTCTGTCTCTGTCTCTCCGTCTCTGTCTGTTTCTTTCTATTCCTTTCTGTCTCTGTCTGTTTCCGTCCAACCAGTCACCAAGGTCGTAGGTAGGTAAGGTACCTGTAGGTAGGTAATGGAAAAGGTACCTCAACCAAACCAATTCCTAGGTAGGTAATCTGTTGTTCCCTTTTCCCTTTTCCTTTTCCTTTTCCTTTCCCATCCTAGGTATCCACGCTATGCTATGCTATGCTATGCAAGAAAAATCACGCGGCTATGCGGAAAGAAAGAAAAGCTACGCTATGCAAACTATGGAATCCCATGTAATTCATCATTAATGAAAAGTCGTGTGAATGAGAATTCTCACATCCAGGCCGACTACCTGTCTTACCTTACCCTGTCTATCTTTCAAAGAACTCAATCTCACTGCGCACCAGAATCCTTCTTCTTCTGCTGCAAATCTCGACGAACGCGAGCATGACGGGATTGAAGAGAGCGTTTACGGTAAGCAGAGACTTCGTCGCAAGTGGTTCCCGGGGCGACAGCTCGCCAGACAGTTTTGCCATTGACTGATACGCCGTATTGACCCGAGTGGGCTGCGGCGTCGCATGTGATTCCGTTGCCGCTGGATGATGATGGGCTGCCAGTGCCGATGGGTGCGTTGGCAGAGACGGTGCCCGTTGCTGCTGCTGCTGGGCCGCTGACGCCGGCTCCGCTGGGAATAGAGAGTGTTGGGTAGCTGGTGGGTGTCAAGGGGGCTGCAATGATGGAGGTGGTGAAGGAGCTAGAGGCAGGAGCTGGAGCAGCAGAGGCTGTGGCGGGAGCGGAGTACTGGCCGTTATTGTAGCTGCTTACACCCGCCGAGGTGGCCTGGGCCGCTGCACTCGAAGTTGGTGTTGCTGCGCTGTTACCTGTTGGAGCACCGTATCCTGCACCGCCATCACTGGCAATGGAATTGTAGCCTTTGACGCCGTTTGTCATGGCGGCTGCTGACGCTGCGCAAGAGGGACCCGTGGCTGATGCGAGCGAGTTGGTTTGAGCTTTGACGACGAATTGGCCAGGGTTGGGAATGATCTGGTCGGAAGTCTCGACGGTGGAGCACTCCGAGGTGGGCAGGTTGATGAGGTACTGATTGGGAAGGCTGTCGTACACATCGTTGTTGTCGGCGCCACCGGTGACGGTGATGGGTGCGCAATTCATGTAAATCTCCCGATTGCCAACCTTGTTGTACCAAGTCCAAGCGAGCGCGAAATCTCCGTTGGGGAAGCCCTTGGGGACGGTGAAGGTGAATTTGTCTGAGCCATCGTTGCCTTCACCGGCTGTGGGACAACCGCCCTCGAAAACTTGAATGAGCTTGAAGACAGACGACTTGGTCGGTTCTTTGTCGAGCGACACGGATATTTGACAGGTGCCTCCGCCGTGCGAGGCACTGCCGCCGAAAGTGAGCTCCTGGGGAACGCCGACTGGTATCTTGTTCTGCACACTGACGTCGTACACGCCGGCACGCTGCTTGCATGGGTAGTTCGACTGAGGGTCACTGATTGCCAGATTGAGCAGGGGGGAGGTATCCAGGGTGTCGATGCCATATGGTACAGGAGTCTTGAGGGTCATGTGTGCAAAGGTCTGGTCGAGCAGAGCGAGTGCCACCAGGGCAAGGAAGCCTGTGCCAGAGAACATCTTGTTCGATTCTGTGGATGTGTTTGTTGGTGTGCTGTGAAAGGCGAAAGATTGTGTTTCTAGACCTGCTAGAAGTGTTCGTGTGTGATTGCTGTGAAGCGGTTGGTAGCCTTGAAGTGCTAGTGTGTGCGGTTACTAGGGAGTGTTGCAAGATGTGCTGTTGTGAACGAGGGCTGTCTATGACCAGCGCTGTGAATGTTGCATTCGCTGCAGAGTATGCAAAGAAGAAGTACTCACATCCGAAAGGACCAGGGAGCGACACTTATAGCATGATGGTCGAGGCGTCGAGTGCGTTCCATTCACGCCTATTGACGCAACACAATGGACTCATGAGACAATGACTTCCCTTTTCACGGCCCTTTGAAGGACCATCGAAACAAGGAATTCGAGGAAATTTGCACGCGCAATCGCGGCATTCACACGCTGCGGGTGCTTCCCGTGAAAGAGAGTCAACAGACTTCTGTGGTGTTGTAGGCGGCCATTGGTGAAGAATGGGCAGTGGTCGATACAACTCGATGTTTCACGAAATCAAGCACTCACAAGCTTTTGGCAATCGTATGGAGATGCGGCAGGGAGTGAGACCAGGATTGAGACTCTTGATCAGACCGAAGCACACGCATGTCTGAAGAGAAGAAGAAGCATCTCGGCTCATCCAGCCGAGATGCATTCTCGTCGTGAGGTCGCAGAGTGCGCGTCCACATGTGAAACACGGCCTACGCGCCCAGTCTCGCAGTGCAGGACTTCGCGACGTGATGTTCATCGTGAGTGGTTGTTATGGACGGTATCGTGAGGGCGATGGTGGCGTATTCACGGGTGAAGATGGCCAGCATGATGGCGGAATATCAACCCAGAGCGGAGGCCGGCATGTATTATAGGCTTGTCTGGTCGGTAGGGGAGAAGTGGTCTAGAGAGTTCAGGTATGGACTTGTGGTGGTTTCCTCTTAGTCAGCATCAAGCAAGGTTGTCCGCTCGGGTGGCTCCGCCGCTCCGACTAGGTTCTTCCGAGCGAGGCCAGGACGCCAGGTACTAACTAGTCTGTACTCTGTAGGTTGTACTACTGACAGGTCAAGGCGACGCGAACTATACAGCACAAACAGCCCTCCACCTGCACACATCGCACCCCTCACCGCCACCACCACCACACCGCAGCCCCTCCGAGTCCAGCATTCTGGCAGTCGCCCACTCCTCGCGACTCTGAAGATGCCTGTACAGCCGTAGTCGGCCAACGCGTTCTCGCTCTATCTCCTTCGCGCCAGGAAGCCTGAAAAGCGACACGTTCGCGCCGACTCTTCAACATGGCCACGGCGGTCAACTCCACGCGCATCAATGTCCCGCAAGCCTTTGTTTCCAGCTATGCGCCGCGGATACGCACCTATGGCAACTCCCTGCTCATGCCTGTGGCTCCCCAAACCATTATACCAGCAGCCCGCACCACGAAGCGAGGGACGACCGTGATCAACTATGCAGACGACTTTGAAGACGATAGCATTGATGAGTCGGATGGGCATTCGCGGCGGGCCACAGGACTGCGCACGGCGCAGCAGCGGAATGTGCCTGATCCCATGGTCGAGAGGGTGAAAGAGCTGGGCAAGGAAATCTACGCGCCCGTGGACGTGCAAGGCATTTGGCGGGACTGGATGGGGAAGCCCAAACGGACGTTGACTGAGAGGCAGATGCACGTTCAGTCTGCCCTGCCAACCACCCTGATACCGATCAAGATCGATCTCGATGTTGCGCCCTTCCGCCCAGAGGCTGCCCTTCCTACACCTCAGAACGCGAAAGACTTTGGCATTGACGAGAGCTTGCCCGCTTATAAAGCGCCCGAGCCGACGCCGCAATACAGACTGAAAGATACCTTCTTGTGGAACCTGCATGAGGCTCTGATTACCCCGGACATGTTCGCCAAAACTCTGGTGGACGAGCTAGATTTTCCCGTGATGCGCAAGATGAACATGATCAACGAGATTGCTACGCAAATCCGCATGCAATTGGAAGAACACGCGTCGACCGCGCTTCATCCCCTTTTCCAGCTTGATGCGGGCCATACAGTTGCAACTGCTACGAACGCCCCCACGCCGTCCATACGGCCCGGACTATCCCGTGAAGAGTCATCGACACCACTTACAGCAGCAACTCCCAATGCTCGATTTCGAGATGCTCCCTACGCGAATGGTGTCGAGCCTTCATCAGACGCACCTACGCCAATTGCCAACGGTAATGGTGCTTCAACACCCGCACTTAATGTTACCGCAACGCCCATGGCCCGGGACTCATCGACTTCCTCGGCCATCAATCCTGCAGATTCACATCGCTGTGTCATCACCTTGTCCATCAACATTCAGAATCGACTGTACACCGATAAGTTCGAGTGGTCACTACTGCATCCTCCCGGCTTTCCAGAGATCTTTGCACGGCAAACATGTGCGGATATAGGCCTGCCAAGCGAATGGGTCCCAATGATGGCTCACGCGATATACGAGGCGAGCTTGCGTTTAAAGAAGGACATGGTCGACAACAATGGCACTCTTGCTGGCGTCATCGGGAGCGGAGTAGATGGGTGGGGTATCATAGAGAACGAAGCATGCGAGTATCACGGTACTGCGGAATCCGCGCTCGGTGTCGGCGCGGGGTGGAGATTCGACGAAGATGGTCTAGGCGCGGATTGGGAACCCAAAATCGAAGTGTTGAGCAAAGATGAAATCGAGAAGCGTGAGGGAGACAGAGAACGGCAGATCAGGCGTCAAAGAAGAGAAACGGCTCGCTTTACTACGAACCTCACTTTCCAAACACAAAGCAATGGCCCCAGCGATTACTTTTCTGGTGGTCTTGGAGCTTCGCAAGCCACGGTCGGCGGCGAGGATGAGCGCATGGGACGAGGAGCACGATCCAAGCAGAAGAGACGGTTTAGGAGTCTGTCTCCCGTCGGTCGTGACACTCCAGAAGTTGCTGGCTTTGGCGGGACATCTTACCAGCTTTCCGAGGGCGAGCGTCAATACTGGCATTGCTCACACTGTTGTATATGGGGTTCTGCCATCTGGGGTGTCCGCGATGGACCTGCTGGCCCTCGAGTAAGTTGTCACCCACATGCGATACAGAAAACTCGTTCTTACTGACTGATGTTTAGACACTTTGTAATAACTGCGGTCTGCTCTACGAGCGAGATAAGCGTCTGCCGCCATGGAACGTTCGACTGTTTGCACACGAGAAGAATCAAGGTTCACGAGAAGCACACATGCCTCAATACGCACAACATGCAGCGCCCCCACGACCCCCTCCCCATCTACAATCTGACATATCATCGTTCCCGTTGTCGACGGCATTACAAACGCCGGCCCGTAATCGCGATGAGAGTATCCACGCACATTCACACCTCTACACGGGCGCCTCCACCACCGGCGGCCAGGGGCAAATCAGCGCAAGCACCATGGCTGACATCATCAACTACGCCGAACCCGGGGAAGATCTGGATTGGACCAAAGTGTCCGAACCCAGGGAACGAAAACGCCTACAAAATATCATCAACGGACGGAAATATCGCGAACGAAGGCTTGCAGCCGAAGGCCACGGTGGCAGTGGTGGCAATTATGCTGGTGCTAGTGGAGTCGGCAGCTACCTGAGTACAGGCTATGGACAACGGCAGAGTTTGCTCGCAGAAAAGGCCACAAGCGTGACACCCAGTAGTGCTTCGTGAGGTGAGGTGAGGTGAGCCATTGTGCGGGCGCGTGATTTTGCACCCTCCTCCTCCGCCCCCTCCATAAGAGAGAAAAGAAATTGGCGCGAGGTCGTTTGTACAACTACCTACCTACTTGACCTTTATTACCTATATTCGGACCTGGAGACTTTTGTCTGGTTGGTCTGCTGTAAAACCACTAGTTAGTTACCTTACCTTAGGTACTTGGGTACCTGTACTGAGGTACATTACTATCATCGTATCGCGTCATCTTTGCAGGCGACGAAGAAGAAAGAAAGAAAGAGAGAAAGAAAGCTATGCCATTGCAATAGGTACTCTCCTACCTTACGCTCGGCTTTTACCCCCACGTCTCACGTCCCATGTCTCTCTTATCTATGGAGAATCATAATCTTGTGCCATGCCATACCATGCCATTTTCTCTTTTCTCGTAGAGCTCCAATGACGGATATAGCAATGGCCGGTTTACTACAGACTGCAAACTACTTTTACCACTAGGTACTACTAGACCAAAAAGGATATTAAAAAAAAGAAGGCTCGTGAAAGAAAACTACTTCTTTGTGAGTTGGATAGAGTGGAAAAAGTGGTATATCTGCGCAGTAGCAGTAGTAGTACATGTGATACGTGAATGGCACTATACTCTCTATGGTTCCAACAGTCATCATCATGATTCTGGTAATAGCACTGTCAAAACTACTGATGGCGGATACGAGCTATTCTGACTGTCTGCATACATGGCAGCGTGGACGATCCCTCATCATAGGGAATGCAGCCCATGCTGCATGCCAGAGGAGATATGGAGAAGCGCTTCGATGGCGCAAGAGAGTACGGGGAACAGCCCGTACTGTGTGGTTGCTGCTTTTCATGCTACTTCCTTTTCCATTGCTTACGATGGAAACCGAGAAACGTAATGTCGGATCCTCTTTTTCTGGATAGGTACACCGATCTGGAAAAGAGTCGATATTGGATGGTATATCCGTCCAGTCACGTGGTAACTCGTATTTTTCTTTTCGCGGACGGCTCTGGTGAGAGTCGAGGATCAAGCGTCCTAATCATGGCATTCGTGCATTTCGTCCATAGTCACGTCCGGTTGAATCCATGTGCCAGTCCCTGCTGAGTCGAGCGAGACTGCACAAGGTCAAGCATCAATCTCCCCGCTCTCCAGCAGAGCGCAATGGGGTGTTTCTCACTCCATCTTCACGTCTTCGAACTCATCATCTTCGTCCAATTCATCTCCGGTCCCTTCGTCTGTCGTCTCCAGCTTGGCGACGGCCAATTCTTCCTTGACGCCACTCATATCTTCTCCACCTTCCTCCATGAGCATCTTGTACTCTGGCTTCAGCTTGTAGTTTTGTACGAAGTCACCTTGCCTCATCAGTGTGGCAATCTCATCCAACGTCTCTTTTATGTACGCTTCGGGTTGCCGTAATCTTTGCCGCAGGGCCTTCAGACTCCAATATGTATACTCTTTGAAGCACATCTTGAGGGCGTCAAGTAGAGCTGCCTTCTCCATGCGCACTGCCTTCTCTTTGATCGCCTTCTTTTTGTTCCCAGCCCCACCGACCTTGGATGTGAGAGTTCCAAAGACAAATGACTCGTTGTCTTGACCTGGGTGGCGGACACGCTGGCTATTGACAAAGGTAGTCTTATTGCCGGCGTTCAGGGCGTTGCGGTAGCTCTCGGCGAAGTAGTCGAGACTGCTCTGGTCTTCCACGGGGTGCATGTCGAACTCGTTGGCGATCATGGGAGCAAGGGCGGTTTGTTTCGGGATGGACGTTCGGTAGGTTCCTGGTTTCCGCGGCTGCTGGCTGCCTCCACCATAGTTGTTGTGGTAGCGGTCGAACTTGTTGATACCGCCGGGTCGCTGGCTAGGCGGAATGCGATTCGGGCGCGCATTGCTGTTGTGGCCGGGCAGGTCCTTTTCGGAGAAGATGACGGTGTTGTTGTAGCGCTCGGTCTTCAGCTCGACGTTATACGTCTTGGGAAGCGGCGCATGCTGTTCGATGTTGTCGCGCAGTCGGATCTGGATCTTCTGCTTGGTGTCGCTGGGGCCGTGGTGGAACACACGCACGCTGCCAATCTCAATCTGCTGGTCGTCGGGCGCATTCGCGTACACGTCGTTCCACACCTTCCACATGTCCTCCGAAACCTTCAGTAGCCACGACTTGGAGCCATCTGGTGGCATTTGCAGGTCGTTGTCTTCCTCAAACTCGTCAATCTCGCCGAGCGGCTTCGTCTCCTCCGCCTTGATCTCGGTTTTGAGATCAGCCATGCGAGCGGTACGTCTTTTGCGTGTGTGGAGGTGGAATGGAAGGGATAGATAGGGGGAAGTCTATTGTTGTTGTATTGGTTGGGTGAGTAGGAGGAGGTGGTGGAAGGAGGAGGAAGGAGGTTGGGAGAGAGTGACAATAAGGTCGAACAATAGGAAGCCGAAGCTGAAGTCAATTGTCTGCCTGGATGATTGACAATAGACATTCCTGCATACGTGCAAACGACCGTGCAACCCATGCCAATGATACTGTATCTCCATGCATGACACACTGCGATCCGCTCCGAAGGAACCGGTAATACCTAGTTCAAGTACCTAGGTATAAAGGAATGTAGGAGGTAGGTAAATTGCTAGCTTACCAGGTATATAAGTACCTATAAAGGAGGTACATGTAGGTATACAACATAAAATAAACCAAACATATCTTGTACCTATCTACTTTTGCACAAAGACAAACGCAATCATAGGTATATCCAAATAGCAAATAACACTACTAGTGTTGCTGACAATCCTACATGCCTCTGTTCTGATATATAACTGAAAAGATCCCTACAGATGTTGAATGTCTACGCCTTAAATATATATATATACGAAGACAACAACAAATATACTATTAAATACGCCCCCTTATACGCATCTAACACCTCTATTACTGTATAGATCATATACATACGACCGACAATGATCTCAGGACGTGTAAGTACAGTATGTATGTTTGGGCCTCGGGCTTGCTATGCATATCCCTGAAACTAAGGACTATACAAAAATCCCCCGTCCTAGGAGGTAGTTTTGCCAGTCTATGGTACACTAGTACCACAGGTACTAGCAGAACTAACCTGAACGCATGGTCAATGCGTCTGACAGACTAATATTTGATCAATAGACGGACAGATGCAACGGTGCATCTCTCCAAGAGTCCGTATACAATGAACCCCTGCTTCTGTAGACAGTATAGAGAAGACCAGAGAAGACGTGTTGCGTGCTTTGTGATTTTCCAGCGTTTCGACCGTCGAAATTCCAAGCTCGCACGGCTATATTTCACAGCTGTGAACCCTCTTCCTCCACCCAAAAACAATAACCTACCTGACGCACCCACTTCAACCAGCACAACTTGATCCTCACTACGATCGGTCAGCGGTGAGTCCCCATACTGACATGGTGCCGCCACCCACGACGACTGCATCTTCGCCCGGTTCGTGACCACCAGCCCTCCGTCGTCGCGAGAACTGACTCTGACTGCTGACTTGGAGTAGTAGATGACCGCAGCCAAGTCGAGGCTGACAACGAACACAGCGGCACCAACATGCAGGACATCGGCCGTGCAGGCCACAGCGGCGGTCGACGAGCGCCATCGCCCCTATCCTACGTCGGACGAGACTCGCCCCCCCCGCCGTTGACCTTCCACAATCAGGTGATGGTCGATCCCTTCCAATCACCACTACCAAGCGGACTCGACTCGCCCTCCCCGCCCTTGACCTTCCACAATCAAGTGATGGTCGATCCCTTCGAATCACCACTACCAAGCGGAGTCGACTCCTTGCGCTACTCGGCGTCTCTGGGCATAAGTGGCCCGTGGTTTGATTCTGAGGCGGACAGTAACACCCAACTCGAGGCATACAGGATTCGTCACTTTCTGCAGACATCTTTCCATACTGAGCCAACGCCGCTCTCTCCCACCCCTATGAGTGCGGATCTGTACACACACAGCGCATATCTGTTTCCGCCACCGCCCCGTTCCCGAATCGAGTCGTCGTTGGTAGGTAGTGGTTCACTGGCGGAGGCGCAGCTATACGGTCGTCGTCCCCAGCTCGATTCCTCGTCATTTGACAATTCACAGCCCGCAGAAAGGGCTCTGCCCTCTGTGGCTTCACCCGCGAACCGCCAGGTGCAGCAACAAATCACCCGATCCTCACACATCTGGCCATTTACCTCCCCACAGTCCGAAGACAGGGCTCCGATCTCTGCAGCTTCGCCCTCAGACCTCTCGCGGTGGCAAGCCTTCCATCGAACCTCACACACAGGTCAGGCCGCCAATGCAGCTAGTCCAGAAGAAAGTCTTGCCCAGGCCACTCAGCACCAGCTTACACCACAGCAAGACCATCACCGCTCTTATCATGACCCTCTGGACCATCCTGGACCTGCCACTGCAGCACAGTTGATGAGCAAACCCGCCTTCATCGCTGCACTTCAGCCTGTCGACATGGAACCAGGCGACATGTGTCCAATTTGCTACAACGCATACGAAGATGCAGTCAAGCTCTCGTGTGGTCACACGTACTGTGATGGATGTATTAAGACTTGGTGTATGGACAAGGACACGTGCCCCATGGATCGTAGCGTTCTGTTTCAGGAACCTTTATCGCCACCACGCTATGCTTCTATGCGGCGATCTCACGAACTTCGGTCAGCTGCGCGACGAGATGCACGGAGGTCCGCAAGTCCCTCCACTCGAGTCTCCAATGCACAACCAGCACATCGTGCATCCCGACGAGCCACACGCTACGCTTCTGACCACCGTACTGGATCTCCGATCCGTACTGAGGTTACTGCCATCTCAGTGACAATGGATGAGGATCGCGAGGATATGGCATACACGGACCTTGTCCTGGGACCGGATCTCACGAGTGATGAGCTTAGCAGGGCACCACTCGTTGAAGCCGTCCGACCAGACATGTTGAGCCATCAGAGGGAGGCTCGAGAAGAGAGTGTCAATATGTGGCGTCAGGTGCTCGCGCCTGACACCTTTCATCACTGATGCAGCAGGAATGGACGATGAGACTTGAGCCAAGAAGAGGTCATGACTATCACGAAGTATGAATATGAGTATGAGTACAGGTATGGGGACTCTGGCGTTCAACTGAAGACTTTTTGCGTGCAGCGACGGAACTCACGGGGACGAGGAAAGAGACATGAAGTGTTGAGACGCTCGGAGGCTCGGTAATTAACGCGGATGGGAAAAGACGGATGAGTAAGATGTCTGACAAGTCAGCAAAGCGGTCTGCCAAGGACAGACTGACTCACGACAGTAGGCTCAGATGAGGCTGAAGAGCTCAGGGGAGAAGAACGATGCAGTGGGCCGGTCGCGTTTCCAGCATCACTTTCTAGCATCAAGATTCTCGCGAATTGGAGGCGGTGGAAAGGAGACAGAGAGTTTGCCCAGTTCAGCTAACCGGGCAATGTTGACTTCCATGTCACAATAATGTACTCAACGAGGTGCACGTGCCAGACTTCTGTTATGCTACATCATATGCAACATCTAGATACCTACCTTACCTACCTATTGGCCAATGGTCTTTCTAAACCATTCTCGGCCGCATAGGAGTGCTAAACCATCATTGGCACTTGCATGTGCGATCGAGCATTGATGCTTGGCCTTATCGAGACTCCCCATCTGTGTGCCTCTGCCTACCGGGGTGAGGCTGGCAAGCTGGCTGATGAGACACCATGCCAAGCAGACTGTAGCAGCCAGCAGACGAGCTTCTTCACATTGCCAACAGCGCTTTGCACGTGCACACCCATTTCCGCGTCGAGTATTACTCTCCCGAATACTTGTCTCATCTCTCACGTCTCCACCCCATCCAATCCAGCCAGAACCTCCTCTGCCAAACCCCCCTTGACAACCACGGCCTTGATCATCGCACTCATCAAACCCCTACCCACACCACCTCGTGGAGGTCTCCAGACTGTTGCTCCAGCATCGTTCTCCCTCAATACCGCCATCTCCGCCGCACTCAATCCACTCCCCCCAGCGTTCGAGTTGCCAGCGTTGGGCACTCCCGCTGCAGTCAATCGACTTGGTGGATCAATGGTGCGCAAAGCTACCAATTTACAGCCTTCGTCATTTTTGACCTGAGCGGCAGAGATGGCGAGTACGGAGTCTGCGACGGCGAGCTCTTCCTTGGAAGGGTCAAAGAGGATGTTGGAGCCAACGGTCATGACGAGTAGTGTGACAGGAGGTTTAGTCAGAGCCTTTTTGGTTTTCGGGTCGCGAGGGAAGAGTTCTGTTGATGCGTCCCAGTCGTCGTTGAAGAGCGGATCTTCGTCGCCTTGAGATAGGAGAGCAGGTAGACGCGTGGAAAGGAGGGCGAGGTGTGTTGTTAGGGAGAGAAGAGGAAGAGGATATGAAAGTGCTTGGGAGAGGAGGAGGATCTACTTACCTTGTCAGCGCGGTACCTCCATAATGCACCTGCATGTAGCCATGAGGGCTAAGCAGGTAGGTAGGTAGGTGGCAGATAGTATCGTATCGTATCGTATCGATATCAGACGTGCACGTACGTCAATGTATAATCTCCAATGAAATCTGCTGTTGATGTAGAGCCGATCCTTCACATTTCCATCTGCGAGCAGAGCTTCCGTGAGCATGGCCGCAAGGAAGACGGGCAGCGCATCGTCGTCGCGCATGTCGGGAATTTGTATGGAAACCTCTAGCCACGACTCCTCGCCCTTGCCTCGCTTCTGGTTGTTGTTGTTGTCGTCGCTGTCCTCCTCATCCCCTTCCAGGCCCATTTCCACATCCCCACTGCCAACACCCGATGATTGCAAGCCGCCTCTTCGCCCGCTCTTCTCGACCTCTGCCTTCACGCCGACGACTGCTTCCGTGCCATCAGCAAAGCATATCCGCGCACTGCCATTGGCGCTCGGCAAAATGTTTGTCTCGGCGACCAGTGGGCGGAACGTCGTTGGCGAGCGGCCGTCAGGGCGGATGGGTGGGTTTTGTGACAGCGAGGCATGCAGATAAGAGAGTTCGGCAGGCGACAGTGCAATGCCAGTGTAGGGCGCCATGGCAGTGGTGATTCCAGTGTCAAGTTGTTGTGTGAAAGTCGTTCAGCACGAGGCACAAATCCGGAGAGCTCGCACGTGCAACGGTGCAAGCCCGGCCGGTGGACTGCAGGAACAAAAAGTCAAGTGCACGTGTCTGCTTTGGTGTCTGCTCGCACGCTATCTGGTCTACTAGTACATCTAATGTACCGACGGTCTCCCCCTTACGAGCATTGAGCTCTCGTGCTCGTCGACCATTATGGTGTGTGTCTGTGTGTATATCACAAAACTCCGTACAGAGACATACGCGACGCCGGCGTTGTCGACCTGTGCATGCGAAACAAATATCAGAACCATAGACTTTCACCCCGGCGCCTACGCTTCTTGTTCCCTAACAAGGCTGCAAATACAAGCCTCATGCATTTCACTCGCAGTACAATCAACTTTGCGCTGTATCGCCCTTCTTCTTCTTCTTCTTGCCCTACTTTTTCGCCCTTTCCTGATGCTCATCTCCTGCATGTATCATTCATGGGTAGCGCTTTTCGCCACAGTACATGTCTGGGCAGAAATTTATACACGTTGACATTTAGTCTGCAGTCTGCGCAATAACAGTTTCCCTATTCTCAGCCGGGCTGGACTCATTCTTGACAACAGGAGACTCTGTCTCTATTTTGACCGCCTCAGCCTTGGGCGCGGCTGAGGGGACATGTGTCTCTTCCGTGGTGCTCTTCGGCTTCGGCTTGGCTTCCTCAGCCTGTGATTCAGCTGTAGTGGCTTTCGGCGCCCCATTGGAAGTTGAGCTTGGCTTAGACTTTACCAAGCTCGATTTGGCTGCTGCTGCCAGGCTGTCTTTCCCGGACAGCTTGGTGTACATTTCCAGCAGCTTGTGGCCGGGAACGCGCTTGGCGGAGTCCTTGGCCTGTGGCCAATGATGATCGCTCACATAATTCCAAAGCTCTTCAACCATGTCTCTGCCATTTTGTGGTACCTGGCCGTTGATATGGTTTCCCAGTGCGATGAGGCTTTGTTTGATGAGTTTCAAGCGGGCTTCGTCATCAGGCATTCGTTTCTTGTTGGCCATTGAGACTTTGTGCAGTGTGGCACTGACCGGATCTAAAATGCGGCGAGCACGTTGTTCGGCTTCAGTCAACGGCTTTGGGGCACCGTTAGCGTGGGAGCTTCCATTTCGTTGATGTCCCGGACGCCTGTCATCCGAAGTGCGTGGCCGGTGACCGTTTGGCGAGCCGGCGTGTGGCGTGCGGCGGTCCATGCTATTGCGGATGTCCGACTGATGCATTCTCCTGCCATCACCAGAGTGCTTGTTACGCATGCTGTTTGGACCAGGACTGCCCGACTGTCCGGGCGTGCCCATGCGGCCGTGGAATTGGCCAATATGCTTCCGGTTATTGCGATGATGATTCTCCAGCGCCTTTTTTGCAGCCTGGTTGGTGCCGTTGCTGATCTTATCCTTGAGCACGCTGAGCAAATAGTTGGCCCGCCGGACGAGATGCACCGCACCAGGAGATTTGGCAATTGTCTTCTCGTCGCCCGCCTTGCTGCGCTCCTCTTTGGCGCCAACTCGATGCTCCTCCAAATAAAACCTCTCGCCGAGCCCAAGTTCGGCATCATCACGAATTGGAACCCATGCACCATAGCCATGTCGAGCGATACCAACGCAGAGCATGCCATCTTCTTTGGCACCCCACTCGCTGGTGTATGATGCAGGCTTAGACGCTTCTGGTACGCGAAAGTTTCGCCAATCGGAACACTGATCCACACAATTCCGCACCATGCGCATCTCTTCGGGTCGCTCAGTGAGCGTCTCCGCATTAAGACGCTTGACACCCCTGAAGTCGAACAGCACCGCCTTCTTCTCTTTCTTCGTGACTGGCTTGCCCGTAGTCCGCTCGATCTCGTTCTGGCGATCGACCTCTTCTTGCTGCAAGCGGATGGCGGTGTCGATGATGTCTTGAAGAGTATCTCGCACAATCTTCACGTCACGTCCCTGAAGGCGTGCCGCTTTGATGATCTCTTCTTCCTTCTCGTCCATGGCACCAAATCGTTCATAAGCGCGGATGAGGTGGCGACATTCCTTCTCACCTAGTGCCCGTCTCGGATCGAGACCGTGATCGGAGTCGTTGTCGTCTCCAGAGCCTTCCTCGTCCATGTGCTGCATATTTGCTTCTCTCGCTCGCTTCTTTGCAGCGCGCTGGTCGCGGCCTTCCTCACCAGCTGCCTTGCGCTTTCGTGGCTGATTCTCCTCGATGACAGACTCGAGATACTCCTCTTCCTGCTTCTTACGTTCCTGTTCCTTGAGCTTGTCCAATTCAGCTTTTGGGATGATCTCGTCCCATTCGAGATCAATTTTAACGTCAGTGTACTCAAAACTCCGCAAGAATTCCTCGCCACCGTCTGTAGTCATGCCTTGAGGCTGCTCCGTCTGGTGCTCTTCGGCGTTTTCCAATACAGCATCAATATCAAGCTCTTCCAGCTTCCTCTGGTTGCCTGACTGCTCGAACATCTTCTGTCCTCGCTTCTTCAGAATCTGCGAGATATCGTCAGACGAGGTGGGCTCAGCAGTAGCTGCTCCGATGCGTTGCATGCGATCTCCAAGGTCACGAGCATCCTTGTCAGTGACGCCGCGCTGGATGGTAATGAACTCCAGCATGAGCTTGTTGCGCGCGCGTTCCAGGACTTCTTCTTCCACAGTGTCTTTGGAGACAAATCTGTAGATAGTCACTGGCTTTTTCTGGCCAATACGGTGGGCTCGTGCCATCGCTTGTAGATCGGCCTGGGGATTCCAGTCGGAGTCAAACAGAATGACTGTATCAGCGGTCATCAAATTGATACCAAGACCTCCCGCTCGCGTAGACAGTAAGAAACAGAAGTCTTGGCTTCCCTCCGCGTTGAAGTGGTCAATCGCCATACGCCGTGGTCCGGCTGCGATCGTTCCGTCCAGGCGTTGGAATTGATATCCTCGGAGCTGTAAATAATCTCCCAGAAGGTCGAGCATCTTCACCATCTGGCTGAAGATGAGCACACGATGCCCGTCTTTCTTCATTTTGGTGAGGAGCTGGTCGAGAAGCATCATCTTGCCACTCGATGTAATCAGAGCCTTGAGCTGTTCATCACGGCTGTCACTCCCGGCGAGAATGCGGTCCTCGGCAGCAGGGAACAGAAACGGATGATTGGATGCCTTTTTGAGCTCCATCATGATATTAAGCAGTGATGTCTTGGCCCCCTTGGACCCCGCGTTCAATGCTGCGTAATTGCGAGTGAGAATGTTCTTGTAATACTCCAGCTGCACGTCGGAAAGCTCAACGCGGATGATCTTCTCGGTTTTGGGCGGCAAATCGTTCTCCACTTTCTGCTTGGTCCGTCTAATCATGTAGGGTGAAATTGCCTCAGTCAGTTCGGAGAGCTTCTTGCTGGCGTCTTCAGACATGAGATCAATGTGCTCATCCACGTGAATCTTGCCCGGCATGAGGAAGTCCATCAGCGCAGACAATTCGCCGAGCGTGTTCTGCATCGGTGTGCCCGTGATGAGCAACCTGCTGGCGGCGCCGAAGTCCATAAGCTTCGCGTACAGCTGGGACTCGCGATTCTTCAGTCTATGAGCCTCGTCGACTGCCATAAATTGCCATTTGAGTTGCGACAGGAAAGGAGCATCCGCCAGGATGTATTCATATGTCGTCAGGAGGACGTTGAACTTGACCTTTTTCGGATTGCCATCAACCAGGAGCTCGTACTCGCGAATGATCTTGCGTGACGCCTCGTTGCCGTTGTATACCACGTAGTTGAGGTCCGGTGTCCAGTTGTTGAATGTGTCGGCCCACGCTGGCATGGTGGAGAGGGGGACAACGACAACAAACGGTCCTTGCTGACGGCGGTCATGTCGAAGCCAATTCATGAAGGACACAGTTTGCACTGTTTTCCCAAGACCCATTTCATCTGCTAGAATGACATTATTACCTCTGCACCAGTGATGCGCCAAGAAGTTCAGACCATGTATTTGGAACTCTCGAAGCTCGCCCCCCTTAATGTACGAGGGCTGTGTCCTGAATGGCTTGTAGACGGAGCGGGTATTGATGTTTTGCTCGATCTTGTCCGACACGGGCAGTTTCGCAGAGCGATCAAGGTATCGGTCGATGGCGGTCTGGGCGATGGTGCTGATCAAGTCGGCACTCTCCCACGTACACGCATCGTATCCCAGACTCTTCCACTTGACGTAGTATTCTATACCCTCTTCTCCGTCTCTTGCGCCAATGACACGCTCGACTTGCACGTAGTCATTCAGCGAGTCCAGGTAGCCTTCACGATCGAGATTCCAGCGTTCTTTATCTTCCGCCGCAATATCTGGGTCTGACTTCACTTGTTGGTCGATGATGACAATTTTGCGGTAGTAGTTCTCGAGGCGACGGATGCCCTTGTAACCAGCGTCGGAAAGTTCTCGCCACGTATGCCAGGTTGCGTGATAGTGTGCTTTGCCTTGCCATTTGATCTGTAGCCATGTTAGTTGCAGAGCACGTACGTACACGTGCGCTCTCAGTGCAGACTCACATAGAATTCGTAGTCGTGCTTGTCGGGAGTGTCTTTCTCTAAAGGTCGATCAGTACAGTCGCAGCATGTCACAATGGCTGAGTACGCACCAACGCCTTCAACCACCCTGTGGTTGAGAATTAAGTCGATCGCTGGCGTGTTCTCTTCTTCGACATAAGTCCAATAGTTCGGCGTCACGTTCTCGGTATCCTCCTCTTCGAAGTTGTCGAAATTTTCGTCCTCGTTGTAGGTGGTGACTTTGGCAGCTCGCCGGGATGAGAAGCGCACTTCACCCAACTGAGGTGTACCTGAACCAGATGCGACACCCTGCAACTTTTGTCTCTGCTTCTTCGCGAATGTGCGGCCACGTTGACCGCCATAGGTGTCCTGGTCAGACTCTGTCCCATCCGAGGCGACAGCACGCGACGACTCTCGTATAGATGCTGTGAGGAACAATGTCAGTTGCCACATGGGCAGAATATATCTCAGGGAAAGTAGGGCGACATACATGGTCGGGCGGTAGCAGTTTTTTGGCGTTTCCGCCGGCTGCCGGTGTTGACGGCGTCCTCGTCGTCATCGCCGTCTTCTTCAGAACTGTCAACCTGAGAAGCATATTAGCGATCAGTATATGGTGGGTCCAGAAATGGATGTATACATACCACGCGCCTAGCTGGTCTGGCTCGGCCCTGGAAATGGCAGGTCAGCAGGAATGGTGGCAGAATGGGGAAGGAGTGCATCTTACGCTTCGTCGCAGCCCGTAAAGCTCTGGGTTTTGCTTCATGTACTCTTCGTCATCGACATCTGCTTTCCGCTTGCCAGGTCTAGAACTAGATTCGGAGGATGATCTGTCGTGGCTCGTGGCGTTCACTTGTCCCAGCTGAGGACTCTCCATGTCAAAGTCTGCATCTTCCTCGCCCGGGGCATCATCATCCTCATCAAGTTCTGACGTAGCCATATCGTGCACAGCATCGTCGTCGGAGAACATGCCATCATTCGCTCCGTCTGGTGATGCTAGGTCGGTACTTGGAAAGCCGTCCATGTCGGAAAGTTCGCTCTCGCGTCGGTCTGGCTGACCGGATGGCTTCAGAAGTCCATCGCCGACTGCTTCTGTGTGCCCATTCGTCATCGACATGTCGTGAGAGGTCTGTGGAAGGGTAGGGGCATGTATGGAAGCCGCTATGAGATCGGAGTGTCAGCAGGATTGCTCGGGCTGTGGTGACGCTTGCGAGCTGAAATTTTCACAACGCGTCGAGGACCACAACGCGACCGGTTCCCCCGCCTAATCGGCCGTGTATTCAGTATCAATGCCGTATATGACAAGTCCGGTGATGGTATGAGTCCTCGTGGTGGTATGGAGATGGCGACTCGGTCGACCGGCTGCAGGCCTCCAGCGGCAGGAGACGTCCTTGACGCGATTCGGCAGATATCCAAGGATACGGATCACTTGCTATCGGCGTCTTGAGGCGGTGAGAGGTGGTCTGGCGATGGGATATGTCGGTCGCGATGGTGTTTCGATGGCGAAGCTGAGTGCTCGGTTTTGACGCTCCAGGCGCGATTCCTTGGGCGAAAAGGGACAGAGAAGTCGGAGATGCACTACTTACAGGCCATGATTGTACTGGCCTCGGCGGCAGCAATAAAGAAGGGAATCGTGGGAGGGTGGTGTGGAGGGAGTGCACTTGGTATACTCTTCTCGGATTCTCGGATGGGATGTTCGAAGGGCTCGGGCACTTCCGTCAGCGACGACTGAGGCAGGAACTAGTTCTAGTGGCTCTGGACTGATTTCGCGACGTCTTCTTCCGGGGCGGGCATCATAACGAATACTGTAACGATGGATCGATTGCATGCGGTGTATGTAGACGTCAAGTGCACAGAGTAGAGTATCGACGCCGGTGAATATTATCAAAGTGTCAGGGCGTTATTGTCGATTTTCTCATCTTCAGTTCTTCACTGGCCGGTTCTAATTCGACCTCCGGCTGGGTGTCCTCACTTTCTTTTCCCCTCCAACAGCCCACCCACCGTGCCCAATTAAAACCCGCCCATTGTTCTTACTCCAGGAATTTTGTTGTCACCAGCGGCACTTTGTCCGACTCATACCTCTCTTTCTCTCTCTCCCTCTCAGCGCGTGTACACAGTGCCCGGCTCGTCAGCAGTCTCCTCTTCTGTTCCCTTGGTCCTGCTCGCTGAAAGCACTGCATTCACGGCAACTTCAGCAACATGTCGGACAAGCTCACACGGTAGGCGCTCACCGCTCACCGCCCACCGCCCACCGCACCCCGCCCACCGCTTGTGGAATGGCTCTCCAGGACACCGATCGCTGACGGTATCTCGCAGTATCGCCATCGTCAACTCCGACAAGTGCAAGCCCAAGAAATGTCGGCAAGAATGCAAGAAATCTTGCCCGGTGGTGCGGACGGGCAAGCTGTGCATTGAGGTTGACCCAGCCAGCAAGATCGCCTTTATCTCAGAGCGTTTATGCATCGGATGTGGTATCTGTCCCAAGAAGTGTCCATTCGACGCCATCAACATCATCAACTTGCCCACCAACCTCGAGACACAAGTCGCACACCGCTACAGCGCCAACAGCTTCAAGCTGCACAGACTGCCACTGCCACGACCGGGGCAGGTGTTGGGACTGGTGGGAACAAACGGTATTGGAAAGAGCACTGCGCTGAAGATTCTGGCGGGCAAGTTGAAGCCAAACTTGGGGAGATACGATGATCCGCCGGATTGGGAAGAGATTCTGAAGCACTACAGAGGCTCGGAACTGCAGAGTGAGCCCACCTCAAGTGGTCTCGGGAATTGGAGGAACACACACTGATATTGGACAGACTATTTCACCAAGATTCTCGAGGACGACTTGAAGGCTGTGACCAAGCCACAATATGTCGACCAGATTCCCAAGGCTGTCAAGGGAAAGATCCGAACTGTTGGCCACCTGATCACTGATCGTGCTCAAGTGCCAAAGGAGAGACTGGAGGAGATTACCGAAGCACTTGGTGAGTGGAGAATGCCACATTAGTGCAGAAAGGACCGAGCTGATAACATGAGACAGAGCTGATTCAAGTGTGGGACCGCGACATTGACCTCCTCTCTGGTGGAGAGCTGCAGCGTTTCGCCATTGCCATGGTCTGCGTGCAGAAGGCCGATGTGTACATGTTTGACGAACCTTCATCATTCTTGGATGTCAAGCAACGTCTTGCTGCTGGTCGGATCATTCGCAGTCTCCTCCGCCCGGATTGTTATGTGATTGTTGTTGAGCACGATTTGTCCATCCTGGACTACCTTTCTGACTATATCTGTTGCCTCTACGGTAAGCCGGCGGTCTATGGTGTCGTTACTGCGCCCTTCTCCGTTCGTGAGGGCATCAATATTTTCTTGGACGGCAACATACCAACCGAGAATCTGCGTTTCAGAGAAGAGTCCCTTACTTTCCGGGTTGGAGAGGCCGCCGATGAATTCATGGTTGACAAGAATCGCGACTACGAATACCCAACTATGACCAAGACCATGGGTGGATTCCACCTCACTGTCGAGACTGGCGAGTTCACAGACTCCGAAATTATCGTCATGATGGGTGAAAACGGTACTGGGAAAACCACTTTTTGCAAGATGCTTGCCGGAGCACTTCCACCAGATGATGGCAAGAAGATTCCAGCGATGAATATCTCCATGAAGCCTCAAAAAATCACGCCCAAGTTTACGGGAACCGTGCGTCAGCTTTTCTTCAAGAAGATCAAGACTGCCTTCCTCTCGCCACAATTCCAGACTGATGTCTACAAACCACTGAAGATGGACGACTTCATCGACCAGGAAGTGCAGAATCTATCCGGAGGAGAATTGCAACGTGTAGCTATCGTGCTTGCTCTCGGTCTTCCCGCAGACATCTATCTCATTGACGAACCTTCGGCCTACCTGGATTCTGAGCAACGTATCATCGCCGCTCGCGTGATCAAGCGTTTCATCATGCACTCCAAGAAGACAGCGTTCGTGGTCGAGCACGACTTCATCATGGCAACCTACCTCGCAGATCGAGTCATCGTGTTCGACGGACAACCGTCTGTCAAGTCTCGCGCCAACCGACCTCAATCACTGTTGACAGGTTGCAACAAGTTCCTGAAGAACTTGGATGTCACATTCAGACGCGATCCAAATACTTACCGACCGCGAATCAACAAGCTCAACTCTCAACTCGATACCGACCAAAAGAGCACAGGAAACTACTTCTTCTTGGAGGATGACTCCTGAAAGGCGTCGTTGCAGGAGGCAGCATTTATGAAAACGATGTCCACAGTTTGAAGGACTCGTTGATGAACCAGGACGGCACGAAGCGCAGACGCGTCATCAAGAGCGGAGCCGATGAGTTTCTTGAGCAAGTAGCTTGTGGGGAGGATGAAGATGACGAGGAGATGGACTTACAAGAAATTGCCAGTCACCAAAGCCCGGGACCAGAAGACGGGCTCCGCCTCGCCAGCCATGACTTATGGAGCGTGAACACGGATCATGGTGACGTTAAACAGAGATGTCGTCAGGACATGTCGTTGGTCTGACAGATTCCAGTCGTCTAGCACGACCGATTGAAGACCTGGAGGCCAATGATGGAGGGAGGAAACAAGAAATTGGCAGCGCAGTAGCACTGCTCATCGCCGATACTGGCACGACTCGTGCGAAGGTCAGAGCAAATGAGAAAAGCAAACAAAATGAGTTATGATGATTAGACTGTGTTTTGCTACAACGTACCGAATGACAGTCACTCGTTTGGCCGTGGCCGAAACAAGTTGCCTTTTCCAGTACCAAACGAGGTCCATTGTTCTGAAAAGGTGGTGCATGCTGCATCAAATGCCTTAGTAAAACGCCTCATCTGAATACGCATGCACTCATTTTAGGAACGTACGTAGCGCAATAGAGCAGAGCCTTGACATGTCTGCTTCTCTCGCCGATTGTCCGAGCTGCCCTCGAGCGACATGTGGAGACAGAGCTGCAGAGAATTCTGGTCAGTGCTTGCAGTTTGAATTTCTGGGTCAAGCGATGATGTAGCTGAGAAGCAACATGGTTGAACCAACGACGACGCATCACATAAACGGAACCCTCGACCATGCGTCCAGACATCCCAGCCTTGTCCGACCGAGATACTCCAGGCATGGTAGGCTTCCATCTGTGCTGCTGGGGCAAGACGGAGCGCAACGCTATATCTCTTCAATTTCTCCTTCTTCGGATCCGCTTTGGAGCGCTGGTGGTTCTTCCTTGAGCAGAGTGCTATCTGCTTCAGGGGAACGTGTTCTGCCTCCTTCGCGGCGTGGACGCTAATCGACAAGTCAGCTAACAATTCGTTGAGGGGAGAATGCATTACAATACTACTGACCTTGCTCTCCCGGCGACTGGCCATGCTAGTCTCGCTCTCCCGTCTCTTGCGAATGCTTGGGGGCCGACTACCAACAACATCGTCGTCGCCGTAGTCCAGCGTCTTATTCTTCTCGCGGGGATCGGCACGAGACATGAAGTTTCTCTCACGCTCTGCTTCCCGAGCACGTCGCTCATTGTCGTGAAAGCCATCTCTGGTCGGTCGTCGTCGCTCATCTCGGCGGTCGTCACGTCGATCACGGTCGTCATATCGGTCGACTCCACGAGGAGGAGGAGGCGTCAGACCGAAAGAGGCCTTCCGGTATGACCTCTCGCGGTCAGCCTGAGCCTTTCGCCTGTCGGCCTCATACGCGTCGATCTCCGGAGTGCGTGTGCGTTGGCGGACACGGTCCCTGCGATCGTCTCGTTCGTCACGTCGAGGTCCATTGCGGTAATCTCTGCTGCGGTCGCGCTCTCGGTCACGACGCGGGCGGTCGTCATCCCTCTCCCTCCATCGCGCCATGTACTTCTCGTAAGCTCGCTTCCGCACTTCCTCCCCAGCCGTGTCCCAGTCTCGAATACCTGAGAGTCGCGCGACAACATCATCATAGCTTTCTTCAGCGCGGATAGGAGGGTGTACTTTCTTCATGGCCGATCGAAGACTGTCGATGATCGCCTTCTGTTGACGCTCGACGCCAATCTGCTTCTCTTCTTCACGTCGCTGGACCTTCTGCAGGATCCTGTCAAAGATCATGCTGACTTCATCCTCTGTAAGACTGGCTGTTTTTGGATGAGAATGCATTATCTCTGCAAATTCGTTCCGTGAAGTCTCGAGTGTGACCTCGAATCGCTGCTCTTCGAGCACGTCGAGGGCATCATTCCGCTTCGAGCGAAGCTTACGCTCCTCATCTTCGACGATATCCCAGAACAGGTCTTTTGCACTGGAGGCTGTGGCGCCGGGATACGGGCGCGCGGGAACTGCAAGGTAATCGAGGAAGCGCTGATCATTCTCGATCAGGGGAAAGAAGTCCGACCACTTCGAGCCGGCTTTGATATTGCCCTCGTGAAGTTGCTCATTCAGGAGCTGCTTGTACGCATCGCGAGCTTGCCGCTGCTTGCGCTTCTTCAGGTGCTTCTCCTTCTGTGTGGCGTCGTTGGTCACACGCTCCAGCGCTTTCATGTGGCTCTCAAAAGCGAGAAAGATGTCGAGCTTGTGTACGCCTTTCAATGTCTCGTCCGACACAAATCGCTCGTTGTTGTCAATCTTGTCTTCCGCCTCCGCCCAAGTCGTGTTGGGATCAATGATGAGCACCTTGAGCATGTTGTCCAGCTCATGCACGGCGTCTTTGCGCCGCTTTGCCTCATTCTCAGCATGTTGTTTCTTCAGTTCGAGGATGTACTCGTCGAATATGCGTCTGCGATCGTCTTCGTCGCCGGCACCCTTGAATGCAGCCTCGTGCTCAATGGTTGGCCGCGCAGTCTTCCAACGAGTGTAGTGCTCGATCTCGTCGTGGGTGGACAGCATGCGACGGAAGTCTTCGCGCGCCTTCTCCTTCCGCTCCTTGTCCTTGCTCTTTTGCTCGGCGCGCATCTCGGCGCAGTACTTCTCGTAGGCATTTTTGCGTTCTTTGGGACCCTTGATGGCGCGGTAGTCGCGGTCGCGGATGACGACGCGCAAGGCATCCTGCCACGGAGTATCCGGTGCGATATTGTTGCGCTTGAACAGCTTGAAGAAAGCTTCTTCGGCCGCCTCGGCAGAAGCGTACTCTGGTTCGTCTGTCTTGCTGGGCATTGGCCCTCCATAGCCCGCCTGCTCGCGCCGCGCCTCCCATGGGTTCGCGCCTCGATCACCGCGATCGCCTCGGTCTCCACCGCGGTCGAACGATGGCTTCTGGGGCAGTCCGTGGTCACGGTCATCGCGTCTACCGCGTCCGCTATGGTGTTCATCGCGTGCTCCATAGCCGCCTCCGCCTCCACCTGCTACGAAATCAGGTCGGCCGTTCTGCTGTTGGTGCTGCTGTTGCTGCAGCTGCTGTTCCTGCTGCTTGCGCACAGCTTCAGGCAGAGTCCAGCTGACCTCCCTGGTGATTTTGTTGTAGTAGTACGGTCTGCCCTCTGGAGTCTTCACCTCTGCCCAGTCGGCGGCGCTACCAGCTGGTCCTTTAGGCACAGTGGGCGGCGCAGGCGGCTCAACATGGACGCCCTCTGGCTTCACCCAGGTGGTCGCTTTGGTGGTTTTGTTGTAGTAGTACACCTTGCCATCAGCCGTTGCGACGGCAGCCCATTCGCTCATGATGGAGGGATGAATGCGTGTGCGCACGATCAAGTCGTGCTCACACAGATGGGGATTGGGATGGCAGAGCTGTGCTGTGCTGGTGATGTGATGGCGATGGTTGGAAGCCGAGTGGAGCTATGTTTTCTACTGCCCTGCACGGAGAACTGCAATGTCAGCACCCGTCCCCGCAAGGTCTTGGCATTCTTCCGATGACACTACCGAGCATGCCGCTCAACACTTCTTGGCCGGTCCGCTACCTCCTACAACTACATTACCTATATGTACCCACTACAACTACATGTCGAACTACATGTACCTCTTACTTGTATCGCCTAGGCGAGGACTCCACCTGAGCTTCTTCCTACGCGCCATTTCTGCATCCTCCACGGGCACATGTCCAAGTGTCTCGAACCAGCAGATGGATGCCTAGCCTCCTCTTGCATGTGTTCGACCTTGATATACCATATACCAGTATATCTCAGGTATATACCATGCGCGATGCAACGGAGACCGGCAGCAAGATCCAAGGTTCATGTATATGTGTCTAACGCGATGCCCACACCTGGCATAGATGAGGTGAGCAGCATCGCCTTGGTCGGTTGATCGGTTGCTGGTTGGGCTTCGAGATCGCAGCGGCCTATTGGAGTGCTCGGCGCCGGGATGTGGTCTGGGTCTGGGTCTGGTATGCAGCTCGTCTGTCATCCGTCCTTCCCAGACGAATGGCCGCACGCGTGGGCTGCGTGGCTGATCTGAGCATCTGTATTGCTTGTCTTGACCGGACGGTTCTTGTGACCAACCAGCCGCAGCGCCTCATGATTTACATGTATACTTGACTTGTGGAATGCGCAATCTGCAACTACGTAAGTACCGAGCTGACCGTCCTCCGCCGTTTACCATCCGCGAAACATCTATTTTCCTTTCCCCTGTCTCAATATTGTCGATTGAACAGCCTTTGTCGACATGACCATGACCCGAGCTGCGAGTTCGACACCCCAGTTTACCTATCATCAGTGGCCAGATGGGACCGCTCCTGTACTCCAGTTCAAGGCGCGACCTCCGTCGACGACGCCTCTCGCGCGCCAATTGAGTCCGCACTACGATATGCCCTCTCCCGGCCTCCCAACATCCACTGAGGCCTCGCTCAAGCACCATGCTGGAATGGCTCCACGGCCGTTCGTCTGGGATTCCGTCAACCAGGACTACTTCTGCTACGATCCCGAGACCACCTGCTACGTCTACGCCAAGTTAGGTCGTGTCCATTATGATTCCGTCATGAAAGAGCACTACCGTCCAGATGCGCCACAACCCCTGGTCTATGCGACGACATTCCCCGAGTATCGAGTCTATCAGTCTGGCGAAATCTTCTTCTGGGATCCGCGTCGTCAAGAATGGTATCAATACGACATGCACCACCGGCGAGTGTTGTGGCGTGATCAGAGATGGTGGCCATTTCCACGAAAGTTTGAGCCTCCTTGTCTGAGTTGTCCACCGCAGTGTGAGAGGACCTTGATGCCTCCGAACACAGCAGGCCGGTCAAAGTCGCCTGTCTGCCACACGCTGCCAGCCGACGCGCACAATGATTGTGCCAAGTCAGAAGGACCGCGAATTGTTGAGGTCAGCCCCTGTGATGCATCAACGGTGGAAACAGATCTATGTGGTCGCAGTCTACCGGATGTACTCGAGAAACACGAAGTCAAGGCTGAGCGTCGGCGGCCCAAGAAAGAGGTTGTTGAAAAGGAGGTGTGGGTCGTCTCCGATGACGATGATGTTGTATATGAAGTCCCGCTTCGCGATCGAGGTCACAAGAAGCATCGCGCACGTAGGGGCGGGATGTACGACCTGCAGGATTTGGTCGACAAGAGTATGTAGAACCAACCGCCTGTGAGAGTGTCAAGAGTGGATGCTGATCAGTCTTGCAGCTGTGCGGAGAAAGAAACGATACTCGTGGTTCTAAAATGCTGCCAGTAACGACCCTAATAATCGCGACCTCGCCTGATGCGAATTGTATCAGGTTGCTGGTGGGAAGCAAGAAACAGTCATACCAGAGCCAAGCCCTTTTTCACTCATATTTAGGTATGCCACGATTGGACCAATTTTTCGATTCGTGAACCATGGTTCCAAAAAAGTGAGGACTTGGAAAAATGGGAACCTTTAATGGAATATACACCACTTCATGTCTGTCTCTAAAGTATCTCTTTAGGTATGCTACGATTGGACCAATTCTCCGATTCGTGAACCATGGTTCCAAAAAAGTGAGGACCTGGAAGTTCCCAAAAAAGTGAGGACTTCGAAAATGGGAACCTCTAATGGAATATATACCACTTCATGCCTGTCTCCAAATCACCTCTCACCACACCAAACACCTCCAGACATTACGTCCCCAGTTTTGTAACTCGGAGCTCGAAATCTCGATCACGTTGACAGCACCACACCGCACCACACCGCACCGCGTCACACATTTACACACTTGACAACATGGCCCAACCCAGGACCACGTGGGAATTGAACCCAGAAGCTACTCGCTTCACGTGGTGGAACCCAGAAGCCACTCCCTTCACGTGGTGGAACCCAGAAGCCACTCCCTTCGAACCACACTTCCCACACATATCCGAGTACCCCACGCCAGAGGAGATCCTTTCCTTGCAGCAACTGGCATACTCACCCATCTCCGAAGCCACGACGCCGAGAAGCACCTCCAACAATACGCCTGTCCAGAACGTCGCCACGCCACGCCAACACCCAGTGCACTGGCTCGACGAAGAACTCGCTCGCTGGGGTGATGCATACTCCGAGATTGGCGACGATGACCACGCCGCCAACAACACTCCTCCTACTCCTCCTCCTTCCCCACAACGACAACAACAACTACGACAACAACCACCACCACAACCACCACAACCACAACAACAACTCCTCCGAGATCCACAACAAGAATATCTCATCAATCTGATTCCGATTCCAATTCGACGAAAGAAATGTTTCATTCGAAGAAAATCCATCTTTTTCCCTCCCAAATCAGATTGAACGATCGATCCGAGTGATACCAGTAGTGGAGAATAGATAGATAATGTATTGATAAGAATGAATTAGTGAAATCGACAAGAAACCTTCCATAGTAATTGAAATCCCACAGTCCGTCTGTCCAATATGAATTGCCATACCTCCCCCTCACATCCACTCCCCTTCACGTAGTCAAACGGTATATATAGGTACCTATAAGGTAAAAGTAACGGTTAGAAAAACATATACATCGTAACATCATCAGCAGAAACCGTTTACCCTTTCTTTACCGGTTTAACCCAGACCCAGACCCCTTATCCTCCCTATACCTATACTTATCTCTTCCTAGGTATCTACAGGTACCTACCTACCTGACCTTACCTTATCTTACCTGACCTGACCTGACCTGACCTAACCTATCTTACCTCAAACCCAAGTTCAAGTTCAAGTTCAAGTTCAAGTTCAAGTTCAAGTTCAAATACAAGAAAACAGTCCAAGTACACGGCAGCACAGTAAGGCAAGGTAAGGTAAGAAAAGAAAAAAAAAAGACGGGCAATAGAATAAAAACCAAACAAACAAAATCAGGCAATAGATAGATAGATGGGATGGATGGATGGATGGATCTGGTATTTTTTTCGTTTTGCTCTTTCTCTCTCTCTCTCTCTCTCTCTCTCTCCCATTCATAGAAAAAGCTACCTCCTACCTCTACCTCCTACCTCCTCACTTGACAATAAGAGTACAAATGCCACCAAGATAATAACCAATAATATACACACCCCCCAAACAGAGAGGATCTTGGGGGGAGATTGATGCTGTCGCTTTTCAAAATCTGTCCATGTCGCCAACCATCACTACCTGGTACTAGGGCGATCGCGCCTCAAAAAGAAAACCTTCCTTCCCTCCTTTCCCTCCCTGTATAGATGCAGGCTTGTTGGGATTTGCTTTTCTCTCTTTCTCTCCAGTTTTCCCTTTCCATACACACACACACACACACACACAAGGTAGCTGAGCGTTCCGTCGGTTCCACTTTGCCTTCAAACCCTTCTCTCGTACATGTAGTCGGCCGAGCCCCGAAGCCAGTATGACTGCTGCAATTAGATTACCAGTAAGACACCTTAGTCTTGGTATAGGACCTTTTCCCGTCGATTTAGTATTCCAACAAAACATGTCGCATCGTCAATTCTTACACACTGCGCCACAGCCCCGTCACATTACTACATGGACCCCGCGGCAACCTCGTGAGTTTGCCGGGGCAATCAGTCCCTCTGAATGGGCAACAATGCCTCTGCTTTCTCTCTTTCTGCCACAATCTGACCTTGAAGCTTCCTCATCTGGAGGAGAGCCGCATCGCGCTCGGTCTGAAGGTCTGCGACTTCCATCTGGCTCTTGTTGACACGCTCAACCACATGCTGCATGTCCTCCTCTGCTTCTCTCAACAGCCCTTCCAGCTCCCGGACTTTGCGTTCCAGAAGTTGTGTGCGACTCATTTCGAGGAGAGATGTTTCAATGAGCTTCTTGCTGCCGAGTTTGGGCGTCTTTCTGAGCAGCGGCGAGGGAGGAGTGAGTTTGCTCGGTTCGGGAATGGCAACTTGCAATCTCTGTAGAGAGGGCGAGCGTGCCTCATCGATGCGCTTCACCTCGGCATCGTGGTTGGCGAGCGTGGTCTCAGAATGCTGTTGTGCGGCAAGCACGCTTTCTTCCATGCCTGCGAGACGTCTCTGCATGTCTTCGATCTGTTTGGTGGATTGTTTCTGCTCGTGTTCCCCCTTGGCGATGGCCGTAGCAAGGCGTTCCCGGAGCTTGCTATTGGCTTGGACTTGTGCCTCGAGCTGCTCCGCGAGCTCGTCCATACGGTTCGCAGAAGCCATGAGCCCTTCAGCCGTTTCGGGATCGGCAACTTGTGCTCGTTGGCGATATTCGGTCGCGACCTGTCGAGCGTGATCACGCTCACTTTCCGCTCGAGAGATGCTCACTTTCAGCTGCTCGTCTTCCTCGTCACCTCCATACTGGCTGGACTCGCTCGCAACATGGCTATAGTCGCGGTCCTGCAACATGATCCGTAGCCCCCGAGTTTCCTGCTCCGCGCGATCGAGATCCATCTTCAAGCCGCCCAAGTTCTTCTCGTATTGCCACTTCTGCTCCAGAGCATCTTCCGTGCGCTTTCGCAAACTCGAAACTTCGGCCTTCAAGAAAGACACTTCTTGGGCATAAGCAGTACGCCTTGGTGTGATGCTTTCCACTTTGTCCTTCTCACTCTTCAATTTCTTCATCGCGCGCTCATGATCCTTCTGCTGTCTCTCATAGCGATGAATGAGCAGTTTGAGCGCTTTGTGTAAGGCATCTCGTTGCTCTATCATATCCTTGTCGCCGTCGGCATATGTACCAACAGAGCCCGAGCGTTGTCGCCCGCCTTCGGCGCGGTCTTGTTTGATGGTTCCGCCACGCCGGAGACTCGAGCTTCTCGCCAGTGATCCGCTTCGGTGCAGGCTCATACGCCCAGCGTTCGCAACCACACCCTCCTCGGCGATGCTGCCGAACCCGGAGTGCCCACTTTCCCTCTTCAATTGCGCAACCAATTGCTGTAAGCGTGTGTTTTCGTACACAATCGCTTGGTTATCCGCCGCTTCCGCCTCTAATCCCTCCAGCCTTGACCTCAGCTGAGGCACCACTTCGTTGCGCAAATTCTCTGCCTCGTCCCGAAACTGCTTCAACTCTTCCTTGGTGGCACTGTAGAGGTCCTCGAAGTTCTCCTTGGTCATCTTCTCCTGCCCCAGACGCCTCTTAGTCTCGTCCAGGGTGGATTCCAGCTCATGGAGCCTGACGGCGACGTCTTGTTGGTCTCCCTTCTTTTCCACTTGATCTTCCAGATCTCTCACAAGCTCTTCCAGATCGCGTCTGCGATTGAGTTCTGTCTGAAGTCTCGCAGCGGCCTCGAGCTTCAAGTTTGCCTTCTCTTGCTCCACCCTGCGAACCTTTTTATCGAGTTGTTCCAGTCGTGCATCTACATCAGTGATCGGAAACTTGATGGAGCTCGCACCACTGTCCGAAAAGTAGTCGCTGCTCCGTCTAGCACCAAGCTCGGATTGCGGTATTATGGGGAGTTCGGATCGTACATGATCCAGCTCGTCTTCGAGTTCCATTTCGCGGCGAATGGAGTTTGCGAGCTCTTCACTGATGTGACGCAACTCTCGTTCCAGTTCCCGGACATGGGCGTTCGATGCATCGTCGCCGAGCAGGAGTGGTGTCTCCGGATTATCAAAATATGCCGCGTTCGCCTTGTGCACGTCTAATCCCGGGGGCGTCAGTCGCGCGGAGGCGCGACTCCCCGCCATCTCTATGGGTAAGGTCTTAGCTATACTCGGAGATGGCAGGGGAGACAGCGACCTGTCTGAAAAAGTGGTAGTAGGAGACGACGACGTGCCTTCAGCCTCCCGCACGCCATTCCAGCCGAAGAAGCGGCTGATACCTCCATTGGCGGTGGGGGATTTCGGTCTCTTGGGCTGAGAGCCGTATGATGCTTGCGAGTACTTTTCAAACTCCTCGTCCGTCAACCTCCTCTGTACGCCGTCCAACTGTAGAGTCATCGTGGGTGCTTCCCGTACCGAGAGCATCGAAGCTCTCCTGCTCACTCCAAGATCGGAAAATTGTTGTTCGTTACTATCGATGCTGGCGACCGAATGCTGATGTGCGTGTGGGACAGTGGTATCGGGAGCATGCTTTGCGTAGATGGGTGCACTCGATTGTCGCGGGCTACTGTAGGCAGAAGAAGGTACAGTGCTAGCAATGTGCGAGTCTATGGAAGCGTTGCGGTCGTGGCTCGAGTATCCAATGGGAATCGTGTATGACGACCTGGCGGGAGTCAGCATATGCATGTCGTCGAACGTAGCACGTAGCACGTAGCACACAGACACGCGAATAGTGTCATTCGCATCGGGACCTTACCTATCCACCTCCTCGCGTGGCCGGTCCACCTGTTCGGCATACAAGGGGGCCACCTCGCTGCCCTGGTTACGGTGCGTATTGGGCAGCGGACTGTCGAGGGAGTACGGTCTCCAATGCGGATCGGCAAGCCGTGGTGAGGGCTGTGCGGCTATCGAGAAGGATGCGGCACGCGGCGACTTCTGTCGCAGGAATGCGGCGTCGGACACAGTTGGACGCCGGACAGCTGCACTGGGGACCTGCGAACGGAATGCCGAGAAGGACGGAGCGTGGATGGCGGCGAGACTTGTCTTCTTGTGTGCTTTCGGCGTGGAGGCTCGCGATGCTGTCCCCGGTGTTCCTCCCTGTTGCTGCTGCTGCTGTGCGTGTGCTGTTGCTGCTGCTGCTGCTCCTATTGCTGGCGATTCTGAGCGTACCGACGCAGTGCCGGTAGAGGTGTACGTGCTCGACGAGTAGCGCACGCTGTCCCTGTAGATCTGATGATGGTGGTGGTCGTGGTGGTCGTTGTGGGAGGCAGCGGCGGCGGACGGGTGAGGACGAGGGTATTCAGTCCAGGACGGTAGTCTGTTGTCGGTTGAGGACGAGGACGAGGATGAGTGCTGTAGCTGCTGCATATTCCCTCTCTCGGCGTGTCTTGACCGCTACCTATCTAGTCCCGTCTGATAGCTGGAGGGCTGACGAGGACCGTCGCGGTGGACGTTTCCCAAAAGGTGCAGCAGAGGTGCCAATCGCAAGCGCCAACGGACGCACCGTCGACGTGATTCCTGAACCTCGCACGCGAACCAGCACGTCTGGCGAGACTGCATCTGGTAAGCGCCGAAGCTTTGGCAGCGATGGGTGGAGTGGTTGGCGAAAAGGAGGGAAAATGCCACGATCAGACTACAGAATCATCAGTGCGCAACGGGATCTAGGTCAGGTTTAGGTGAATGTCGATGCTGACACGCGCTGGAGGAGCTTTAGTTCTATTGCACGCGCGCCGGCTCGAGCCCGCATTCATTACACCCGACACTCTTCATTCATTTCAATCATCATCACCACCCAAGAATGCGCACACGCAGGCGGGACGATTGAGCGAAAACTTCACTTCATTCCATTCGGTCTCACTCGGCCATCTCCCGCATCCAGCCACCATTGCAGCCACTCACTCCAACGCCCGCCGTGTGTTATTTAGTACATGTCTCCAAGACTCCAACAATAGGATGATGGCTGGCTCCAACGGGATTTGTCTCGGCGCTTACGCTATATTGGTTTCCCCGTCTCACCTTCCACCGTTCGTCCGCCAGGGGCACAAACTCTATTGCCGTGTGTGCATAACACTGGTCCAAGGGGTCCTCACAATTTATCCGCTTTTACCTATCTTACCTTATACACTACACCTCGAAAGGGTAATGTGACTAATGTCGATCAATTGTGTAAATGTCCTCCTCTGTACGGTGTACCTCCTTAGCCGAAATTTTACAGTCATGTATTTACCTTTGAGCTAGATCAACGCCCATCGTGTACATCAACATCTAGTAGTATACGGCCGGAGATTGAGACCTGCTGCTGCTTAAAGTCTGTCGTCCGCCTCCAAGAAGCACGAAGGATCCGAATGTTCCAGATCCTTTCTCATTCTGCCTGATCCCTTTCCTCTCGACTTGACAATTCCAAAAGACGCAGTCCGGAATACCTTGTACAGAACAGTGGCAATTGAAGTTTTTGAGCACTTTTGATGTAGGGAGTTCATCTACGACGCTAATACTAGAGAATGACAGCCGCTCGCCTTTTTCCATGGCCACTCCTGCCCATCACCATTTATGACATGGACCGATTAAAAAAAAATACGTCTAGTGCTTCTTGCCGTCCAGGTCCGAGTAGAAGTTCCAACCAAAGTTGGCCGAGGGGTCATTAAATCGCAATTTCTTGTCGATAGAGTCAATCTTCTTCACATCCTCCGCCTCCAGCTTGAAATCACCCTCTAGATTCTGCTTGATACGGGACTCGGTCTTCGACTTGGGAATCACTGATCGCCCATGAGCGATTCCCCACGCAAGAGCCGTCTGCGCTCCACTCTTGTTGTATTTCTTCCCCACTTCAACGAGAGTGGGGTCCTCAATGAGCTTCGGAATTTCCTTGCCGCTGGAGTAGATTTCATTGGAATTGCCAAACGGCGAGTACTGGGTGATGTGAATGCCTTGCTGCTTGTGGTAGGCGGCAAAGCTCGCTTGCTGCAGGTATGGATGGCACTCAATCTGGTGAGCAGCGGGAACGATCGACGTCTCCTTGATGAGGCGTTCGAGCTCTCCCTGAGAGAAGTTGGAAACACCAATGGCGCGAGCCTTGCCCTTCTTCTGCAACTGCTCCATGGCCTTGTACGTGTCCACGAAGTCGGAATTGCCAGTGAGAGTCTTGCCGTCCTCCTTGGGGAACATATCGTCTCCATCTTTGAATGGCGAGGGCCAATGCATGAGGTACAAGTCCACATAATCGGTGTCTAGGTCCTTGAGACTCGCATCGAGAGCCTTTTCCACACTCTTGGGATCGTGCGAGTTGTTCCACAGTTTGGTCGTGATGAAGATCTGATCTCTCGGCACGCCCGACTTCTTGATTCCACGGGCTACCGCAGGCTCTGTGCCATAGATGCGGGCCGTGTCAATATGTCTGTAGCCGGCCTTGAGCGCCAGGTAGACAGCGTCTTCCTGAGCATCCTTGTCCTGCCAAGTGCCGAAACCCAGAGCGGGAATGGTTGCACCAGTGTTCAGCTTGAGATGAGTAGTCGAAGCCATTCTGAATTGAGTTCGTGGGTTGATGTGGGAGGTGACTTGTTGGGCTCTTTTGATGGCAGTTTGTGGTTGGAATCGGGAAGCCATGGAAGGAGGAAGCTAGTAGTATCTTACAGGTGAAGGAGGAGGAGAAAAGTGGCAATGACAACACTCGGCATCAACACTTTCTCTCACTACCGAAGGACAGAAGGACGTCCACTCGTTGGTGGGCGATGGTTGGTCAATTCCATTCTCCCACTCTTCCCAGTGACGTACCTCCTGGGCATGTTGACCTGGCATGTCACTTGCTGGGGCCGTCTAACCACGAAGCCGATTATTCTTTCTGACTCTCTCTCTTTCTCTCTCTTTCTCTGTCTTTCTGTACAAGACAGAATAAACACATATTAAGTAAGGTAGGTAATAATCAATAAAATCTGGTCCAGGAAAGATAACACCGTATAACAACTATAGCAGTATAGTATGTCCTAAATAGATCAGACAAGACAGACTTCCCTACTCATTACACCGTCTCAAGCCATCCCTGTCATCTTGCCTGGCGACTCGCTAACTCTACTACTGGTCTACTTACAGGTACCGATATACTTTACCCTCCTCCTCCTCCTCCTTCCCCTCCTCTACAGAGTCTACACCTTCAATTTTACTCTTCTACGAACTACCTCCTATCTATAATTATCATTACCCTCTTTCGCCCCCCCTCTAATCTCCGAATATATTCTGGTCCAACAAGATCCCAGTCCCAAAGGTACTACTGTAAGTACACTTGCAGTCCTGTACCTTTACCTGTACCTAGCATTCCAGTGATCTTGAACCCAAGTCCCAAGTCGGCTTAAAGAGAAGAACAGGAGAGTAAAATTCATGAATTCTTGAGTACCTAGGTACAGGTAGGTATTTGAGAATGAAACAAAAAAAAATGTACAATTCCTTCCCTACAAAGCCATCACGCCCATAATCCCCGCTGCCATTCCAGCCAATCCCATAGCTACACCCGTAGGCATCGCAGCCCCGGCCTCGCTTGAAGAAGAAGAAGATCCTCGAGTCCCCGTAGCCGAAGCACCTATTTTTCCCGACTCAGTCATTACAGTCGACATGCGGCTCGACGAAACATCAGAAGAAGAAGAAGAAGAAGAAGGAACAAATGCAGAACTCGTGCCATTGCCAGTCATACCACTACCACCAGTAGCAGTAGCCGTAGCAGCAGGAGTAGTAGTAGTCATCAACGCACCAGTTCCAGCAGTAGACATGGTCCCCGTAGCATTCGCAAACGCAGGAATCAAATATGTTTGCACAGCTGTCGGCAGCGCCGTAAACCACGCAGGAGTTTCTCCTGCTGCGAATTCCGAAGCGAGTTGGGAGGAGACGCCGGCTGAGTTGGTGAGGGCTTCGTTGATGAGGGAGGAAGGAAGGGCGGTTTGGAGGACGGAGACGACGGAGAGGCTGTGTGTTTTGGGGGTAAGAGATGAAGTTAGTTTTGAGTTCTTGTTCTTTTTTCTTTTCTTGTTCCTTTTTTTCTTGCTGTGTGAAATGGGGAGGGGGAGGGGAGAAGAAGATGGGAAAGGAATTGAACGAACAGTTCGGCAGCGTCAGATGAACCGCTTGCTGTGGAATCTTCTTGTGCGTAGGCATATGCTACTGCAAGAGCCGCGAGGCTGAAGAGTTGGTATTGCATTTTGATGTCGATAAGACGGACCCGGGCGTAAAGAGGTGCAGGTAAGGTAGTTCTTGATTCCGAATGTAAAGAGCAAGGTAAGGTGCAAGTTCTCCCTTTGAGTAGCCCCAATTCTGTTACTTTGTATCTTGAAGATAGGTAGCAAGCAGTAAACAGTAGGTAGATAGTAGACAGTAGTAGTCGTAACGTCGTAGTTGTAGTTGTAGTCGTAGTCGTAGTCGAATTCAAAAGATCTTCACCAAGAAATAACGAATGAATAGATTAAAATCAACGAACGTTTGTATAAGATATTTCGATTGCAAGGGGGGAAAAGGAGGATGCTCTCTCAGATGAATTGAACATAGGAGTTACCTGCAGGCAACAATAATAATGAAGAGAGGTAAAGAGAGAAAAAGAAAACCTGAAGGATTGTCTCAATCACGAGTCAGGTCAGACAAGCTGAGTGCACCCGCCCGACGGACGCGGTGTTGTAGTGTTGTGAAACAGGCACACATACACACACCAAAAGACCCTTTTCTTCCCATAAATATCTTTTCATCGCTATTTCTGTTACAGGACAGGTGACTCCTCGTGCAAGCCACCAAATTATAAGGTAGGATTTGTGGGCTGAAAGGATGCGGACCCTGTTTGCTAGACGGGACGGGCACGGGACTACACTCCACGAAGGTACATTACCTTACTTGCATTGCATCTGCCTGTGTGCGTGCGTGCGTGCTCCATTCGTGGTCGTGGCATGTCGTGTCTGCTGGTATATAGTCTGTACCTAGGAGGTAGGAGGTGATAGGATAACGAAAATAATCATGTGCGTCGTCGTCGTCGTCGTCTTCGTCGTTGCTGTTGTTATTGTTAATTGCAGCATTTTTCTTCTTCTTCTCTTCTCTTTCTTCCAACCTCTCCTCTCCAGTGTCTAGTATATATCGAGCCACCTCATGCTACGGTCTTGTACTTCGCACATCCAGTCTGTTCTTGCTCCCGACTTGTTTTCCCCAGAAGAAAGAAGAAGGAAAAAAACAGCTGGGATGTTGTGTGAGACCGCGACGACGAAAACGAGCACATCATGTCGTGCCATCTTCGTCTTGTATAAAGACCACGAGTATGCTCTCTCTCTCTCTCGTAATTGCGGCTGAGGAATACTGGAATATCAAAGGTACTTTGTTGACGGTGCCACTCATGTACTCTGAGGCAGGTGAGATGTGAAGATGGACGCAGGGCCGCAGGCCTACTCCATCCATGTACTCCACGACACCATCCTTGCTCCCCTAGGACTAGGACCCCAGTGAATCTCCACAACTACCATGTACTCCGCTCCGTGCAACCGATACATAAGATAATTGTGAAATGGCTCGAGCTTCCACCCCCGAACACATGCATATTCTCTTTCAATATTGCTCCACAATCATCCGCATACTTCATTCTCTGTTGTTGTTATCTGTTGTACAAAAGAGCAGAAGTAGTAGTAGCAGTAGCGGCGGCAGCAGCAGCAGCAGCAGTACTAGCAGTGGTCGTGATCGTAGAGCTTCGGGAGCTGACACCCGTAGCTCTTCTCGCACTACGAATGACTTTGATACAGTTTCCAAATGCCACTACCACACTCTGGCAGTCGAGGGGATGGACTGGTCCAGCATTATGAACGTAGAGTGCATCTGTTTCTGGCGGCGGAAGCTCCAGAATTTGCAAATCGCCATCGATGGACAGCTTGTATGCTTCCCAGACTTGATCCTCGCCGGCATCCAGTTGTGCTGCACGTTGGCGGAGGTCGCGTCTTCTTTGCCGCAGCTGGGCAGGAGTTGCTTCCCTCCCATTGCTGCTTGCATATGTATCGATTTTGCCTGGTGCACCACCTTGCAGGGGTCGCTTGCGCAAGCCGATGATCACTTGGTCTTTTGCAGTCGTACTCCAAACGCCTGGTGAAGGTACCGAATATGTGTCGTAATTCTCGGGACTGAACGCGTGGCAAGACGCCGAGCGCTGCGCCAGGCAGATGCAAGGTTCGCCATCGTCGTCGTCGTCGTCATCATCATCGTCTTTGCGATTGATTGACCATGTTCTCACGATACATACATCTTCGCGATCCGGTCTGTCGCTGGCGATGGCGGCTCTACGCAAGGCAAGACTGCCACAAGCCGAACAAAGCCGTGAACTTCCCATCAGTAGCTTACCACCACTGCGAACTCCAACACACTCGCGGCTGGCCAGGCCTCTTTTCCCGTCTTTCTCTCCAGTCTCGAAGTCGAATTTGGCAATGGGCGCCAGCGTAAGACTATCAAGGAAAATGGCGGACGCGGAAGTGGTGACAACAATCAATTCAGTATCCAGGTCACGGTACGATTGGATCTCTACCTGTTCCGTGAGATGAGCGCCTAGGTGCCCTGTCTCCGTCTCGATCTGTAGTTGCGCAGTGTTGGTGACCGCCCAATTACTTCCCGTCCAAGTATAAGCTTTAATGTGTGCTTCCATTCCGACAATGTAGAGTTGACGACCTTGCAAAGTATCCACAATAGCAGCACCCATAAGCGGGAGATGTGATAGATCATTCCCCTGACTGAGACCAGTCTCGAAGCAGCTCATGGCGAGTCGTCCTCCTGACGTTAGGACAAGAAGGTGTAGCTTCATGCCGTCGCTGGATGGCAGAGACACAAATGTGAAGACTCGTGCTCCGTGGTCATCCGGGTACTGAGTGACATTCGACATGATGGAGCCATGAGTGAGATTGTACACAAGTATGCGGTCGTCGGAGCAGTGGCAGGCGATCCACTCTCCCGCGTCATCGATGGCAAGGTGTCGAATGGGCCACGAGATCTGCTGGAGCACATGAGCTGGCAGAGCAAAGGTTCGATAGGACTGCTGTGTCGTGTCGACGACCGTGACGGCAATCGTGCGATCGAGGGCCACTGTAATCACGTGACCGGTATCGCTCGTAGCCATCTTCACAATATCTAGCCTGTGCGGGAGGACGACCGTATCGCAGGTCAAGGTGTCCTCCATGGGCTCGAGAGCAAGATCGTGATCTTCGTCTCCGGCATTGTAGAGTAGGAAGTTCATGAGTAACATGACGAAAGCTACAGTGAAGATGATGGCCACAATGACCGGATAGAAGTGATGCACAGCAAAGCTGCGTAGTGTGTCTGTCCACGCCTGGCTGCCAACAGCAGTACGATCAGAGCCTCCCAGTACCACAATGAGAGGCGCGAAGAGACAAATCACGAAGCTGTCAGCACCAGGCTTCGCCAGTCGCATTACCTCCTTGGCCGTGTCGAAGTCCTGTAGCCTCATCCACTCCGTAGGTGTGAGACTGGCATTCATCGGCGGTGGTGCGAAAGTGTCTTCAGTGAGCGGACCGGAGCCACTCTTCATCAAATTGAGCACATCTCGAATGGTGGCACCAGCTCCTTTACGCTCGAAGAAGTGGTAATTGAGTGACAGGACGAATGTGGCCGTGACAGCTGTCCCTGCCATACGTGTACTGAATGGTAATCGTCCTTGGAACAGAGCATCCATCCAAGTATGGTGCGGTGTCGCCCGCGACTGCTTTTCACGTCGAGACTTGTGGTGCCGTGCTGCGATGGCATCTTGCAACTCCAGACGCCTGATGTCCACACTCAACACTGCGACAAAAAAGGTCAAAAGGAAAAAGGAATCGAAAAGGGTGGCGATCGCTGCAAAGGCACAAAAAGCGGCGACACCAGGAGACACGACTGTGGACAGCAAAGCCAGCACTGTCAAGTTCTGTGCAGCAGCAGCCACCGACACTGGTCCTATATCTCCCAGAGCGTTTGCAATTCGTAGTTCTGTAGCCATTGTCGGCGAGTAGGCGAGCACGGCATTAATCAGTCTGAAGATGTTCTCGACACCTAAGACCAGGACTACGAATGGATAAGCATTCTGTGGTATGGTACTGAGGTTGATCTGCAGGCGGAAGTTACAGCATCAGCGGGCGCAGAACACGCGACATGCGTTGACTTGATGTTCTTACCTTGAGAATGTGGCAGATAGTGAAACTGGACAGAATGGAGCAAGTCATCTGTGTGATGGCAGTTACCACAAGACCACCACGACTGTGAAAAGCTCTCAGTCTACGGAAGCTCAAGAGCACGTATATTGCCATGGCGGAGTATGCCACTGTCAGAGCGAGATGCGCCGAGATACTCAAGGGTGTGAAGCTGAACTCGTACACGCGGTTGCGTGTGACATTGCCGTCAGCTGGAAACAGAGTGCAGCCGGGACAAGCACCGTCAGCCAAGGTCTGCATCTTGTCATGCCATCTGTCGCCCATCGCACCACCACCTTTATTCATCAAAGTAATCACGAGAGCATCTGCTGCACGCAGCTTGTTCCTGTCGAACTCCTTGCCAGCGAAGACAGAAGCAGGTCGCAGTGCTACATCGAGTGACGAAGAGCTGTGCTTTTGGTCATTGATGGTGCTGAGAATATTCTGATCAGCATCAATCAGCTCGGCCGAGTTGTTCCAGTACATAAGCGGCGAATGAAACGCCCACGGAACGGCGCTGGACCGGAGCTTGTCGTCGAGGCTATGCATGGTGTCGCCGAGGGCCTCGTGACCAACGAGCCTCTGCTGCACGGCCAGACCACGCTTCAGGACATCTTTGGAGAGGGCGTTCATGTACGATCCATGCACCCAGATCTGCCTCAACTCGATATCGACGGCAGCCGACCCATTGGCGATTGGTCTGACGGTAGTCCAGGCATGGTGAGGGTAGGCAGCGAGGCCGGCAGTGGGGTTTTCCGCGAGAAAAATGGTGGGGTAGGAGAAACCCATGGCAATCGCCACAGTGACCAGCATGGCCATGAGCCAATGCTGAGAGGTGGTCTTGCCATGGCGGTAGAAGGCCCGTCGGACTGGATGACTTGGGGAGAGTCGAGGCGGCTGCGTGGTGCCTCTGAGAGGAGAGAGGAGATACCAGAGCATGAGCAAGAGGGACTAGGTGGTCGTCAATGGCCGCTGATTCAGCAGGACAACTGAAGTCAAAAGGGAGTGGACAGTCCCGTCTTCTGGAGCGCGATCTGTGTTATTCATTATTCGTTGTTCATTGTTCATTGCTGTCGATGTTCATTGCTGTCGATGTTATTGTGAGGAGCATGGAAGCAGACGAAAGGCGAAGCAGTAGTAGGAAGTTGGATCGACGGTGCCTTGGCGGTGCGGTGTTGGTTGTACTGTACCTAGAGACTAGAGGTAGGTGGTCGTGAAGCCACAAGCTCGGACGCGACCAGAGCGACGCCACAGTTGTCAACCATGCTAGGAGTGCTACCTCCTACGACTACCACTAGAACCAGCTTAGCGCAGCACCCATACAGCTTCCAGTAGGACAACGACGTCAAACGAGAGCTTCCACTGAGCTGCCTGCATTGAAGCTCATACTACCGGAGAGACTCTTCCCTCAGACACGCCTTCAATACTCCAGTCCAGACCAAACAATTCCAGCCCAGTCCAGTCCAGTGCAGCACCCTCGCCATGTCGATCGACCCGCCAGCGTACATCGTGTCGCTGCAGAACAACATCCGCGCGCGGCCCATCTCCTGGGAGGGCGCTGTGAGGGCCAAGACGATTACGGACGAGCAGCTCAAGAACATCAAGGCAATCGACAAGGTGCGCAAGGAACAGCGCAAGCAGACTATCGAGGGCGATGTGCAGACGTACACCGATTTGCTGCTCGGCAATGGCCAGACGAAGAGCATCTTCGAGAGCGCTGCCAAGCGGACCGACATTCTGCAGTACATGCTGGTCTTGACGGGCGACATTGTGGATGGTCAGTTGTTTCCTCCCGCCCGCTCGATGTGTGACTGACAAGTGTGATGGTGGTAGACATCCCCGTACTGACCGAGTCCCTCGCCAAACACGCACACCCATACAAGCCCCTCCTGCCGCTCCTCAAGCAGTCCAACAACCCCGAAGACCCCATCCCGCTGCTGACCTCCGCCGTACTCGCCTCTCTCATGTCCTTCGCCCTCATCGCACAGCCCAAGTCCACTCCCGACATGGACGAAGCACTTCCCACGCTGTACTCATACATTGCCGAGCTCGCAAAGGCCTCCGACTCGAATCTGCAGGACATTGCCGTGCAGCACTACAGCGCGCTGCTGCGCACCTCAAAGTCACGACAGCAGTTCTGGAAGCAACGGAAAGAGACTCTGGGACCGTTAATGGAAGTGCTGCACAGTGCGACTGGCGGGAAGGACTCGGACAGCACAATGTACAATGGCGGATCGACGGCTGCCAGCATACGCAGCATGCCCGAGTCGATCAAAATCAGTGGAGTTGGTCTCCAACTCTTATACCACATTCTCATGGTGATCTGGCAGTTGTCCTTTGAGGGTGCGCTCGTGGGACCAGGACTGGACGAGGAGCATGACATCGTGCCCCTCTACACTCAACTCTTGCGCATCTCGCCCAAGGAGAAGACGACTCGCTTACTATTGGGCACGCTCAACAACCTCCTGTCTTCCAACAAGTCCACACTGATGCCCGCAGCGCTACCGGCGCGACTACCGGCAGTGCTCACAAATCTGAAAGGACGACATCTGACAGACGAAGACTTACTGGAAGATCTGGAGAGCTTGAAAGTCATGGTCGAGGAATACACGAAAACGCAGACCACATTTGACGAGTATGCAGCAGAAGTCCACTCTGGTCACCTGCGATGGTCACCACCACACAAGAACGAGGCGTTCTGGCGCGAAAATGCACAGCGGATCATCGACGAGGAAAAAGGCGCGATATGTAAGAAGCTGGCGGAGATCATGGGTAAGGATTGGGCAAACGACAAACAGGTGCTTGCTATCGGATGCAGCGATGTCGCCAATCTAGTAAAAGTATGTCCGGAGAAGAGAGCACAGCTGGAGAAGTTTGGGCTCAAAACGAGGGTCATGAGCTTGATGCAAGATGAGAGTGAGACGGTGAGGTGGGAGAGTCTGCGAGCGGTGGGTGAGTGGTTGAGGTATAGCTTTGACAGTAAGTGAAATAGACTCAAGGCACAGAGACAGCTAATTCACTGTAACATATGGCAACGAGACTGCGCGTCCCCGAATGATGATGTCCTTACTACTGGACTTGATTTGAGATGTAATGCGAACGAATGATTGCCGAGCGAGTTCTGCACATGTCAAGTACATGTAGTGATGATGATGATGACGATGAAGATGAAGATGGTCCGCGTCGAAGCGGGACTTGCGTGGCAGCGTGGAGTGCACTTGATACCGCAGACAGGTCTCAGGTTGTCGCGAATGCTGCCGCACTCGCATCATGCAGCACCGCGTGCGTGTGTTCACCAACTCACCAATTCAACAAGAACGGTGCCCAGATGTGCCCAGACTTTTGCCTCTACTCATGACTGCTATCATTCTACGAGAACATACGGAAGCCCACCTCAATAATAGCAACGCTGGAGCCGGAGGGTGGAGTGTGGGAATGGAGTTCAGTTATAAAAATGGTGTTAAATGCATCGCAGGGTCCATCGAGAACTAGCCCGGTGAAGTCTACAACTAACTATAGAATTCTAGTTCGAATTTGACTCCCGAGGTTCGCCGCCCCGTCTAGCCATCCCCGTCAGGCACGCAATGGAACTTTGAAACCGACTTGGTCGACTCCCTCTTCTTCTCCTCACGAGCTGAAACGGCGCCTTTATTCAGCACTGCATAACACTACCTGGTACCGTCGTGGAGTGTGGCTGCCATGGGCATTACGCGGATGTATACGACCAGCGGCAGAGCCAACGTCGTGGTTTGCGATCGCCAACAGCATGCAGCGCCGTTATGCGCGTCTTAACCATCGGCAACAGGATGGCAACGCCCTTCTCTGGTACCTCCTAGTGGCAGTCTGCTCTGCTGAAACCTGTACACAAGTGACGTTGATCTCGCAGGAGGCATGTGTCAGAGCGTGCGGCACATGGACCACATCTCTTATTGGGCGCACCTTTTGCTGCGCGCAAATGAGAGGAGCAGTCATGATCGCGTGCCTGGACCACCCGCCCATGTCATCGAGCGTGATAGTGGAAGGCCTCTAACACTGGCAATCTGGGGACGTGTGCTGGAGTATAATGGCGAAAGGGCCGCCATTCTCTGGTTTGCGAACTTTTGGCCCTACCACCTACCTAATGCACGCGCCCTAACGACACCCGACCTCTACACACTCATTCGTCGTGGCAGACAGATCTAGCCATGCGCTGCCAAGCAGCCAAAACTACAGACCTAATAATCTTAATAATACTATGGACGACACCGATCGCCGCACGATGCCGACATCTCGCACGAAGAGCGCCTGCGCCGTGGGAAGGAGAAGACTTGTGGGACGGGGGCATGCAGCAGAATCGTATCGACGGTGTGATCCAGGCCGCCCAGTCCCTCATCAACGAGGCCTATCCAGACGGAGTACCGAGTGGAGTCAACATTCAAACTGCGGCATGGCCGAGCTCCTTCGAAATAGGCGGCACGACTTATACCGGAGTTCCCACCCCGACAGCGGCGCCAACATCGACAGTCTGGTGGACCCCGTCTTCTTCGACTTCTCTACCGAGTTCAACGACCTTGACAACCATGTCCACTTCGATGTCATCGACGAGCACCACATCCCTCTCGACGACGACGACATCTTCCTCATCTACTAGCAGCACAAGCTCATCCACATCGACCACCAAGACTCGAACATCTTCATCAACACCGACGGCGACAAGTTACGATGTCAAGGCCAAACGCGGCAAAAATGATGGCGATTGGAAAGTCGCCATTTCCTTGGGTGTGATTATCATTTCCGCAGCAGTAGCCGTGGCGGCAGCGATATTCTTTGCATTGTGGCGGAGAAAGAAGCATACAGGCTCGTACTTCAAGGCTGTGCGAGACGCTGAAATGGCATCGACTGCAGCTTCATCGTCATTGTGGGGAGGGGCTGGAAGCGTCATGTCAGGCAGAACAGAGCGTACCGGCGGGGCAGGTGGTTCACGAAGCTGGTTTGGTGGACCGCCTAAAAACAACACCATGAGGACCAACTTTCCAGATTTTGCGCACAGTGCGGAAAAGCTGGCCAGATCCGTCTCGGCGCGCCAGGCATGCATCACAGAGAGAGAAGTACCCGTGGTTCCACTGAGCGGCGTCGTGAGGAAACGCGGTCACTCCCGGCTACAAAAGTCGAATTCAACTAATTCCATGTCCATGTCCAATTCCTCTGGTTCTACACGAAGGGGTGTCCCTGAATTCGTCGACGACAATGGAATGGCACAGTCACATGAGTTGATGGGCGACGATCTGCCAGTGATCAATGAATTGGACGCTGAATCGCCTGCACGGGCAGCGTCCAGCCTGCGGAGGCTTTCTAGCTTTCCATTCGTACTTGGATCTGATATATCAGCTAGACCTAGCGCCGATGCAGATTACACGGCCCTGATATCTTCGAGATCGAGCAGTGACACAACCAAAGCACCAGCATCTGAGCTCGATGCAGAAGAGACAAGTCGGCGACCACAACATCACAGGTTAAGACCGTTGTCCTGCAATCCTATCATTGTGGCCGATGTAGTGTCGAGATCGAATAGCGACAATTCGAAACCTTCCGAGATGGACGGCGAGTCGCCTACAAGGAGGGCATCGACCTGGCGGGAGCTGCAGCGGTCCACCTTCACTGTGAATGACTTGACTGCTGAGATAGAGAAGTTCAATGCTCTGCCAGACTCCGTCGAGACTGGTTCAAGCACCGACGTGACTTCTCCCATCTCTGCTCCGGCTCGAGATGTGCCTGGGCCCATGACGAGCCCGACATCAACACTCGCATTCTCGGAGCTCCCTGGCAGCTCAGTAGATGACGACAGCGACTCCCCGACAGCACCTACCTCTCCCAATGGGTCCTCTTCATCCCGCGACTCCGGACCCATCGGCTTCGTCTCATCTTCAAAACCTGTCTCTCCATTGCCAGCAATCAAGACAACAGAACTATATCTTCCCCCACGACCTCCCATGCCGGTCTACAACAGGGAGCACACCGCGTCCATCTCACCTGCCTCACTCTCATCTCACACCCCCCATTCGACGTTCCGCCATGTTTCTCCACTTCCCGGCGGCGTGAGCGATCGCGAATACGTCCTTAACCGAGCCCGCTACCAGAGCCCCAAAGCTTCACCAAAAAGTTCCTTTGACGTCTCACCAACATCACCCTTACCTACCACTCCTTCTTTCTCTTCCTCTTCATCCAAAAAGCCCGGTTGGGCTCCGGCAGGCGCCTACTCCAGCGCACCTATATGGCGGAAAAAGCGACCTGCGCCAATCATCGATCCTTCCTTCTTGAGTCCCATGGCTAGTCCCGCTCCGACTTCTTTCGAGGAATATCAAGCAGCTAATGGTGGTGGCGCCGCAGCCGCCAAAGGGTTGGGTCTGGCTTCCAATAATCCTTACAAGTCGCTGGCGACTGATAAGAGGAAAAGCTCCGCCAGGTCGCAGCCTTGGACGCCAGACTGGGTACCGGAGAGTTTGAGAGCGGGAAGACAAAGTAGCATTCGAGATGAAGAGAAGAAGGAGGGCGAAGATCACGAGGAAGACGGCGACGACGATGACAATGCTGATAGCGTCATGGGTAGTGTTGGGAAGAAGCAGAGAACATATTCGGCCTATTCACCCAGTCATGGTCAGAATGGAACTTCAGGAGGAGGAGCAGAAGGAGATCGAGCGGTGGGACTAGGTGTCTCCAAAGGCCCTGTCCACTATCCCAGTTGGGCATCCATCCAAGGATTCGATTTCGATGACAAACGCGAGAGTGCCCGAGTCGAGGATGACGGTGGTTGGAAGAGAGGAAGTGAAGTCGAAGGAAAGTACGACCTCATGTCGTAAGAGAAAAAAAAAAGAGAAGAAAAAGAAAAAAGACAAAGGCAAGGCAATTACACACCTGTGCGATGTGTGTGTGAGAGAGAGGTGTATTGTAGTATAGTGTGGAGTGATGCGTGTTGAATTTCTGTAACATAGTATGAATTGATGTGATGGATGTGTGGGAACGGATTGGATTTTGAGCTAGCGAGCGAGCGGGCGAGTAGGTGAAGTGAGTGGAGTGGAATGGTCAGTCAGTCAGTCAGTCAATCCGTTGTGAAAAGTGTCAACTAAAGCAAAGCAAAGCTTTTTTTTGGGTTTTTATATATGGCGGGAGCATAAATTTTATATGGCGGGAGGCCTCTTAGGGTTAACCCTAAATTCTAGGCCTCAGGCATTTCCACACAATACTAATAGCACTTCCTCTATCCAAACACATATATACGTACGCGCGCGGTCGCAGTATATAGTATAGCATACTACCGATATTACGAACGCAGCGATACATTACGAACGCGGCGACGTAGTACGGACGCAGCGACGTATTACGGACGCGGCGACGCATTACGGACGCGGCGACGCATTACGGACGCGGCGACGCATTACGGACGCGGCGACGCATTACGAGACAGACGCGAGATTAGCTAATAGGGAGGTAGAGAGATACTATTGATTGTAGTAGGTAATAGAGCGCGTTTTCAGCGTAGAACAGACATGTTAAGAAAATTCTTCGCAAGCGGAGAAGTATACCTGAGACCTTATTGCCTGAGGCATTTAGGGTTAACCCTAAGAGGCCTCCCGCCATATAAAAAAAAGCCTCCCGCCATATATAAAAACCCTTTTTTTTCCTATGTATAAAAAAGAAAAAGAAAAAGAAAGACAACATACAACAACATATGTATATGTATATTCTCCTATATACCCCATATACTACTTACCTTACTGTACAAGACATTTTCTATTAGCAATAATACGATACTGCGAAACTTCTTCTTCGATTTCTATTGTATATAAAATTCATACAGCAGAGAGAGATAGGCAAGATCTTTCTCTCTCCCTTCTCCCTTCTTCCATCGTATCATCACTTCACGTACAAACAGGACATAACTCCTACTACCCTCCAATTCCTACCCTCACTACAAAAAGAAGAACGCAATAGATCAAGAAAAATTCTACCCAATTTTTTATTTTTCCCAAATTCTTTCCTAGGGGGGTTTTCTTGTTCATTTTATCATCTCGCAAAGCTAAGGTGTCTAGCTTAAGCTAGGTATCTAGGTAGTCAGTCAGTCTCGAGTCTAGCTAGCTCGCCATCGAAAAGACTTTATTACGAGGTGGACTCAAGGATCGGCACAGCTGCTCTCTCTCTCTCTCTCTCTCTCTCCTCTATTCGGGAGAAGGACGTTGTTTTTGCATGTTACAGACTATAGACAGACTGTATGCATACTACACGGTGGGGCTGATCTCCCCGTCTAACCCTCTCTCGCTCTCCCTCTCTCTCTCTCCAATTTGGTGAAAAAGGTTCATTCATTCTTCGATATCCCTTGACTTGACCGTAGAACTTTGGATCTGGCTCGAGTCGGATTGGAAAAAAGACGTGCTTTCGATAGGTTAGCTAAGAGAAGAGTTTTTTCTTGAAAGGAAAACACATGAAAGATATTGTGTATTATCTTACTGTACTGCGTATCTCATTTCAACGGCAGCATTTTGCTGTTGTCCCTGCTACCTTTCCCTGCGCAAGGCATAGCCCCCATTTTTAATTGAAGCTTGCGCTGAGTAGACAAGCTCGTTCCTGGCAGCTGTATCAGTGGTCGTTCTGTGACATTTCCAGCGCCGTGCGTCTGGGCCGAATCACTCACTACTCACGTCGTCGCATGCATAGCTTTTGCTCACAAACTGCTCTCTCTCTCTCTCTCTGTGTGTGTGTGTCTCTCTTTCTTTTCCCTCTCATTCCCATCCTCACCTTCCCATCCCACCAGGCGCCAAGCCAGGCACACCACTAAACCTCTCCTCACGCTCCGTCTTGAAGTTAATCTGCACCCAAAACTGCTTACTATCCTGGTCCCACCACGTCCAATACTTCTCCTCTCGCCGATCAATATCGCGCGCCTGAATTTTGAATCCACAGATATCGTACGGCTCAGCAGCCACAAGGAGATACTGAAACGCCTTGTCCGGAGGATCATCCACTTTCTGCTCGTACGCGCTCATGAATCGCACTCGAGGCTCCACGCCTTGGCCGATTTCGGGCAACTGCAGGGAGAAGAGCAGACCTTCCTGTCGCGTGATGGGGTCGCGAGTTTTCTTGATGCTGTATCCTGGTCGTCCAATCTTGACGACGTTTCTCTTGATCTGGATCGAATTGGCGCCGGTGTATCCATCATCCGCGTTCTTCTTGCCCATTTGCGACTCTTTGGCGGCGCGACGGGCGAGATTGGTTTGATGCTTGCGGCCCTGGGTGTGAGCCAGGTAGGAGCCATCGTTTTGATGGACGGTGAGGCAGAGACGACATTCGAAGGAGCCGACGTGGTTTTTGAAGAAGTACGGGTCTTTGTCGAGGTCGATGGTCTCCAGGGCGAGCTTTCGCAGACGTTCACGTCGGTCGGCGTTGGTGGCGCTCTGAGAGGCGACGCCACCACCTCCGAACTTGGAGCCGGCGCGGTTTTGGTAATCCATTGCGGTGTGCGGTGTGGATTGTTTTGCTGATCTGGTGGTGAAGCAGTAGAAGAAGGGCGAGGTGATGGATGGAAGTGAGGCATGTGAGATGTGAGTTTATTTAGAGTTTTGTCTGAGCCTCGATAGGGACTAGCCCCGTATTTAGTATTATTCGCTATTGGTTACGAACATCTAGTGATGATTGACATAATACATTATGATTCTTCCCGGCGCCCGCGCATCAACAGTCAACACCACAAGTTACAACATAACGAGTGCTTTCCCCTTTTCCATGGCCTCCCCCAGCTACATATGCACAGGTAGCATCGATGAGCATCTTTCCGCCATTTTCCTTTCCTCGTCTCTCGTGATCTCAGCATACAAGTCCGAAAAGTCCTTCGCCATGGAGTCGGGGTCGTCGGACGTGTTTCTCTTGTCTGTCTCGGCCAATATCGTGGCATTCTGCATCATCTTCCATGTATCGAAGAGCCTCCGCCAATAGGCCTCCAGAGCTTCATTCCACTCCGGTCCCATCTTTGTCGGCTGTTTTCGCTTCACATGGCGCGGACTGTACATCGTTCCGAACTCGTGAACATAATAGTTAAAGGAACGCATGTCTTTCTCCCATTCAAACCCCACTACAGATCGACCATAAGGTGAAGGAGATATCTCGTACTAATATGGTGCCTTCTTCTTCTTATGTGGATTCTGCTCAATCGGTGTAAGCAGCGATCCGCTACGTCCCCGAGGATGACATTTCCAGTACTGATCAATGGCGATATACCACTGGGTGCCGGATATTGAAGGGTCGGTACCCTCAACATAGCGCGGGCGATCATTGCTGCCGAAAGAGACGCAATATTCTAGCGTTCGGTGACGATCCTTTCGGAAGCGCGCGTCGTGGACTTTGAACATCGGATTCGGTTTCACTCCAGGGCCACGAAGGCGGAGGGTTGGAGAAGCCTTCGTAGAGCCCTCCTGCAATGCACCCGAGCTTTGCTGACCAGTCTGGACCGACGCCATGAGAGCAGCTGCTAAGTCACGATCCTCTTGTTCCTGTGAACTCGGTGCCAGATCCCTAGAGAAGCGATAATGCCGTTCGGATTCAGACACAGTCTGACTCGACCTATGCGCCTCGTCCTCGGTCTCTTCATCCCTTTGCTGCTCGTGATGCTCTTCTTGTTCCCCAGGCGGACCGAAGCCACGACGTGCGTACCCAGATCGAAGTAGCGCCTTCATTCGTGAGGCCTCGGCCATAGCCCTTCGCCAATCGTTCTGAGATCTGTCCAGCGAGTCTTGGAGACTCCCGTCCGGTTTCGAAGCTTTTGGCCATCGACGTTTCTCAACTTCCACGCTTTCTCGATGGGAGCTCTCCTCGTAATTCTCCTTGTCTTCATCATCGTAGACATCATCCCGCCGCACCTCGTTCCTGAGAGGGCTTGGTCGAGTAGCAGCTGCCTCATATTTCCTCTTCAACATCTTCAACTTGGGCGACCCACGCTCATATTGCTCCTCCATCTTCCCGAGTGCATCAATGTATTCCCCTGTGCGAGCAGCGATTGCCTTACTTTGGCTCTGCGGTGTTGTATCTTGTCGAGCAGTAGTCGCAGAATGGGCATGTCTTTGTTGTAGAACATTGTCCATCTTGCTGCTGAGGGCAGCGAGCCTCGCCTCATTCATCTTGTCTAGCTTTGCGTCTTCGTCTCTCTCTGCTTGTGTGGGTCGCCCACATTGCTCCTCCATCTTCCCGAGTGCATCGATGTATTCCCCTGTACGAGCAGCGATTGCCTTACTTTGGCTCCGCGGTGTTGTATCTTGTCGAGCAGTAGTCGCAGAATGGACATGTCTTTCTTGTAGAAAATTGTCCATCTTACGGCAGAGGGCAGCGAGCCTCACCTCATTCATCTTATCTAGCTTTGCGTCTTCGTCTCTCTCTGCTTGTCCTGCCATCTCCTCTTCATCCTCGTCATCTTCATCCTCGAACTTCAGCGCTCGACCAATTAGGACTGGAAATTTGGGATCTGGCCGTGGATTGCACTCCCTCAACTGGTCGACTTGTTCGTGCTTGCTCATGGCAAATTCCCCATCATAAGTACCAGACCCATCCCACCAGACATCTTTTCGCGGCGATGGCTGGCCTTCGGTACGTTCTGACTCCATTTGTTGGATCAGACTCTTGGTAGCGCTCTGCTCGTGGTCGTGCCATATATCACCGCTTCCGTAAGCTTGATGTCTTCGGTAGTTTGGGTTGCCTGCCTTTCGTGACTTCAATGCGCGCGGATCGTCCGTGGTATCTGGCACATACGCGCTCATGCCGCGTCTTGGATGATCGGGGGTGAGCGCACGCAATTCCTCGATAGGCGTCATCGCACGAGGTTTGGAGGAAGCCGGTGTGCCATCGCGTGACGGGCTTGGTGCTGGCCTCGCGTGCGGAGGAGCAGTTGCTGAAGACCGATATGTTGCTTCTATCGATGGGACTACCGTTCCGCTGCTTCGACCTGGGCTTCGACCTGGGCTTCGACTTCGAGACTCGGTCGTTGATGACGACGAATTCACAGTATCGCGTCTGGCAAGAGGTCCTGACGACATTGGAGGTTGAGATTTGGCGCTGCTGGCGTGATATTGAATCGGTGGCTCGTCAGAAGGAAACTCTCTAGCTTTCTTTCGCCGCTCCATGACCAAGCCGTAGTCCAGCTGCGGCTTTCCTGGTCGCCTGAGATCCTCTGAGTCAGGAATTATCGTTTCTCTGAGCTCTGCTATGTATTTGCCAACCTGGTGCAGTTGCTTCCTCATCTCTTTTTTGGCATTGTGATTGGTCTCTGCCTGCCACATGGGCAATAGCAAGGCAAAGGATTCCCTGTAGAGGTCATAGGCGAAGGCGTATTCACCCCTCTTGTCCCATTGATGAGCTTCGTGGAGAGCATCATCTGCCATTGCTAGCCTCTCATCTTTTTCCAGGATTGAAGGAACCTTGACTCGCATGAAGGGCGGAGAGGCTTTCGCCCCAGACTGCGGTTCTACTGGCGCTGTCGAAGGGGTTGCTGTTGAAAGGATTGCTGACTGAGGTCGGGGTGGGGGCGGTGGCTCACGATTCTGACGCTCTATCCGTTTTGCTTCCAGGAACTGGACTGCCTGCGAACGCTGCTTAGCATCTTGCTCTTTCACGCGCACCGCCATGGAGTCTCCATCACTCGGGCGTCGGGCATCGTCCTCGCTGCTTGGAGGCTGTAGATCAGCGCCTGGGGCTGGCACGGCGACCTCGACATGTTCTGTGTGCATTTCCTGGCATGGATCAGACGCCATGGCTGGTGTGTGCGCAGGATGCGAGTCCGCGAAGAAGTCTGTCGAAAGCGAAGGCGTCAGTGGAGAAGAAGTTGGTTCTCCTAGGGCGGAGTCACGTCGGGGGATGTCTCCAGCACTTTGCGGCAAGTTTCCTGGAACGAATGACGGGCTTTCTTCGATGGACTCCTCTTGTGAGAGCTTGAACGCCAAAGACGATGAGCGTCGCAACGCCCTCTTGAACCTCGTGGGATCCACGTAACACCATGCGGTGTCATCTTCATCATCGCGGATCTCATCGAAGGAATCAGGGATTGGGGCATCCTCTTCGTAGAGATCTACCGAATGTCTGCGTTCGGCAGCTGCCTCCACCTCATCATCTACACTCTCGTCGGAGGCCTGATCATCTTCGACGTCGTCATCGTCCTCAATGTACTCAAATGGGAGGCCGACATTGCTGTCTCTGAGAGGCGGGAGAAAGTTCCCCGTTCGCACTGCTTCCACCGCGGCTTCGACCGTCTCGGAATTCATGCTCAACGTCTGCATGTTTGCCTCGATCATGCTGGGCTATGGATGCTCAGAGAGCGGGAAATACAGGTAGGTAGTGAGTGAATGTACGCAGCGATACGAATCTATGTGATGAATGATAACCTGATAAATGGACGTTGTCAATGTCAACAGGAAGCATGAGTGAGGGTCGAAAGGAGTCAGGGACTAAAGTAAAGTAAAGTAGGTAACTTAGCCTTGGGGGCCACGATTGCTTCATCTTCAGCTGCAGCAGGTACCATGACAATGAACGCACTGGCAAGTGAATCACGAACAGAGTGCGGGAAGGCACAAAACATGGGCAATGGCGCCGGCTACTTCACGTAACACTATCTCGCCACCGATCCAAGACGCCTTTGCCTTGAAAGGACTTTTCTTCACTTTGCCATGCTTGTCTCTCCATATGCCGTCGAGCATTCCAGGCGCGAATGAACTTCCAGATCTCGGTATCCGCCAGATTCCAGGCTTCAATCGTCTCCTTATTCACGACTGCCGTCTCCGCCCCTCGCTTCTCGCCACTCTTGAGCTGCATCCTGCTCGACTCCAGCAGCTTGAATTCGCGCTTCAGATCCTCTTCTGTTGGGATCGGCCCGTCGCCATATTCTGGCTTGGGTGCAGGCGGACGCCTCTCCGGGCCAGGAACAGGTGTCTCGCTTTTCCCGTCTGGGAGGGGGTCGCGTGGTAACTGGAAGCCAAATATCCAGTCCAGCTCATCGCGATCCTCTTCGTTATCCTTAGTGGGCGGATCCTCCGCAGACAACCACAAGGATCGAAAGCTTCCAATGTCAGACGCCACAGCAGTCTTCATGACCGGCAGGCGTTCAAATGAAGATATACCCGTGCCGAGCAACAGCTTGGTAGCCGCCAGAATCCATATATCTCGCGATGTGCTGCGTCTGATGCTCGACACGTTCCAGTCATCGTTTTGCTTGACCAGACTTTGAATGGTCAGCGGATGAGGGACGGTGCCGATCTGAAAGCGGTCACTCTCATTTCGAAAGTATTTATCAGCGGTAATCGGAACATTATTGGACACACAAGGTTTACATCTCGGCCGATTGGGAGGGCAAGACGCGGGTATGGGCGAGTCGGCGCACTGAGAGAGGTTGCGCGCGATGTCGATGGCAGGCTCCATGATGGCGGAAGTGTGCTCTGGCAACGGCTTGACCACGGATATGCCTCTGGCGAAGATGTTCTGCCACGTCAAGTGGAGATGGCTGTTGATCAGCGCAGGTAGCATAGCCAGCCCGTCTCCAATCGTCTTTGGATCCAGAAGCTTTACTTGTATAGCCTCATACTTTTCAGTGATGGTCCTGTTGCTGTAAAAGGCAATGCCATCGTGCTGAGGATCGACCTTCATCATGTCGTCGGGAAGCGCCTCATTGATGAACTTGACCCTCTTGATGGCCGACGAGCGAAGGGCCTCTTTCAGAGCAGCATCGATGTCATCATGGCTGCCGACGAACAAGCCGTTGTCGAGGCCTTCGTAACGTATGAGCTCTGGGTACTCTCCGCGGCGCAAGAACGATAGCAGAGGGTCATCATAGGCGGCCATGGGCACCGCCATGAAGTTGGTCAGAATGCCACCACGCATGCTGCCCCAAGCGAGCCACCGCATCAGCTCATGCTCGAAGGACTTTTGCAACTGCAAGCCCTGCATGGTGCGGAACAGCGGATTATGCATTGCCTCAGACCTGCTCAGCACGATCGGACGGAAGCCCTTTGCCCACCATGCCTTGCGCCAAATCTGTAGCAACTGCTGCTCCGCCTTCTTGCTCTTCTCGTCTTTCCTGCGCGCGCTCGCATCGTAGTACGTGTATACCGGCGGTCGGTCCTGCAAAGGCGGCAGTACGGTGCGCTCCTCATCGTGCACCACGCTGCTGCTGAAGGGGTTCTTCCACTTCCAGTCGCTATACCATTTCGTGTCACCACTGCTGCTATTGGCCTGCTCTGGCGGGGGCTCATGAGCTGGAGTCCCCAGCAAGGGAATGTGGTCGACAATGTGCTGGGATTCCACCACTGCCTTGTGCACGCTCTCTTCCAGCCGGGGCCCATATGGCAGTTTCTGTACTAGACCATCGTAGTCGTCTGTGTTCGAGTTTCCCAAGAGGAAGATGATGCACAGCACGAGAGCCACTGTGAGAGTTCCGACAATCTGCAGCCGCCGAGGGAGAAGGGAGCACGGGTTTCGCGGTGCCATACTGGCTGGTGGCGGTGGAGTCTCGCCGTCGCCGTGGCAGAGAAGAAGCTGGGGGAGGAGTCGGCGCCGACCAGCAGCGGAAGAGGGTGTTCAGGCGCACATTCGAGAGTGGCTGTGATGAAGATGAATCGACGACTCGAAGACGCGCGTCCTGTAGAGTGCTGTAGTAAGGTTGTGAATTACTCGTTTTGTCTTTCGACACAGATCCGATGCTGTGCACTAGGTCGTGCTATGGGGTCTCAATGAAAGCAGCAAATATATGAGTACAAGAAGGGAACGAAGGCGCCGGGAAGAAGCAGATGAGAGAGAGGTAGGTAGTGAGACCGACGTAATCCGACACAGAGACAGAGGCAGAATATGGGGGAAAGCACACACACAGCAGCACCACGCTCATATGTCGCACAAGCAAAGTAGGTACATGCAGCAGTCGGAGGTCCCTATTAGCTTTTCCTTTCCTCCCGCCAACCGCCAAACCGCTGTGCTAAATTGTGCTTGGTACAGGTACCTACTAGCAGCTAAGGAGTTCCCCGTCCCGCGCAGCAGGGCAGGCTGTGAGCAGTGAGCACTCCCAAGCACTCCAAAAGACTTGGCATTTTATTCACGAACAATGCGCGTCCGCCGCGTCGGTCTCGCCTCGCCTCTCGTTCGCCAATCTCGATTCTCGCCTGTGAATCGCCTCGCTCCCTGTCTCTCTCCCTGTCTCCCTCCCTTTCTCCCTGTCTCCCTGCCCCTGCCCCTTCTCCCCCCCGCCCCGGTCATAGCTCCGAGACAATCTATAAAACCCTACATCAACCGCAGCGGCAGACTCGCCTGATCAAGACTATTACAGAACAACGACATCACACCTCAACTGACGCACAAGCAATCTACTTCCATGCAATCACAAGCCATCCTGCATGGGTCCTCTGCATGCGAGAACGGGTAACGACAGCAGCATGTGAGAGAGAGTGTATGAGAGAGACAGACAGAGTGAGTGAGAGAGAAGAGAGAAGCAGAGAAGCAGAGAGAAGCAGAGAGGCAATCAGAGAGGGAAGCAGAGAGGGAAGCAGACCGGATAGCACGATAGCACAGTCGCAAGCATACAGGTACCTAGGGAAAAAAAACGGAACCGAAAAATACCTACAGGTACCTACTAGACGGAGTTCACGGAGCAGGTATAAACCAATAACTTCTCCACCCCTCACGTCGAAATGATGGCTCCCCACTCTCCTCGCACGGCAGCAACAACCAACTCAAGCGCAATCCACAACATCATCAACAACAACAATAACAACAATATGGGCATTCGATCAACAACAACAACCACCACCACAAGAGGAATGACCCGAAGCCCAACTCCCGAATCCATCGAATCTCTCCGTCGAAGAAGTGAAGCAGCAGACATTCTAGAAAGCTACGAGAAACTTTCCTGGTACGCAGCTGCGAGATGTGAGGTATGTTCAATTCAACATCGTTACCTCGCTCTGCTTCGTTCATCAGTATCCTCCTCCTCCTCCTCCTCAGAAAGAAGAAAAAATATGTGATATTCATCTTTTTTTTTCCCAGACCATCACCCAAACACGGATCCATTTCAAATGCATCCTCTCAGGCATCACCGCGGCGCAAGAACAGGAGACAGTATTTTGGAAAGAAGATTTCACCCCTCGTCCTACAAAGCCCAATTTGCAGGGGAGTAGCAGCAACAGCAGTCGAAAGGCAGGAAAGGACCGAGTGGTGAGTGATGGGTCTGCGAGTGGAGTCGTAGATCGAAGGGAAAGGGAGAAGTGTGTCGTTGGGGAGAATCATTCTCCGAAACCGCATCGCAAGGGAAAGGAGAAAGCCGTAGGCGGAGGTTCTGCGACGATGTGAGTGAGGAAAGGGAAAGGAGAGGAGAAAGGCGGTGGTCAGTAAAGCGTCATGTATACAAAACAAATTACCCTGTAATAATTTTATCAAGACCTGAACCGCACGACAATTAGGAACTGAATTTATATATACTTAGCTAGTACTATTGGCCAATCTCTGGTTATCCCCGTTACATCTAACACTCGAGGCAGTAGCTATTTTAGGGATATAGATTGCCAAGTCGTAAGCACTATCAGGTAAGTACTAACTATCCCCTACTTATCTACGTTATATCTATACTTAAAGGCTGTAGCTACTAGAATCATATATCTTCTGTATATTCCTCTTCCTTCCCGTTATTCTAATTCATCTCTTCGTCTTTCCTTTCTTTTTCTCTACCAATTCTATCGAGTCTTAGCCCTATTACTAGAAAATCCTCGTCTACTACGGGATGTATTTTGTAAGACGCGTACAAGATGCTTGATATGCTTACCAGAGGGGATGTCGTCGAACCCGAATTCGGGCTCTTCTAGGTAAATCTGGTATATAAAACCGATCGATACCGCTAAAGTCGTCTGCTGTACCTTGTTTAGGCTGCAGGCGCTATATAGCAGCACAAGTGTCGCCAAGGCTGAAGTAGGTAGCACAGGTTCGCTCGAGTACGAGATCGGTATCCTTTTAGTACTTGCCTTGGCGCGGTCAGCTTCTTTGGCCTTCCCCTCTCTGTTTTCTCTATCATTGTCATCGTCGGCGAGCTGCGCAAATGACTGAGTGCGTACCTGAGCGTGTCCGGAAACAGCACTATAAGCGCCAGTAGTAAATTGGATATCGAGGCTCTTATAGTCCCGCTCTAGACAACTAGAGAAGATCTCAACCGTAACCTAACGCTTGCCTATTTTCTCTACTTTGTGGTCAGCTGCAGATTTGCCTTCGCCCTCGTTGCCTGTGCCCTGGTCGAGGAACGCGCTGATATCGTCGTCGATTAGAGTCTCGGCATCATTCATGAGTTTTCTCCTTATCATCATCGCCGAGTACAAGCCCCTGGCCAAAGACCACGTCATGGAGAGCGACCTTTCTCAAGCGTCTCGACTCTCCTGAATGCTGATCATGCACATCTGCTTAGAACGGCTGTTGAGCCCAGCTGGAGCCTACAGAGATGGCTCCTTTCTCGGTCCTGCCTTCTCCTGGCTCGCTCTCCTCATCTCCGTCGTCGTCCCCCTCCTCTTTCGGCATGGTCTTGGCCTTCTTCTTGTCCTTGGCACTCTGTTCCTTCCTAGTGGAATGTGAGCACGTACTTCGAGACTCGACGTGCGAGGGGCACGAACCACACTGTCGCAACATCCAGGTCGTAGGTCGCTTTGTTAGTTTCGGTCTTGCAGTTGATCGCGCGCACATGGCGGCGCAGGAACCACGCATACTTCCATGCTGTGAGGGTCTTGGCGCCGGTGCAAAAGTTGCATCGGATCTCACATGGTTATATGATGAGTGTGTGCCGGAGGTCGGCCATGGGTGCGAATGCCCTACTTCTGTGCAGCCCATGATGCGCGGCTGAGTGCGGCAAAAAGCAAGGTGACCAAGAGTTGTGGGCCAAGTCTTGTGTTCCTATTAGATGGCTCCCCATCAAAGTCAGTGGTTTTGGCACGGGATTTTGATGACCAGACCATGCGCTACCTAGGCCAAATCTGAAGCTATGAAACATATCCCACTTCGGGGAAAGTCGAGCACAATAGTCGCTCGGCGACGAGGCCATAGAGACGGGCAAGCACAACTGCTATTGTGATGCCAAAAGCATATCGACCGTGTCGTAAAATTGGGCAAGTCAAGTGCTTGGCATCGGTGTTCCTGCACGCTGGCTAATAGAACTAGTTACACTGGTTGTTAGCCGTCACGACATGAATGAGAAATGAAACCGTAGCCAAAGCGTCTGTATTCATGTTGATACTATGCCTGTCTCGAGCCTGGGGGCCTAAACGGCCTGAGCATGTTCATCCCCCTTCCTGTACTCTTCGGCGCTGCACAGGAGAAGCCGTAGGCAGACCAGGACGATGTACAAAATCCCTTCACTGCTTAGATAGCAATCGTACGGAGTCTTGTAATGGCTCTCCCCGCCGATAAATGCCACAGATCTGCTCGGTTGTGTCCAGCCATTACGCGCATCTGAACGCAAGCCGCATCTCTTCACCACGCTGAAGGTTTTGCAGCAGAGCGAGCAGTCCTTTGAATGCATGTATTTGGAGGCGATAATCTCATAAACGTACATAAGTATAGACCGCGCAGTGAAAGAGAGCGGGTGAAGTCATAACAATCGGCGACATCTTCCGACGGATCTTGCCGTCACCCGACCACTTCTCTCGACAGCAACATACCCGCAGAGCAGCAGCGCAGAGCTTCACTCTCCGGTCCGCACGCAGTCCACTCTCCTCTCCACCACCGATATTTGCACCATGTTCGCCGGCCGTGCCGCAGCACGCTCTGCTCGAGTGGCAGCACCTCGATTCCAACTCGCCGCACCGACGCGCTCCTTCGCCGAGGCCGCCGCAAAGCCTGCCTCCGCCAGCACCAGGCCTCCTATCGATGTCTTCGGCGTCGATGGCACCTACGCCAGCGCTCTGGTATGACCTCCCATGGCGCGCCCTTCATCTCCCGCATGCGCCCAAACTAATGAGGTTTCCTGTTGTGCAGTACACCGCCGCGGCCAAGAACTCCTCGATCGAGACCGTGTCCAAGGCATTGGAGAGCTTGAGTGCTACATTCAAGAAGGAACCAAAGCTCCAGCAAATCCTCGCATCACCCACTCTTACCGTCGATGATAAGAAGCAGATCATTGCCGAGCTGCAAAAGGGCATTAGCGTGCAGGACAAGACGAACACTGTTTCCGGCTTCTTGAACACCCTGGCAGAGAACAACCGACTCAGCGTGCTCGAGGGCGTCACAGAGAAATTCGCGCAGCTGATGAGCGCCTCCCGTGGCGAGGTCGAGCTCAACATCACCAGCGCTGCACCATTGGACAACAAGGTGATCAAGCAGCTCGAGGCCGCAGTCAGCAAGAGCCAATACGTAGGAGCGAACAAGAAGGTCAAGGTTGTGGCCAAGGTAAGCCTACAGTCCTATATGTTTCCAATGGATACCGGCGAATATTCACCAGGAGGTTTCCGTGTACTGACGTTACATGCTATTGCAGGTCAACCCGGATATCCGCGGTGGTCTGGTCGTGGAGATTGGAGACCGCACAATCGACCTATCGGTTTCCTCAAAGATGCACAAGATGAACAGGTTGCTCCAAGAGACCTTGTAAATATATTGCGGTTCTTTCCCGAGCGCAGCGGCTGTAGACCTTGACTAAAGCAACAGTTTCCTGTGTTGTTCACAAAATACTTTGAGAATGCGGCTCACAGACCCCTGTCGCAATTGAGTGGTGCAAACTTGCGGTACCTGACTGGGCTGCTATTACCTCATTCCTTTTCACAATCGCATTTTGCTTTGTCCTTTCGTAACGCCATGCGACTGCGTCCCGTCTACAATCTATGGGACTTAGAGAGAGTGCGTCGTTTGGCTGTGCGTTTTGGACAACATTGAATGTGGTCTCTATTTCAGCACGTGCTATTTATCCATGAGCTGCATGCCATCCACATGAAGCAGATACCGCAGGTAGGGGCAAGCCAACTGTTTTGCTTTTCCTCCGTGTCTTTATCTATGACTCCCGACTTTTGGCTGATGCTACGGAGCACATCGAATCGTCCTGACTTGGAGCTATGTCACCTCGGAAAATTCTCCTAAGTCTTGTAGAAACAAAAAGCATGATAGAAGCTGGCAGCATCCATTTCTTCAGGATTGACCAGCAAGCCTCCATTAGGCAAACTTCGATCTCTGCTGAGGACGCCCATTCTCTCCGCTAGTTGGCCCAACTCTCGGTCCTCACTCTCGTCCTCAAATACCTCTCGGAAGCCCTTCCGATACATCAATTCCAGGCCGTAGTCTTCTGCCAATGCACGGAAAGCCTCCCACGGCACGACATACTCAGCTGCATCGACGGCTTCCTCGAGACTGTAGTGATATTTCCAGCCAAAGGGAGGACGAAAGACTCCATCTTTCGGCAGAGGCTTCTGTGTGAGGATCTGTTGGCGTGGAAACTTCACGCTGTAGATGGAGTTACCCCAGGTCAGAGGGGGAGCAGTCTCGTCGATGGGGCTATGCGCGGCACCGTTCGTTTCAGCGGCGGGCTCAGGCACTGCTTGTGTAGCCGCTGCTGCTGGTGTTGGGTCGGATGGCTTTTCTGGATCCCAATCGTCATCGTCTTCGTTGCCATTTGTGGTAGGTGGCACAGATTCGCTGGGCTTTTCAGGGTCCCAGTCATCGTCCGAGGCGTCCGCCGGCTTCTCAGGATCCCGATCGTCTACTTCTGCAGGCTGTATGCTCGAGGCATCTCCATTGGCAGCAGCTGGTGTTGATGTGCCGTTGGGGGTCTTGGTGGAGTTCTTCTCCAAGGCGAGTAAGCCCTTCACCTTTGCAGTAATCACATCACTATTGGGCATGACTCCTATGAAGCGACCACCTTTCTTCAGGGCCCCCGAGACATTTCTCAGCATACCCCTTGCCAGCTCTTCTGTCTCAAAAGAGTAGTGAAGTGCGAACATCATGCTCACGACGTCGAATCCTCCAGTGGCCATCCCACCTTGTATGATTCCGCCTGGACCAATATTGGGATTGAAACCAATCGTCCTAATGAGTGGGATATCGATGAGCGAGTGTGCAAAGGTGTCGTGAACAAAGAACTCGGCCTGCATTCGCGGTCGTCGTTGTCGACCGTTCTGCCCTCGGGGGTTGTTGTGTCGTGCTTTCGCTTGCTCAATCGACACATTGGCGATATCGCAGCCAACATAAAGCACGGGAATCTGTGGAGCCTTCTCCCATTTTCCCAGGTCACCACCCTTTCCACAAGCGAGATCAACAACTTTCATGTCCTCCACCGGGATTTCGGGCCGGGAGAACTTCTGAATCAGGGTGGACTTGATCCAGTTGTTCAAACTCCTCAAGCCTTTGATCTTGCTGTCTGTGCTACGCCATTCTCGACCTCGCTCGGGTACAGCATTGTAGTGCTCTGCTACAAGTTCCGCTGCATTGACTGCCCGTCCTTGCACTTCTCTCCTTGCTTCTTCCTCTCGCTGGCGGCGCTCACGTTCTGCGGCTTCCCTATTGCCAGCAGCAATGCGCGCACCAGCTCCTGGTCGCTTCAGCTTGCGAGGCGGAGAACGGTCTCCATCGTCGCTGTCAGGATCCCGTCGTGCTTCGGCACCGCGAGGCGGGCTCCGTCGCGCATACGCAGCGGGTGTGGTCGTAGTCTTGGAACGAGCAGTGCGGGAAGCTGGAGTCTCGCGTTTTCTTTTTGGTGCTACTCTCTTTCGCGAGGCATCTTCTGGCGGCTCTTCCGAGGGCATGATCCAGTCGGTGGTGGCTGTGGGAGTGATGGAGGCCGCTGGTGTATTGACTGTGGTGGAGGAAGGGGGGAGAGAGATGTCGACAAGGGAAGAATGGCAGAGTGAGAGTGAAGGGATGTGAGAGCAAGGAAGCGAAAGTCGGAGGTAGGAGGTAGGAGGTACAAGTGAGCTCGGTTCTAGAACTAAAGCTAAATCGAGCTGTGAAGTGAACCGCCCGAATGCATCATCAGCTAGACCGCGACATCATCAACACCACAAGCCCATCACACTACTCCCTTCCTTTCCGCACACAACGACCGCATCGACCACTCACTCCGGCGCACTCTTCTGAAACTGACAATTATATTCAGAAAACGAAAGGACCAGGCGAGAAGAGCAGATCAGCGGAGAGCAGAGAGCCGAGATGGGCGAACCAATGTACCTGGCGTTTCCGCAGCTCGCCATCGCGCAAAGCGTCTTTGCCCTCGCCTCGCCCTCCACCGACGCCAAAGTCAAGCACGCCGCGCTGAAGAGTCTGCAAGATGACATCCGGGAGCACAAGATGGCTCCGCTGTACGCCTACCTGGCGCATCCTCAGACGGGAAAGCTGAACGCGTCGGGCGAAGGCAGCGCCGCACTGTCGCCGACCATCAGCAGACAAAACACAAACTCCAAAGCCCCGTCGCCCTTCCACATGCTACGGCGGACCAGCAGCATCAACCAGCCCTCGATACTGGGCGTGCTGGGCGGGAACAAGGATACCAGTGTGGAGCTGCCGTGGGACGAGAAGTTGTATGAAACACTCAAGGCGGACAACGATAAGGAGCTGGCGGAGATCCAGAAGGCTGAGGACGATGCTGTGGAGAATGCGGGCGAGACCGAGGTGCAGGCGGCACGAGGGAAGCGCGCAGAGTTCTATACACGAGTGGGTGACAAGGACAAGGCGCTGGAGGAGTTCGAGAAGCTGTTGGAGAAGACAAGCATTCTGGGTACCAAGATCGACATTGTTCTTGCCATCATCCGCATAGGTCTCTTCTTCGACGACAAGCTACTGGTCAAGAAGAATGTAGACCGCGCGCAGATGCTAGTGGAGAGTGGAGGTGACTGGGACCGCCGGAATCGACTCAAGGCCTACAACGGTCTGCATTTGCTCACCATTCGCGCCCACAACCTCGCCGCACCACTACTCCTCGACTCTTTATCCACCTTCACCTCGACAGAACTCTGCTCGTACAGCTCGCTCGTGGTGTACGCCACGCTTGCTGGCGCTGTGAGCTTGCCTCGCCGCGACTTCAAGTCTAAGGTAGTGGATGCACCGGAGGTGATTGCTGTCTTTGGCAGTGCAAATGATACAGATCGTCTTGCTGCTCTCGCCGGCTCCTCATCTGCGGGGCCGGCTGCAGGTGACGAGGAGAAGATGGAAGTGGAGAGTTCCGCAACACCTACGCCGACAGCTGTCAACCTTACTACGCTCGCCACAGGGTCAGCATCTGCTGAAGCCCAGGCCAAGGCAGAGCCCAAGGTTGATTTCAAGCCCCTCGCGACCATGATACAGAGTCTGTACAAGGGCGAATATTCGAGCTTCTTTTCCAGCTTGGCTGCAGTCGAGCAAAACTTCTTGTCAACAGACCGATACTTGTACGAGCACAAGAGCTGGTTTGTGCGAGAAATGCGACTGCGTGCATACGCGCAGCTGCTGCAGAGCTACAAAGTGGTGGGGCTAGAATCCATGGCAAACAGCTTTGGAGTATCCGTCGACTGGCTGGACAAGGACCTGGCGCCGTTCATCGCATCAGACAGACTTCCGTGCACGATTGATCGAGTTCGAGGGATCATTGAGACGCAGCGCGCAGATGACAAGAACAAGCAGTGAGTCAATTTTCCTGTCCTCCTGCCGTTCAAAGCAATACTGACAATGGATGATTTTTAGGTACAACGATGTGGTTCGACAAGGCGATCAGCTCATCACGAAACTGCAAAAGTACGGACAGGTCGTGCGCCTTCGCGGTAGCGAACGCAGCTAGAGCCTGAGACCTGTCACGCTCAATGTCTCTCACGAAAGTGCACATGCCACATCACGATAGTTGAACTTGTACTATAGCTAGCCTATAACTTAGAGAAGCAGGGGCAAAGAACATGCCTGCTCATATCACGTGACGCAGATGAAATCATCAGCAGCAGCAGCAGCTCATTTCGCGCAGAGGATCCCATGTCCGCATAGAAGAATCGGCAGTACAGATACCTTGTCAATCAAGTTTGGGAAGACTGCAGTTCATCCTGTTTACTTCGATTGAAACTCCCCCAAAGTCAACTCCCTTTATGTTTACTACTTGGCGAGTTAATCTTTCAATCCTGAAAGAGTAAACCAGCAGCATATTCGACATTTCCTCCCGTAGAATTTAACGCTGCCACCGCTTGCTGCTCACTAAAGCCCAGCTCCTTCAACGTTTTAATACTCTCCGCGGGGAAATTATGAGCCGGTTGAGGAAGTTGAGGAATACCACCATAATATGGTGGTCTGGTTGGTGGGAGTGCAGGAGCCGCAGTCGGTAAGATGGGCGTGCGAAGTGTACGAGCCATATTTGCTGCCCATTCCCAAGGTCTTTCTAGACCTCCGGGTAATGCGTTGAAGAATTCCCAACACATGACACCGCCGAAAGTTGGATAGCGTGTTCGGAGAGCTTGGAGGACGGGTTCTTGACGAGACCATTCGATGTGGCCGGGTCCGTTTGATCTGTGTCTCTCTCCCACACACATATACATGATTTGGTTATTATTAGTCTTTCTTGGGAAGATTAATCTCTCTCGCATACGAAAAAGAAAGGGGGAAAAAGGGAAAGGAGGGGGGGCAAAAAAAAATGAGACAATAGCCATACGGATTCGATATGAGCCCCATGACGACTTTCTCGGGATTCCATCCGGCTCGGATAATGGCATCGTACCAAGCCGTCGTACCGGCATCTCCCCATCCACAATACAATTGCGTATTGTACCACGCAATCTCCTCACCTCGCAGCTGCTCGAGCACGCGATAATCGAATTCCGGTCCGGACAAATGCGGCTGACCGGGCAACAGAGCCGTCGCAACAGGAGCCAAAGTGATTAAAAAATCCGGACCAAAATCCGCTCGTAACCGATCAATTAGACGAATCGTGCCGGCGAGACTGGTGGGTTCTTCAATATCGAGATCTAAACCATCGAGACGACGCTGTCGAATCATATCTCGAAGTGGAAGGTAGAAGGCTTCGAATTGTACGACACCATCAGAAGATGTGTTGTTACACAATCTTTCAAAACTGCCTTTGGCGAAACCTCCTAACATGCCTAGGACTTTGATGCCGCTGGATTGCAGCCAGGCGACTTCTCCCCAGAGAATGTTGAATTTTTCGTCAGAGGGACTGGTGTCGTTTAATGTGAGGTCTTCGGGTCGCGAGTTGATGTGTATGGCTGCGATGATGACATGTGTGACTCCTGTGGCATTGGTGATGAGGGGGAGCAGAGAAATGGGAGGACCGTTGTTGGGGCCATGATGGGTTTGATGGTAGACTATCACTCGAGGTCCTTGGCCGAGTGGCAGTAGAGGTGAGGTAGTAGACATTCTTTTTTCTGAGGGTGAAGTCAAAGTCCAGGTATGCAAGGTTTGCCATCAGGGCTTGCTGGCTTCTTGGCGATGCCTCTACGCTCCTAGGCAGAACGACGGCATTATTCTTTCTACGACTCCTCCGATTACTCGGGCTTGGTGACTACAACAACAACAATATGTGTATGGCCTCTCGATTCGGTTATCATTCCATCTTCTCCTATACATCGGTATACGGACAGTTCCATTTTACACATGGAGCTTATGATAGCCGTCTCTGCCTCCATGATTAACTTACCTAGTTTGGTTTCATGGACTACTCCTTTACCAGGACTTAGGGCAGAACAGCGAATCTGGCGAGAAATCTGGTGATGACGGGTCCTTCATCATCAACAACACTTTCGATGAGCATGTACAGAGTTACCGCTTCACGAGGGCTGCTGCATCACTCGATACGAAACTCCGGACGATTCGGTACCGTGCCAAACACGGCTCCCCTCAACACAACTCCGAGGAAGCCTTTCTGAGGCATCCCACTTCTTACCGATGATGGAGTACAGCGTTACGAGGGGAGGTAGGTTTGATGGAGACTCGGAGCTGCTGCTGCGGCCACGGCATTTGTCTGTCTCACCATGGACCTGCTTTTAGCTACAGGTATGGAAGTTCCTGGCAGTGAGGATGTGGCTCGGCCCCAGAGCATCCTGACAATCAATCTCATGCAGAGACTGTGCTTGAAGAGTAGGAGGAAGAAGATATCATCTCTACTGTCTCTGTCCCCTCCCACATATATGATTGATCTGCAGGTTACCCACTCGGAGATCTTCTTCAGCACATAGTACTGACACATCATGGCGACGAATCCATCTTCTTCGGGCCTGGACGTTCTCATCCTCGGCGGTGGTATCGCTGGACTGACCACCGCTCTAGCACTGACCAAGTACGCACCGAAAGACCAGGTCCCGCGCATTCGCATCTTCGAGATTCGTCCCGAGCCAGCGACCATCGGAGGAGCGGTCAACCTCACGCCCAATGCCCTCCGCATGCTCGATCACCTGGGTGCGCTCCCCATCATCCGCGAACGCAACTATGGCCGAGACATCGACGTGCTCGAAATCTTCGACGTCTATTCGGGCAAGATTGCAGAGTCCAGTTTCCGTGGACCAGACGGCAAAGGAGTAGGGAATCCACCATACAAAGCTCTCCGCATCACTCGCGGGGATGCGTTGAAGGGCGTCTTGGCCGCGATTGAGCAGCAGAAGAACATCACCATCACCTGCGGGAAGCGCACTGTCAAGATTGATGAGACGGAGGAGAAGGTCACGCTACACTTTGAGGACGGAGAGTCGGTCAGTGGTGACTTGCTCATGGGCTGTGATGGCATCCACTCCGTGACACGGCTCAAGCACGTCGAACCAGAACGCAAGGCCACCTACTCGGGCGTATCCAATGCATTTGGTTTCGCCAAGGTAGATCCAGACTTCAAAGTCCACTTTTCCTGCACCGCCATCAACTTCGCCCGCAGAGGAATGCTATTGACGAGTTTCCACTCGCCCGCCACAGACTCCATCTACGTGGGCGGGCTGATGCAAGTCGAGGATATCGGCTCTCGAGATGGCTGGAAGTCTGTTGGTGCAGATGCCGAACGAACGCGAGCACAGCTGCTCGAGCGTTTTGCGGATGCTCAGATTCCTTCTATCAAGCCGTTGATTGAGCAAGCTAAAGACTTTTATTTATGGCCCGTCTTTACCCTTTCCAAGCAAGGGAAATGGAGCACTAACCGCGTCATGCTTCTCGGAGATGCAGCTGTACGTATCTCCTTGTGCTCTCTCCCTCTCCCTCTCCCTCTCACACAAAACCTACCGAAAATGACCCTAACACCAAAAAACAAAAAAAACAGCACGCTATGCCCCCTCAAGGCGAAAGCACCGGCATCGTCTTCGAAGACACTGTCCTCTTCTCCCGCTGTCTCACGCGCTGGATCGAAAAGGGCAAACCCAACACCATGAAAGAGCCCTTTGAAGCCTACGAGAAGCTTCGCAGACCTCGCATTGATGTCGCTTTTGAAGAGTCCAAAACGGTCGTCAAGACCGTCTCGGACGCTGGGTGGTTGGGACACAAGATCAAGACCTTTATCGTGCCGTGGTATCTCTGGTTCACGAAGAATTACCGAGAAGCCCATTTTATCGAGGATGTGACGAGAGCGGATTTGGGGTATGATTGATGCTGTGGCGCTCACACGTGGGGAAAGGTGGGAGTGGGGATGCTGTCAGGGCTCATTGGGGGGAGGTATTGAACTTTTTCTAATAAATAAGAATATGTAGATTCGTCAAGCTTACACTTATACTTACTTTGTCTGTTGCGATTTTCAACAGTGTAGTCACATATCAATGTGCCATTCGAGCGAGGGAAGTAGATGTGATATAGTCATACAACAAATTTCACCTGGATTGTTACCTATGAAAAAAAGAAGAAACCCCCACGAGTATTTATCATCATTGTTCAACACTCACTCTGCAACCCACAAAGCTTGCTAAAAAGAGAGTGAAAGGGGAAAAAAAAGAAAAGAGAGAATTCTCCACCTCCAAGCTCTTCTAACACATTAATAATAATAAAAAAAGAACATCTCTCACAACTCATCATCAGAAGAAAGATAAGATAAATCGAAATCCCTCCCCCCTCCCCTCCCCGATTCATCCCCCCC